GAAAACTGTTAATTATATTTACAAACTATGTTATATAGGTACGGTAACACAGTCGAAGAATCGGTATAACCTGTGGATCCAAGATGGCTTCCAATGATCGAGACAGTAGATAGACAGACAGTTTTAGTTCAGCTCAAGACGTGGCGACCATAACGGTGGTCAGAACAGTCCGCACTTTCCCCGTCATTGCGCAAGATGGCCACACTCAGTGACGTAATATCGGCTGGGTTAAATAACGATGTCTTACACCTTATAATAAAAGAGCGCATCAAGCTTCTGTTCAAGGATCACTGCCAATTTTCGGTTTGTCGTAACAAAGGCAAATTTAACAGACACTTAACGAAGATCACAATATACCGATAAATCAGTGAATATTCCACACGATGTATGTTCATAAAATCATGCGAGTCCACTAATACTATAATATATGAAATGAATAAAAAATTAACCTCATAAGGAAAACGTAATTTCAAGCTGTTCGTATTATTCGTGCATTGTTGTTATTATTATTTCTTATACCGAGCATCAAGAATTACGTATACTCAACCTATGTTATCAGTATGCAAGACGTTTCTGCGTTCCGAAAAAATAACCAGTCCGTCCGAAAAAAAGTGCTTGGTCTTAAAAACACTAAGACAGACTCCCGCGAAGCTCAGAGTCACAATAGTGGGGTCGTAGAAAGGCTAAGCAGGTAGTCATACATATTTGCACGGATAACTTACCACAGCCATACAAGAAATACTCGCAAGTCCGTATAACGTTTCCAGCAGGTTTTCTGAATATTTTTAGACGAACTCGCAAAAAAATCGTATAATTCAAATATTCCCCTAGCCTTTGTATTTTTGCACGAAGAGCCGTCCCCACGAGAATGACTTACGTATACGGAATATAAATGACGAAGATATTCTCCTACTCAACCATTACGTTTACCCTACGTTCTAGAGATCTAAAAATACACTTGTATCCTGAATCAGTGTAAATCAAAGTTAAATAAAGCCAAAGTACCATCCACGGGCTGTAATCGCTGACGGATGACTTTTCCCCAGCAAGACCATCGAATTGATGGGGAAAGCGTCGTTGGCGTTAATGTTCATCCACATGACTTTGGTATTCGCGAAGGAATGCGATTTCGATAGTTTCCGAGCTCGAGGCCAATCCGTTGAGTTTATAATAGTTTCAACATCGATCTTTACTAGGTTTGAAAGATTTCTAGGGGATCTACCAATCGAAAATTATATAATTTCATCAGTGCTAACGTACCTGTATATATCTATATCTATATATATACTTTGGTACGCGCGTCTACGACCTTCGAACGGTAGTCTCATATCGATAGTACGATCGATCGATCGAGTAACTAATCGAGGTGGTTGCTTATTATCGATACTTTAAGAGGGGAAAGTATCCCAGTGACCCAGTATCGTTGTACCCACTGGGACTAGTACCTACTTCACGCTTGCCTCTTGCAGTAATCTTATGCAATGGAAGGAACCGAAGAGGCGAACAAGTGTCCTTGACTTGTTGGTTTACGAAGGTCGGAAAATATATATATGAAAATTGAGAAAAGAAAATATAATTCTTTATGATACATGAATTTATGTATACGATACATTTGTGCGATACATGGAGAATAGTACGTAAAGATCTTCGAAATGGTTTTTGAGGTTAAGGAAGGCATTTTTGTAAGATGTCAAGATACTAGAAATTGTCTTATTAAATGATTCGCAAATCGTTGAGTGACCTTGGGTCAACCTAAGGAAAAGCTTGACGAGTTACCTTCGTGACTTCTAGATCTTTATTGAGCATCGAAAGAATTGCGCTTGAATATATACGGAATATAAGTGTCAACGCTGGCAGGGAGGTCGCCCATTGTCATAGTATGGAGTTACGAATTGCATTCTAATCGCCGAATTACGCGAATACGAATGTGACATCCTCGGTCAATGCCGTTCAAAATAATTTTGCACACTCCTAGTCCACGTTTCGATAGAGGAATATATATATTTTATTTATATAGTAGGCACGTGCTATTCTAAGATCGGATATGTCCTCCAGCTCGTGTACATTTGGCACAGGTTGGTTGGAAAGGTCTAAAGCCTAGGATTCGCACACCTTTCCTTAAGAGCTAATTAGAATGGTGATTACAGTCATTGATAATCATCGAGCGAATTGGCTCTGGTTAATCGTTTTGAAATCGTTCAACGATTTCCTGCGCTATCTCATTGCGTACAATTAGACGAGCTCAATTAGGTATCCACATCCTCCTCTCCGACCAATGACTGATGACTGGGTTGCCGTAAGAATCAACTGTAAAACTATTGTTTGTATATGCTTGTCATTGGTTTGCAAATTTTTCATTGTACCAAGAGTTCATCGTTCATTATTTTCTTTCCTTCCAAGCTGCGTGGAAAGTCGATACAGAAATCTAGGTTACCGACGGTATCAACGTTATTGCGTGTCCTCTGCCATTGCTTGCGATCTTCTTGGAAAAGCGAAAGTCGTGGATTCTCTTTTAAATGTCGATTCGATTACGAAGCTAGAAGATATTTGTTGATGTCGTTATATATGGATTTGGTATAATTATCATGAGGGTACAGTTGTAATAATGTGGGTGCTAATTATCTAATATGATACAAGACTCGTGAAAATCAAATTACGAAACATAACGGTATACTAAATATTCGCGAATCACATCGCAAAACATGAAGATTTCGTATAGATTGTGAAAGTGATCGATCTGACGTGTTACGTAAATCCCAGGAAGAACGCTCGATAGCTATTATCGATACTCAATATCAATGATAATGATATCAGGAACAAAAGGATCCCTTATTGTTATATGCAAAGAGTCAGTTTGACATCACATTTCGAATCTTTCGGGCGTTCAAAAATGAAAGAGAAGTTAAAACGTTTATTTCCGGGTCACTAGTAAACATTTTGTAAAGTTATACAAATAATGGTCCATCAAGCTTTGATAATTTATTACGATATTAATTCATTTCTTAGTCGAGAGATAGCTCGTTTTTTATATTCAAGAATCTATGACGTATTTACAATCTAAATATACCTACCTAATAAAGAATATTTCACGTGTCTCTTTTCTCAAATCATGAAATAGTCATGGACACATTCGTCAATCCTGGACTTTTAGATTCAACTAAAGTCGTGCTTAGGTATATGAAAGTCAAAAAAACAACCATAATGGGTCCTAGTGTGGGAGAAGCTTCGTTAAATTCAGTGAAATATGTATATTCAATAACACGTATGTCGTCTCCCATAGTGCTGCCACCTTTCAGACTCTCCGTTCAACACTACCACGTTACGCGTGACCTCCTCGGTAGAAAATGTTCAGGAACCCGTCTGATGCTTGGTGACTAGCGCCAACAAGTTTACCATACGCAGTCCACGAAAGTGCCTAGCGTTTATTTAAGATGGGGCGCTAGATATCCCTGCCAAAGAAGTATACTCAGCTTTTATTTTCTGTATTGAGATTCACAATGATACAGCATAAAACGTGCATATTATTCCGTGTCGCGAAACTAGTAGGAGTAGCGACCTCGTACCTCGAACTTCGAACAGACTCGATAAATTGCAAATTGTGAAGATGGAAAGTAACCCAAGCTATAAGTTGGTATAGGCATTCATACGTAGGTTGAACGGATACGTATTGGTATGTATATGCATATGGACATGTATTATATCGCAGTTGGTTCTACTATCGCCAACCGATTCCTCCCGTACAACTAACCAATTGCGTTTGGAATCTTTTTGGTTGGTTTACGATCCAGTCAACGCGTACAGGTTTTGTCTGCATTCGTGCCTTTCACTCTACGCCAGGAACTCAGCAATGCAAGCTGCTTACCGGTGGATGTTGCTACTTGGCTGTCGGCTGTTGCCGACCACTTTCACGCGCGGTGTCAATCGGGTTCACCGGTCGGCCGCCATAATAAGTTAATTTAACGAATTTGATTGGTGGAATGAAAAAAGGATTTCTTGGTGTTTCTTTTTTCTCATAAAACAAAAAAGTTTTAAGAGCTTATATGTTGAGGTTCAAGTTGTTATTAATTTTATAGAAGTTGTTGACTTTATAAAATTGGTTTAGAATTAAGAAATTTTGAACTTCTGTGGCATATCTTTACTCTTCTTAAAGTTTTCGAACTTGTATGGTATTCGATCATTGTCAATGGAAAATTTTTACGATTTACGTATACTATGCATGTTTACTAATGATCCTACTGACTAAGTGATCTTTCTTCGCATACAGTATAGATGGTTTTTTGAATATTTTTGCCTTTCGCAGTGAGATACTTGTCAGGTCCCGGAAGATTAGTTAGTATAAACCGACCATCTGTATTCACTGTGAATTCTTGTATTCAATGCTCTGATCACGTTCTTGAGGTGGGCTCTGCCAGTTGTCCTTGTAACAGGTTACAAAACTCGGAATAACACTTTGTCAGACAAGGACGATTCCACGATTATTGTACGTTACAGATATATTTCCACTTTACAATATTCATTAATCACTCGCCCTGTTATTAATCACTGCTTATTCTCAATTCGTTTTATTGTCCGTTTTCATTACTTTTACCATTATAATAAAAACAGAAACGGGATCTGAGTTGATGAGCTCATAAGTTGTTTCAGAAACATCAACGTGGACTCTTATATCGTGGAAAATTTACACATTCCCCGGATTAACCCTAGACTGTACTCAGTGTCCCCTTTGCGTAATAACTTTGATCGTTTTATCTTGCTTTCAACATCTATCTGCTTTCAGTGCGTATTTCTCAAGAGCATGCCATTAAACAGGAATCCAAAGAGTTTAATTATAATTTACGTGCAGTATGCACTGAATCCATAAAATGTCATATTGCACTGCTAACAATTAAATTTAACATTAAGGAATCGATCGAATCATTTTCCCGTACGGTTACGAGAGGATATGTTGACTTTGAGTTAATTAATATTTAATTCTATTTTTTAAAAATATAATTACTTACCTCGTTAATCCATTACTCCAACTGAACATCTTCCTTATTTTCTCACTTTGAGTCTCGTCCTTTCCAGTCATTTTTTTATTCTTTTGAGGCTTCTCAAAGTTCCATACGACGTACGCGTTCCCAACGAACGAATTTCGCGCGAAGCTCTCACAAATCAATCACACGTGATTTCAATGTGCACATATTTTTCCGGGCAATTACAAACATACCATTCCAAGATTAGCGGATCCCGTTCAGTGCAGAAATTACTGAAAGTGAAACCAGCTTTAGAGAACGCATCAAGGATTATCCTCTGCCTTTTCGAGAAACCTAATAGCCGATATTTTTTTTTCCAATTAATTATTGGTACATGTAATTGTATTACGTGGCATCGTGACCAATTTCTATAACTTTCCAAGAGACTGTTACACATTTGATCTTAATCCATATTAAAGAGGTTACATCAGCTTCCTGAACTCATGAATTCAATGTAAACGTCATTATGATATACAGTAATTAATAATTATATTTAAAGTGCATAATATTTTTTCAGCTCTTCGTCGAGCTCCTAATTAAATATTATAGTTGTGTAAAACAACTAATTGGCCGGATGTTCAGATATTGCATCGTTGCGTCGCAAAAAGATATTTCAATTAATAATTCAAGAATCGAGACTGACTCGTGCGATAATCGATGCATTAAAGAGAAGCAATGCTACATGCCGTAACGTCATCCAGTTGGATCAGTTCTAAGAGGAACTATTAGAAAGTATCCTGTATCTCTCGTTATTCCTACGTCATTGGATAAGTTTGTTGAACTTCAACCAGGAATTAGTTATCATTTGTCTTCCTTAAAAATTCAAATGCCACTACGTGGCTGACCTACTTCGTTAGTCAAATTCATACCGGAAATTCATCTGAATATTAATATCAATGGTGTCAATTAATCGTTACTTTCGTATGCCGTTGTTATAGGTGCCTAGACTTGCACTGCATTTTACATTCTATTATTAAAAGTCATACTTGAGTTATTACGGATGTTTTTCAATTAGCTACCATTTTGCATCATTTCACATTCGCAAGACTAGCAGTCGACCGGCATTCATTGACAAGACGCTAACGTTATAAAAAAAAAAGTGAAGACAGGATCCTTCAAATATTTACAAGCTTCCTATACTTGCCACGAGTGCGACAGAGATCAACTAATATCTGTTTCCGTGTGTAAGAGTGAGACAGACATACTAGCGGGTTCAAGTAATCAAACATCGATCGTCAAATTCGCAACACTGAAATTACGTCCTCGAGCGTTCACAGTTTTTACAATTTTGAAAATTCAAATAATTCACTAGTACATTTCAGTAACGTATTCCCAAGGATTTCAAAAGAGTTGACTTTATCCTCCGCAAACGATAAATTCCATTCTCACCAGCCGCGCAGACTAGACCATTAAAGCGTCGGAATTCAAGGCCAGTATGTAGCATCCAATAATCCACTCAAGTTCACAGGACAACAAGAATTCGTTAAGAGTAACGATCAAAGAGGAAAAAAGGGGTCCTGTCTAATCGAATAAATTAATTCTAATACCGTAAAGGTGCGTTTTCAAAAAGTCACAGCAAACCGTTAAACGTGTGTCAAATGTAGTATTGTTTTCAGAGCGCGTATTGTGTCTCACGTTTACAGACGCCCGAACCGTCTAGAAGTGTTTCCCGCACTGAGGACTTCAGGTGGAGCAACAACACAAGCACAAGTTGAGGACATCCACAACGAGAATACAATATATATATATACACAATATATATATATATATATATATATATATATATTACGGAACGAAGATGTCCGTAGACAATTTCTTAGGATCAGTTCCAAGCGATGCTGCGCGTAAACCGGCTTGGAAGGAATTCAAGAACCAATGGAGGATCTCCAGTGATTCCGAGGAAGCTCCCCTTTCTTTGATTTCCCTGAAACACCAGGAGGTCTTAGCGGCACCTCAATATCCATTTATGATTTTCCTCTGAGATGCGATTAACATTGGCAGCGTCGCGAAGCCTTTGCTTTGGCTTTGTTTAACGGGAAAGGATCAGTGGCGCCCCCCGCACGAACTATTTTAAGAAACGCGCGTCGTTTGTTTTCAACGTATTTTTCTCGACCAGGTAAACGCGTATGTATATAGTATGCGCGACTGCGCGACTCTGCACCGAATGAAAGTGTAGTTTGCAATTCAACCGCGATCTTCGACGAGAGAACCTCTCCTTTTACTTGGAATAGTCCTTATCCCCACTTCGTACAACACTCTCGATTAGCTGTTTCCTACCTGGATGGTTTCGATACATGTTTTTACTTGGGGATGATCTCTACTCTTCCTCATTTCAATCAAGTGGGATGACATCGGGAAACTGGATTATCATATAAAGAGAATGGCGATTCTTGCATCAGCAATAATACATGTGCATTGAAATCTTCTGATACTTAACTAATTGAGATGCTGTAATTTTTTATAAGGATGTTAAAAGTTATAAGGGTTATCCACAATCGTATCAAGTTTTGTATTTTATTATTCAATTTTAAATATATTATCTAATTTTACAATTTTATGGTATTAGTAGATTTATAAATATAGAGATACTTTGTCGAACATTTTATACTGGTCATGAGTAATCTATACCTATGTACACGATTACATCTCGTGATGCACCACCATTCGTACTTCATACTCTAATTCTTAATTAATAATATCATTTGTTCTTACAGATTGATCGCAAAAGAAAATTTTTGGAATCTTTTCTCGCATTGTTAATATGACTTTTGCGATAATCTCGTGCAGTCTAAATTTATGGTGAAATGATAAAATGTAATTTGATGATAAACTTAAAATTTTAAAATAAGTTAACCGAAATTCACTGCTGCTTTATATAACCCCAAACTCTTACTCTTGAAATACCACCATCTGGAGCCATTGACACTTTTACATGACTTATGGGTCCATGCCAGATCATGTCATCGTAACAATATTCATGTACCCTGTGCGCCGACAACTGTAAAACATTACATAGCAACACGTGTTATTATAAATGACAGATTGATGTAAAATAAAGATTTGTTAACTTCATAGCTATACGTTAACACATAATATCTCACTCTGAGGAATGTTATAAGTATATATGTACATATGTAATTCTAGCCACAAAAATATAGCTCACCTTCTTGGGAGTCATAACAACTTTCCAATTGGCAGTTCGAATGTCCTGTCCTGGTGACGTCATAATACCTTCAATTTTTACACTGTCTGGAAAATTACCCTTGAAGTGATTGGTGTCAACTTCAATCCGATGAATTTCCCCTACGTGTCCCAGTTTGAATATTGCCCATTCACTGCCAGGCACCTGTAACGAATGACAAGATTAATAATAAAAATTTGCAAAATATTTATGAAAATATAAATAAACAAGATATATCGTACCCGCAAAATGCCAGCATTGTCAACTTCTATAATCGGTGGTCTGTCAAGTCGTCTTGCAGTTTCCCAACCGTCTCCCATATTGACTCCTCTGCCTGGTTTAATCAAATTCCGAGGATGACCGTAATGAGCGTCGCTGTATCCTTCACAAATACTCCCATTCTCACTGGCAATAAGATCAATCTCTTCATTATGATTTATACTGTGCCAATCAGGTGACGCGAAACCATAAACGTGAAATCTTGCAATTCCACCATCTGGGTATATATTGAGACGCAAATGAGTCCAAATCTCACTGGAAGAAACTGTAAAATAATTTCGTCTCGTTTCTTCGTATCCGGCACCGAGTACTTTCATGTCGATGATTGTTGTCCAATTCTAAAAAAAAAAAAAAGATATTGAAACGTCAATTTATAATGTACGTACAAAATATTACGCATGATTTAGGCATTTATTTACCTCTGTTTTAAGAACAGACATTTTTTCCATATCCCTCTTATTAGCTGCAGCGCCAATTACACCATTTCGAGCCGGAAATTTTTTATTATCTGTTAATAAAAATGAGCAGAGTCAGCCACAGGAATCGAAGTTTTATAAATTAAATATATCCATCCTCACCTTTTTCGGAAAGCCGTGCAGCCTGTACAGAAAATCTTGGTGCGTAGTTTCCAGTGAAGAGTGCCGTATCTATACAAATACCTTTGATAACGGATGGACGACCCAAAGCTATGATAGCCCAATCATGACCAGTACAACGTTTCCTTCTGGTTTCCCAACCATCCATCCATTTTCCATATTCCGTGAATACTCCTTCCTTCCAAACGGGTTCGTGGTCCTAAAAATCATTGGAAAAAAAATATTCAACATAATTATTATTGAGACATTTGACTTTCAGATAACACAATATAACCTTTACGTATAAGCCACGCGTGCAACGCATATTCAATTCATCCACCCAGGCAACATATAAATTCTAAATTCATCTTTAATATGGGTATACGGAAAATTCTTTGAAAGTAGTTATACGAAAATAGTTTTTCGAAAATTTCGAAGGATACAAATTTTTGCAGAATTTTCAGTAAAGCTTAAGATGTCTACCTGAGAGACAATTTCGGTCGTATTGATACGTTTTTGGCATTTCATGGAATTTTTTATTAGTTAATCTACATAACTATAGATAACGGTAATTAAGTATCAAAATGCTAAATATTCACTGTGTATGTCCTGATAACTCGATAACCTTTGAACGTGCTTTATTATTTTGTCTTTTTAATTTTTCATCAAAACCCAACATAACATACTACTTTGCGAATTCTATCAGAAAATTGATACAGGTAGCAAAATGAATTTTCTGTCATAATCGTCATATTTGACTTACTTTGAGTAAATTTTCGGCATTGGCAAACCAATCGTCCGTTGCAAAAAGAATTTTTCCGCCATTCTGAAACATGAAAAATATTTTATTACACACACAACTGTAATATAGCTTTTAATATAATTTATAATATGTTTCACTTTTTCTCTATATAATATATGCTAAATCTTAAGGTCATTTACATTGTGTTCATTGAGATTAAAAACTGTGAACGTTTCACTGAGCGTGAAAATGGACGCGGGATGTAATAACGAGAGACACGCAGCTACGAACGCATACACCATATTTTCTCTTTAGTGAAATCATACAAAGAGCTAGTCCGGTACATGTGGAATCCGTATAATTAGTGGAAAAAGTCTATACAGACGTATATACTGTTTGAGGTACGTCTACATTTGCTGTACGGTGTAAAATTCGAATAAAAATCTTTTACCGATATTGATAAGAGTGATTTCCATTTCTGTTAGAAATGAAAAAAAGCCTTTGTTCATTTGGCATGTAAACGCGTTATATGTGCATTGGGCTTTCGCTTGAAATTTTCTAACGGCGTTTTTACGAATAAAACACATTTGCGACAATAAGCAATTTCGATGAATATGTATACACGTTATTGTGATTAAATATCTGAAAACGCAACTACAATTCGCGTAATGAAAGCCGTTGATCAAATTTCTATGTATTTTCACATTTTTCTAAATAAAACATAGAAATCTTATTCTTACACTTTCCGAAGCAAGTTCGTTCAATTCCACAAATTTTGGAATTGTGTTCAAAGTTCCTATGACCATTGTGACAGTGTTAATCTGTATTGTGAAACTTTGGAAAATTTCTCTTAAAACAGATTTACAATGTTTTGAAATATTCGAAGCAACCAGTGCACTCTCGCTAGTAGCGACAGAACTTCGACTAAAGTTTCTTGCGGATCGCCGTTTCTATATAACAGAAAAGCTTATCTCGTATTTGTTATCTCTTTCTAACTTCAATCAACAATGGCGTTATTTCAAATACGAAATATACGATCAGTCCTCGGATTGGTCAATCATAAACCAACATTACACCCATTAAAATATCTAGTAAGCGTTATTTAGTAAACGAAAAAAGAAAAATTCCACAGATCGAAAAAAGTAACTCCTACACATTTGACGATCGGATATTTTTTAAGTAAACAAGCGCGTGGAATATTTCCCCTTTTATTGTTAACGAATATTCAATGATTCCACTGCCGACATTTCGTACTCGATGATTGTAAAAAATTATTCGAGTTTTTATTTGTCGCTTTTTTCTCGCGAATGATACCGAGTACAGGCTGTTCTATACAATTTCTCGTCCCGCAAAAGTGCATCCTTCTTCCGCCAGGTGACACTACTGTATCCTCTCCCGTGTAAAGGTTCGGAAGAATTTCACAAAGTTCCGTTGAAAGTTACGGATGAGTCTATTTACACGTGAAGCCAGTGTGAGTAGCGAATGGCTCTTTCCGAATAACTATACCGTTAGCAAGTACTGATGCTCGGAATTTCTCGAGAAAGACAACCGGCCTACTAGGACTGATTGAAGAAAAATATATCATCAATACAGATATGCAATTAATGACGTATAAGGTTGTGAAGAAACCAAATTTTTTATTCAAGTACGTAAAAAGTTCAACGATATTTATTATTCTTTACTGCGATTGACGTAGATAAATAAATAAGTCTCTTACCATTCGTGCAATCGCATGGCGACCATGTATTGTTAAATTATGAGAAATAAAACTGTTGATGTTCGTAAGATATTGCAAAATGGCTGAGGTCATTGATTGCAATATTATTCGAATCGTGTATTCTATTATTCGTATATTTTTATTCAGTCTATATTAACGACGTACTGAATTTAATGTTTCTCTCAAATCTAGCGATATTAGGGCTAAGTATATATAATAAAAAAAAAATTTTATTTCTCTAAACAAATTCATTTTATATTCTACTATTTTTCATACTTTCTATAGGAAAATTTCGGCGTGACTTTGTAATTTGCTTAATTACGTTACTCATGGAGGAGGAAGGCAGTAGAGTGTATGTTTAATATACATAACTATCAATATTTACAAGTTCACTCACATATGCTATATTTAAAAATATACGCAATTCAAAGCAATATTGCTTTTTATTGAGGTATTATGCAATAAGGCCAACAGCTAACGGTAACGCTGCATTCTACTTCCATATAGGAGTATCTTCAAATTGACGGATATGGAACTACGTCATGCACATTAGTGCTAATTATTTCAAAATAACTAGAAATATTAATCTCTTATCTAAAAATTCTATTCTTGTACATCGAGATGTTTAAATGTATGTATGTATGAATATACTGATAAAAATTTTTATCATTTAAACAATTTCATGTATTCATCATATGTTACTTTTCATTTCTTACACGATACTTAAAGATAGTTCCATTCCTTCCTTTGGTAACGTTTCAATTGCACTTTATGACATGGTTTAGTATTGTTGAACACCATGATGCTGATGCGTTAAATAGTAGATAATTTCAATAGGTAATTTGCAGTAAGAAATGACAAGATGAAATTGGAATGTTCTAAAAATGGAATTGACGACAGGGATCGTATGTGTCCGAATAAGATATTATATCTATTTCATATTTTCTGTGATATTTGAAGACTGTTTTTCTTGAATTTATCAAACTTGTAGGTAATTCCCCGCCAGTTTTAAATTGTTCAGATTATTATTCGTCTGTTATCTCTGTCCCTTGATATACTTGCAGTCTTCAAATAGTCGCAGCATATATTTCCTCTCAGTCAGATAAAAGACTGCCTTTTATTATCTGTGCATATATTTCCACCATTCAGGATTGACATAGATTTAACCTTTCAAGTCAGTTTATTCCGCTCAAATCTCGTTTCTAATTGGTTAATTCTATTTCAATCCTACACGGTGAAAACATATGCTGTGGTTAAACCGGTTAATAACAATTTTGGTATCGTTTCACTGGCCGAAAATAATCGTTAAGTATTTGCAAGTGATGCGCAGCTTACTTACATTTATCTATTAACTCCTTTTATTCAGTCATTAATCTACATACTTAAAGGAGCTAGTACAGTAAAGTTCGTAAAAACAATCGAAAAAATAGGTTCTTTTTTATAGGTTCTTAAGATTTTAAATGATTATATAGGATGATCAGTTGACATTATTATAACTCTTGGTACTCATAATACTAAGTGGTTTTCCAATAAAATTTATAATTAAAAAAATCTTTATTTTTTTTTTCTATGTTATTACAGACAAAATTGAGCTTTCTTAAGGTTGGTTTCATACAACGAAATTACCTGACAATTATTTCAATCTTATTTTCATTTTTAGTCTCATGCGACGCGCCAATAATGCGCGGCTGCCTTAACTGGTTCGCTCCAGTTTTGCGATAAGTCCCCACTATGTCTTCCTTGTAGCGTGTGCCGGGGCGTTTTGTGCGATTTATTTAAACATTCGCGCATAACGCCACTATTTTTATTTTTCATAGCTAAAAAAACTAGTAGATATGAAATACGGTATCATTAATGAATAACGTGAATCCAATGGTAATATCAAATTGACGTATAGTATCATTAATAATTCACGTTTTAAAGTCTTTGTGTTCCTGAATTTCTTTTATCACTGTATCACGATCGTATAGAAAGATTAACCGAGAATTAATAATCCAAAAGCCTTATGAAACTGCAGGAGCAACTTCCGATGAGGATTACAGCAATTGAACGTGAAAGGCAAAGCCGCAAACAAAATGGATCGCGAAAGTCTACACTGAATAAAGTACTGCGGGAAGTGACGTTGACTTCAAGGTTTCCATCCATATTTATGTTTATTGTTATAAAGTTAAGATTCAGGTCGTTTAAAAATAGTCCTAAGCTCTGACGCAGCCTATCTGTATTATATTTAATAATTCATTTTTAATTTTTGAGAAGACAATTCATTCAATTGGCATTCTTTGTTGCGATTTTGTTTATGCGTCAGTCTTAAAAGGGAATACAATAATTTTGAAATATTACGTTTTTTCATTCCTTTATATGCGTTACACAGTCATTATATACTATTTGACATTGTGATATCATGTGATTTACTATACTTTAACACGATTAACATGCATGACTCGCGTGCTAGCTAATTGCAACTTAGCTGTAACGAAAATAGAACGTCTCATCTCAATAATCATATAAACTCATTTAATTAGTTTACATTCATTTTGAAAAGTATAAGTTAGGTAAACTATAATCAATGTGCACGCGTCTTTTGGACTTTAGAACTGCTTGCTTGATCGATCAGGCTCGATTTAACTGGTTTAATATGACTTCCACGATTATTAGATCAAAGGTCAAGTTTGATTCAGATTGTATGTTTATATTTCATCTTAGGACTGCCTGCTTTCAAATTCATTAGTTAATTTTAATGTTTTTATGATTAAACAATGCTTGTACGTATGTTATGTATTAAACTTGGATTGCAAATACAATTATTAATCCAATAATCCTGCTATTCGTATTCTTATTATCAAGGATTTACTTGGATAATTATGACCTAAAATTATGGATAATGTAACATTTATTTTGGAAATTCTTTGATAATTTTCACAAGGTCTCTGACTGATTCTTCATCTGTAATCATGACACTATCAGAATTTGCTGCATTTCCCATTTTGATCTTTGTGCCACTTGCAATTTTTCTTTTCCTTGCAGAGGCATGAAACTGGTTTGCTCCAGATTGTTTCTTTATGAGTGATAAGTTATTCGTCGTTATGCCAGCACCGGGCATTATTATAATTCTCTCGCGAGCTTGTTTAACCAACTGTTCGATTATCCTTATTCCTTTTTCAGCCGAATTTTCTTGACCGGACGTTAGAATTCTTTCGAAACCAAGGTCAATGAGAATTTCTAAAGATTTATACGGGTCAGAGACTTCATCAAAAGCTCTGTGAAATGTAACGGGACGCGGACTAGCCGCTTTAATTATATCCAGACAAAATTCCATGTTGATATCTCCTTCTTCGGTTAAAGCACCGAAAACGAAGCCATCCACTCCAAGTTCTTTGAGTATTTTCAAATCGTAGAGCATGGACTCCATTTCGTCATGCGAGTAAACAAAATTACCAGATCTCATTCGAATCATGGCATAAATTGGGACGGTAGAATAATTCTTAAGGAATTTGACTAATCCTGGACTAGGTGTTAATCCACCCTCCGATAAAGCCGAGCATATTTCGAGTCTCATTGCTCCGCCATTTATGGCGTTCCTCGCTGATTCTATGCAGTCGATACAGATTTCCATCTGAAACAGTCAATATTGAATTTGCAATATAATCTTTCTAGGTCTTATCGAATCTGCATGAATGCTTTCGGTAAAAATGCGGATATTTAATAACTTTGACTCGTGTAATACATCGATACCATTTTTTATGCACTGTCTGAGTAGACGTGTCTATCTTCGTGAGCAGATAATCACTGTACTCTGTACTGAACAGGCGTTTCAGTCTCAATGATTCGACACTGTAATGCAGTGGCGCTGATGCTTCAATACTAAATGTTTTGTTTTTGTTATAAAGATTTTTTTATTATTATATATATGCTTATAGCTTCATTATTGTACAATTTGAAACTGTGTATACAATTTTCCCTAAGCATGTTATGTATATAAATTGAAATCGGATTTTAATAATGAGGATATATAGGAATGTTTATTATCATACGACATAACCATACTGCATTACTTTGTATTGAATGCACGAGATGTCGAGTAATTAATATATACCTTACGTCATAAGTCAAGTGTGTCTTCCGTGAATGTATCTCTTAAGTAACAAAAAACATACTTACCTTTGCATATATTTGATTTTATAATTTGTTTATTCAATTTTGAACCACAGAACGATTACGTCTGGCAAAACACAACACGTAGTTAGCATGAAGTTGAATTAGTGTAACTAACAGAATTCGCTTCTGTCATTATTAAAGGACCAAGGATTTATAGAAAATATTTAAGTAGAGAGGTATAAATGATATACAAAAAGTAAATTCTCAACATAAACACAAGTTTTGATTTAATACTGACTAGAGAAATTAAGTAATTACAAATTATTATGACAACACTAATATCAATCACAATTAAGCCTAGTACGGTAATTAGTAGTGAAAATAATTCATTTTCTAGATCTTATATAAGTAAACGGTATGACGCCATGTTACACAACAATATTAAATGCCAATACAAGATGCTATTGAGTGTATATACCTAGTAGAACTTGATTTTTTCATTCATTAAAAAAAATAGTACTTATGCTTGAAACTTTCTAGATCGTTTTGCAATAGCATTGTTTACGCCATAGCCAATATGTTATAGTTTAAACAAATTGTGAACCAAAAATATGAATAATCTATACTGAGAGTTTAGTCTTACATTATAGTATTATGCTTCTCATTATGCAGTTATAAATATGTAATTTTAATATTTGAATACAAAAGCCAAGTTCGTTTAAAAAGCTTATAAGTTACTTCTCTTTTTATTTCGACAGAATACTCGAGATTTCGCGAGCTAACATAATTTTTCTTTCACCGCTTATATTCCATAAAATGTATATATATATGCAAATTCTCGTCGTTATTGCTCATATTATATAAAAGTACTAAGCGCAATTTACTAAAATAGTTTATTTAATTAGAAAAGAAAACTAAATTTTAACTTTCTTGTGGCTGTTATTGTAATTAAATAATTCATAGTTTTGATTCATAAAGTTAAATATTACAATTTCTATTCAAAATCAATATCATGGGTGGCAAATATTAATTTCATTGTTTTTCAAAAGTGAAAGGTAAATCAGATAGCTTGTTATAAATATAATTGAGATTTGGGTCAAACCCTTTAGCTTTAAGTGTGAAGCGTTCCAATTTCATAGTTGACGGCTTGTAACTATCGTTCTATATTGTTTTGTACTGCAAATATCGTACTTTTAAACAACTACCTAGAATGGCTATTTGTAGGTGCCGTGACTTGTGTCGGTGATGTTGTATCCTTACAAACCTTTGAGGTCATTTCAGCCAAAGGCTCCAATTCTTTGGAATTCACCAGATCGAATTCAGTGACAAAATAGTAAAAGTGTTTATAGCACGTATTAACATGTGCCTCCTGGAAATATTCAATATGAAAGATTTAACATTAATGCTTGTAGGAAAGTATAAAATAGTACTCACTGCTCCGATAGTCACAATACGATGAAAATGATGTATATATACATGTACAAATACTCTGAATAGTCGAGTTAAAATTTTTCTGCAGAGGGGTATAAAGGTCTTTGGGAAAGGTACATCTGCAATGAAAGACAGTAACTAGTTACTATAAAGAATAAAAGTTCTCCGTTGTGCCACAGTGAAAAAGAAAAAACATGACTCACCAGTTGATACAGGAAATATAGTTTCATTATTAATCTGAGCTTCAATCCAATCCATCAAAAGACTAACATATTGCGGTGCTGGCAGTGCTGTCGGTTTCTTGTACTTATCTCCATCTGCCCATAAGTATTCAAATCTTGATCCACCACTCATCGCAGGACATGATGCTGAGTCACAATATTCAGATATGGTACCATATATAAGATTTATTCTGTTAAAAAAATCTACCACTGAAATGAAAACAATAATATTAAATTAATATCACTGCATAATTACACATGGAATGAATCAATGAAAAGTATACATTTTTCTTACCATGCACTGCAATCCAATCATTCAAATCTTCACCAGCAGGTAATTTAACAACAGATCGCAAATTAATTCCAGAATTTAGAGAAGCTTGTGCTTGCTTATGCAGTGAATATCGCAGCGTTCCATAAGCAAACTTCTTTTTTGGTCTGAATGTCTAAAAACACAAGGGAATATAAACATATAATTTTTATATTCTAATACAGTATTAATTCCCTTAAATAATGCAACAAGGCTAAAAGCATAAAACTTTTATTTTACTACTTAACTTTCATGTAATAATTTACATAGAGAGTAAATTGGTTATAGCATAAGATTTTCACAAATATGAACAGTTATCTGAGCACACGCAACTCACCTTTCCTTTCTGGAAAAATTCAACAAAACCACTTAGTGCAGTCATTCTAAACTAAAAGACTGACAAGAAGAAGTTTATGAGAAATTTAACAAAGATACTACAGGAAGTGAATCGAGTGGCTTTATCACAGCGGATACAAACTAGGGTCCTTGGCCGGACATACTGCATAATCGGAAAACATTGAACTCGTCGTCCATCCAGCTAATCGGGTGTCCATCCTTTTTTCCATCAGATTGTAAACCACCTTAGATTATAATAGAATATAAACATTCAAACAAGAAATAAATCACATTTTGCATTAATTTTATGTAATTTTATTCTTTGTCATACAGAATTATCAGATTATGTTTGATAGTAATTACTATTGTAATAGTGATTCTTTTTGAATCGGATTACAGCCTCGTACAGTAACTAATGTTTTTTTATGAAATGCCATTGAAGAACATTGGATTCTTATATTATGTCGTTTTTACTATTATCATATTGTTTTCTGGCATATTTTCCCTATGGTTATCATATATAATTTACATGTGACACGTGCATTAATCAGTTCTGTAAATATGGATCTCGCGAGTTAATTTAAGAGTAGCTTCTCTTTACAGGCATATGCAAAGAGTTATATTACTGTATATTATACACTCATTTGCAGAAAATATTCCTAAAACCCCACTTTATCTTGCAGTGATAACTATAGAGAGAAATACTTTGTACAAGGCAACGATATCGGATATAAAAAAAATACAATATAATACAGAACAATAACATTTTTAAGATTTATCACATATCTTCATTCTCAGGCATTCTGTAGCCTTTTACGTATCATTCTTTATTACGATATTTTCGTTTGCTGTGAAATTTTCGTCTTCACTCACTACGCTTTTCTTTTTGAATTCCAACGCTCTTTCATTAATAGTCTATCGCTTCTCAAATTTCATTAATTGTTACATCAGACATATATACAGAACACTCTTGTGCTAATATAACCTAAGCTCCACAAACTGACCATTATTTATTCTTGCATTGATATTGCATCGGATGATTTATTATTCTCAATATGATTAGTATCTTCTTCATTTAAATGCATATTAGATTCGACTGTCCTCCTCGATTCAATTCCACGATCGCTCTTACTCGGTGAAGTCAAATCAATCTCCGGTATAGATACCATCTTACGTTCTATGATATTAGTCTTAATAGCATCTTCAATCTCAAGAGTATCATCTACAAGATTCTCTTGATACTTGGTCTGTATCCTAGGAGACATCTGAACATACTTATGCTCATTTTTCTCATAATTGAACACCTTAGAGGCTGGCAACTTTTGAGTATTTTTCGTTAAAATCACTTGCTCTCCCTTATCATTCTGTCCTATACACGGTATAGTGTTTCTTTTTGCTAAAATAATCTTAGTATACTTAATAGTAGGTTGTACAGTACGTGGAACATTCTGCATAGTAACAGCAGCCCGACTGATCGCAGAAACAATAGAATTTTGCGGTCGCGCCTGGAACAAAGCGCGCGTTATTGTTTGCGTGGGAACGGTTGGCCGTACAATTGTTTGTATCGGTGGATTAAGGATTTTTCCACATGACTGTTGTACCTTATCATGTTTGTTAGTTATCAGAACAACTTTTGTAGTGGTTCCCAGTTTAGGAACATTTTGACTCTTGTCATAAGAGTCTATGACAGTAGGCATCTGAGTAAGAGACGGTACTTTTTCCATGGCGCTTAAATTATCACCGTCCTTGGCAAATATTATTGGGATATCCAATATGTTGCCGAGATCGTCGTCCAGGTCATTTGCGAATTTCTTCTTCATCGTAGGCGACTGTGGCTTTGCCCTTTGGGCACGTTGTAAGTTACAGCTATTCACCGTGATCTTTGGTACTGGCTTTGTAGATTTTTGTGCTGGCTTCAGTTTGTTTGATAAAGGTAATATTGTTATCGGATTTTGACTTGTTATCGGGACTAACATCGATGAACTGTTCCTTGCATTCCGTGAACTTTCGGCTAGCATGACTACGTTGCTGCAGGATGTACTGAGTGGATAGTTTTTGTTGCTGGACAGACTTGCTTGAGAAGGCAGCAATGATACCTTCGAGATATCCAAGGAACGAGTAGAAATGGGCATCGTTCGATCGAAGCCGCTGCCTGCTGTTGTGGTGTCCATCACTACAAAATACAGACACTTTTCTCAGATATTGTCAGAGAAAAGGGCCAAGGAATGCATTACTATTGCAGTGGATTTTCTATTTGGTTTCTTATATGTTGATCTGCATTTCTTACAACCGGAGCACTAATAGAGTAATACAAAATGCAAGAGTTGGAGTACTTAGCAAAGCATGATAATTATGTACTACACAAAATTCCTTGATAGACCTATTTGCAAAAAGTGTATCTTGATTTCATAGATGTAATATGGTTCAACGTTAATATACTGTTTTGTACAAAAACAAGAATTAGATATGTCCTACTCAAAGAAAATGAAGTCAACGTTCATCCTATAAATTGAGAATAGAAATCTGATCGTGCATTTACTTTCGATGAGGATATTGGGGGTAGGAATGAAAGTAATCCGAATTACAGAAAAATATTTATTCAACATAAAATATAAAGCTATAGTGGTGTATTTACAGATGCACGCATTTATATCTGAGAAAATTCATAAAAGTGACATTTATAAAAGAAACTCACAGTTGAGATTGTAAAATTTTATAAATACGCACCGTTTTTTATATGTACATATAAAAATATGTTATCAAGTTGAATTCATTTTATTGATCATGCTTTGATTTGTAACAATCAATTTCAAAATTTACACTGCCTGTCATTTGAGGATAGAAATGAAAGTGTTTCTCTTTAATTGATTTTAACAGTCAGTTAATTTATTACAGTGATAAGTACAACAGATTCATGAGATATCAACGGTTAAGTTCTTTTTGCATCGTAAGAGGAAAGAAAGATTGCGATATCACGAATATTCAATTGCTACGAATATTAGTTATTGTATATTATTGCAATGAAAGCATTTGAATAAAGATTAGTGCAGCTTTTAAGTAAAATCAAGTGTATATACATGCTGCCTTTATTTACTTGCTACTGACATTAGCGCTATACTACACCATAAATTATATTTGAAAAATGTAATTTTCTCAAAGATTACATCAATTAACACGATCTACTATATACATCTCGTCATTGCAAAAAAAAATAATGATTACGATATATCGACTAATGACAAAAATTATTTTGAAAAAAAAAATGGAATGATTGTCAGGTCTGGTTTCTTTTTGCATTAAGAGCAGAATTACATAACATGCATATACTGTGACTCAATGTCTTTTTTCAACACTAAAAAACAGCATGATACTAAATACTGGCAAATGGGGCTCTTTTTGTTTGTATCAAATAATAGCAGTGCGCACGCACTCAATTTTTCTAAAACATCATTCCATTCCGGCATACTTGTTGCAAGGAATTTGTTGCCAAATACAATGACGATTATAAAGTTATAAAAATTGTATGATACTATAGTACAATGTAGAAATATTAATAATTATTGTGATTCAGCGGCACGTTTCAAGTATACAGAGTATCTATGATTATGTACATCTACCATAAATTTTCTTTTTGAGAGCATGGCCTCTTTGGTGTGTTTTCAAAATACGTTTTTTTTACGACAAATTTTATACTGAATGACCTGTATGATCGAAGGCACTGACTAATAACTTAAGTTTACAAAGTGTCAATCACTTATTCAAAATGTGGCTAGATAATAATATTCTACCTTTTGCAGCTGAAGTGGATGTAGTAGACAAAACTGTGTTTGCTGTGTTAGTGCTAGGAGTTAACAAAATACTGGATGCTGGAGTTGTTCTTCCCGTAGACTGACCACTTATTATCCCTATTGAATTTCTCCCAGATTGTAGCAAAGCCGTCAGCGCATCACTTGCGCTTCCAACCGGTTTACTATGCATTGCTAGAAGATAAAAACATTATTTTCAAAATTTATTTTATGACTAAACTTATTGGTGTTATTATAATAAATTGTATATATTTATAATACCTGTTGGCGTACAAGCACTGACACGAACTTGATTTCCAGCAGTTGTTAATACATTTACCAATTTAGTTTCTCCTCCTTTATCAGTAATATTAATGTGCTTATAATTGCCCGACATCACTTTCGAAAATCCTTTATTCGCTGACATCACAGTTTTCATTTTCGGTACAGTTTGCGGTGTAATACTTGTTGTTATCATTTTAGGCAATTTAGCAAAAGTAGTAGGAACCCTAGATGTAGAGCTTGTTTTCGCGGTAGTTGTAATAGCTGAAGTAACGGACGATGGAGCTAGTCGTATAGGTCCTATAGGAGCTAAGCTAGCAAGAGAGCCGATATTCAAAGTAATTCCACCATTACCAGTATGCGTGTTTTGCTAAAATCAAATATTTAATTAATACAACAAAATTCAATTTCGTCTAAACTTTTTCTCAGCCTCTTTAATAATGAATAATTTCTTACCTGCCCTGTGATTCTGGGGGATATTAAATGCTCGACCAAACCAGTTTTTTGATTAGATGTTATCCTGGATTTGCGTCTAGCGCCTGATGTATGATTAAGATTCGTTCCACTGACAGCAACCAATGTTGGCTGAGTTTCCAATGTTGCTGTTCTGCTAATAACGGTTGAAGTAACAACAGATCCTATAACGGTAGTCGATGAAATTGGGGTACCCGGTCTTGATTTCTTTACGTTCGGGGAATTTGGTTCACTCTCCACTGAACTACTTGTCGAATTCTTTCTTTTCCTAGATTCCTTCTTATTGTTCTTATTATCATAATTTGAAAATGCTGCGGGTCGCAGTGGTAGTGGATGTGGTTGCAAGAGTATGCTACCAACAAAATCACCAATTTCATCCAAAATACATCTGTCTACCATGCTTTGCGTGATACCCTCCGACATTTTTTTAGCGGTTGAGATTCTTAAATGGTTATCAGCAGTACCCACTACTACTAAGCTTGTCTCAACTAGCATTTTCTCACGTAAGTCCTCTAGATCATCTGGTCTCACCAAGGTAGCATGTTCTCCTATTATAAACATGACTGGACATCGAATGTCTATGAGAGTATCATCCGGTGCGCCTCGTTTTCCTTCCACAGTTATGAAAGGAAAACCAAGGCATATGACAGCAGTAACGTGCTCCATTTGTGCTACCTATTAATTTCGTAAACGATTTCATCACGTAAGAGAAGTTTTCTTAATCCGATTGGAACATTTTATATGAGATTAAACAAATATTTACCTGACAAGCAAGTGCAGCACCTGTATTGAAGCCTACAAGTATTATTGGTCTTCCTGGACAGTCTCCTCTGACATCTTGTATTTTTGCTCTAGTTGCTTGAACTAACTGATCGATGCATGCCATCATTGTCATTCTATTGGCAGCCAAGCCTAGATGAGTATGGACTGTAACCACCATACCAAGTGCACCTAATTGTGAAATCCATTTATGTTGACGGGAAGAAATACTAGTTCCAACACTGGATGGAGCTATTACCAATATAGGATTTCCCGGTAATTTTTTCTGAAATAATACAGTGTTAGTTTTCCAGAATTTCGAACTAGCCATGTTCGTTATTAATATTTGATATAATTACAGGTCTATTAGAGTTTAAGCTAGATGCAACAGGATCCCATGATCTCTTTAGAAGGGAGCCAAGTGTTTCCCATGTTATTGGTGATCCTTTAGCATTAATATTTGGTTGCACAGCAATCATTTTATCGATGAGCTGCGGAATTCTTAATCTCGACGTTTGCAAAATATCAAGGTATATTGCCAGGTACTCTTGTGGAAGGTAATCGAACAATAAATTGTGTAACCACTGAGCTAGTCGCCAGTCCCACCCAGCTGAAGCCAAGGTTTCACGAAATCTCCTTGCAGCTGTGTCTACTGATATCCTTCGAGAAACTGGTTCCATAACACTTTGTGCCTTGGCTAGTCTTGCAAGCCTCTCCGATGTCAAAATTTTTACAACCTTAGAAAATATTCTATTCTGAACTGGTGACCATAGTATTTTTTCAATCTTATCTTCCCAATCATCATTTTCATCTGGTCTTGCAAAATTTGATAATCTTTGAAATTCATCCATAAGATGGCGAGCTCTGGACAGATCATAGGGAGGTGCAGGCATATCAGTTATCCCTCCATCAACATCAATCTCATCATCCTGTATCTCTTTCTCCCTGATAATTTGAAAAGTAATAAAAGCTATATTGAATTCAGATACATATCTTTCTATAAGAGCGTTAACCAAATTAAAAATACCAAATGCTCCAAATACAGATAAACATAAGCAAAGAACTCCACCATATTAAAATAGAACATGACTTACGTTGACATAGCATTCTTCTGCTTGCTAAAGAATATCTTTTTGATAGGTTTCGCATAGACATTTTCAGGCTTCCAGTTCCAGGGTCGTGCATAACAATGATCCTTTAGAATAACGTCAACCTCAATCTCATTACAGCCAGCCAGCTGATGTATATATGTAGTTAATCGACTTGGATTCTCATCAGATGAATCCCCAGTTGGGCTTGGTAATCCAGAGCCTGTTGCAGATGTTGTTGGGACCACAGGCCCTGAAGATAGTAGCATCTTCATAATACTATCACGGCCAGAACCAAGTTTTGTGACATCAGCCATCTGCGACGTACTTTTCCCTTTAGGTTTCCTCAAAAACCTGCAACACACATTTTGTTTTGTACAACTCCACCCAAATCAACTTCCATCATTTATATCAGTGGTAATAAACACCTCAAAAGATGGTACAAGCCCACCACGGCGTTAGCATCTTTTCATTTCAGCTTCAATCATGTAATATACCAATTAAAACTTTACGCATTTTAAGAAAAAGAATATTACACGCGTTTACACTCGCGCACAGTACTTTATAAAATTACAATACTTTCACAGATATTTTCTTCTAGTTCCACATTTTCGGAGCATATTAATTAACAAACGCTGACTCAGTTAGTGCTTTTATTTGCTTATTATGGCAATAAAATCAGTGACTTATTGTAAAGCAACCTTTAACATCGTTAATAAATTGCATTGACAATAATGCAACCCATCCATTCGCCGTTGAGTAGCTAGTATTTTTCACCAACAACCAATAGTATCTTTTCTTTCATCGTTCTTACAGAGACGAGAGTAGGGAGATGCTCAACCCCATGATACAAATAGATGAGGTATAGCCACTAGCGAACGTATTTTGATCCGGATCGCGCAGGTCCAATGACTCACGTTCGAAGCTAACGTAATACCACTATATGCAACAACGCCACTGCAACAGAATTTTCAATTTAAATGGTTCTCACACGGTGGGTAGAGAGATGCACAACACTACGGTTTTAGGAGATACCAAAATCATGGCGCCAGATCGTAGCGGCGAGCACGGAAGTAGGATTCTGTGATCATCGCCTCCGTCGACAATGCAAATCCCGTCGTAGTCGAGCTAAACGTGAACACGATCGCGTAGCTTGGCGGGCAGAGGTTCTCCGCTACTCACCGCTGGTTCCCAAAGCAACTCTTAGAACGAGACCGGGAAATATAGAACTTCTCAAGAATTATTGAAAAAACTTATTGTTGAAATATTTTTAAGACATTCTTAAGAAAGTCCCAACTTGACACCCGTGTAGCACCTCAATTTTTACAAAATATTATTGGATCTTGATTTACTTTCAAAATTTATTCAAAATATAAAATTGAAGCTAAATAAAAATCTCGCAGAATATACGGAGTAGATAAAATTTGAATTGAAATTGTAGAATATAATTAAATCAATAAAGTAAAATATTGACACTCAGAAATCGGAAATTCAGGCCAAGCATATTTTAGAAGTACTAGAAGTTGCCCAAAGTTGTGTGCTCGCAAATTTGTCACGCAGGACTCGGTGAGTGGGAGCAGACGGTTCGGGAGGGGGGAGAGCGCTTGAGGCAGTGCCCGGCCTAGGAGCGCTCATTTTTCTTCAAGCCGGTCTCTTATACTGGTCTCTTGGAAGCACCCCTCATCATATCCATTTCCAGCCTTCTTCTATTTCTATATTTATTTCTTCTTTACTTCCTTGTTTCTTTATATTTCATTCTTCACTTTCTTATTTATCTCTTTCCTCATTTCTTCTCCATTTTTATAACTCTATTCCTTACTTTTCTACTTCATCACTTCTTTATTTCTATCTTCATTTCAGCTATGCTCCATTTTATCTTATTTGTAATAGCAATGACAAAAATATTTTTCTGTTTTAATGAATATTTTTAATCCATTGTATAATAGCAGCGGAGCAATTAGGAAAACATGAGGAGCATTTAAGGAACAATTTTTTAGGCATTATAAACATACATTTTTATCCTTTTATGCTAACTTTCCGATGGGAAAGTTTGTGCACTCACGAGGTTCCATTTTGCTGTTTTTTTAAACATATTGTCACAGTTCGCTTTCCTTTTTTATTTTTTATCAACGTCCATTCACAGATCCTAAGCTACTGGTACCGTACAGTAATAATAATAGTCGCATTAATATAATATTAATAAAAATAATAATCTCTAGCAACTAATCTCTAAAAACGCAGTACAGTACATACACGCAACCCGTAATCACTCGCAATCTCACACATTAGCGTCCCTAGTGGCATTATATTTTTTTCCAAAATTTGTTTTTTTGACATGTCGTCCTTTTTCTTCAAAAGTACAAGTAGATACATACATGATTATACACAGGTCGAACGTAAAGAAATAATGGAAAGTCGCATCGCGGAGAGGTAACAATAGTCTCCTCTCGTTATCTCGTGCCTTTCTTTCGGGTATCATATATTTTTTTTTCATTTGGTCGATGCTTTTTATTGTCACGCGAATGATAATAACAAAGAGTTCGTCCCTTCTTTTTTTTCGATATTGTTTAAATATTACTTTCTTTTTCTTTCTCTACCACCGATAAAAGTCGAAGGGGGTACGAAGCCTCCAGTAAAAATTATCTACCTTTTATTCTTCGTAAGTGCCTAAACGTTCAATCTGCTGCTGGGGGAGTAGGAGTGATTTAAATTATTGGACGTTTTTAACAAAGAGGACGGTGGGAGAGACAAATTAATTGTACGTAGGATCCGTGATAATGCAGGATAATCAGTGACTATACAGTCACGAAAACTCTGTAGAAATTTTTGGTCATAATATTCATATACCGATATGTGCATCGTTGTTTGTTCACCGATTCGACCAGATCAATTTTTAGCACGCGAGTTACACATATGATATACTTTTTTTTTGTATACAGGTAAGACTGATTGTTATAATATTAATAGCAATAATGATAATAAACACGATACCATCATGTGGTTAATTCGTAGTTACTAAAGCATATTGTTTACCACCTACTGATATTCCTTTGGTTTACAACTCATAAAGAACAATTACACGTGATGTAGTAACCGATATATCCTTTTGGGAATTTTTACCTAACTTATATGGAAAAAATTAATTGGTCGCAGAACGTTCTCGTCGAATCGGTGACGGGCTTCTCTTTTTCCTTAATTAAAAATCCTGTCTCGACTTATACGCATTCGTTCGCTCTTATATTCTCACTTTGTTCTGTTCTTCGCATTAATTTACTCTTAACTCGTGTGCAAGAAAATATTAAAAAAAAAAAAAAGTATCGGGCTTACAGGTTAACTGGAACACTGTTTTGGTAATGTGGCACGCGGCTAAAGGAGAACGTGACTTAATTTAACTTTCAAAATTAATGTCATTGGGAATGTTTCAAAGTGCATTGGATAATTACTACTCTTGCGTACCTTTTCGAGTATTACATTCAATTTCTGTCGATCAATTATATTCGATTATCATATCAGGCAGATCAGTTTCTCCTCGGTCGGTATACAGTATCTACTTACTTCTATACATATGTCCGATGGCTGTGGCTGCTATTGAGACTATTTGTACAGTTTCTGTAAAATACGTTTAGTGTTCTGTGACCGCTCTCACACTGATAATTAAAACTACATTTCACTAGTTGTATAGTTGAAATAAAATAAAACTGTTTAATTATTAGTGCGAGGTATAACTATTAAGCTCTTTTTTTAAGTCAGAGTGCACACAGAACAGCTTTACAAACATTCACATTATTGTCTGACACAAGATTTATTTTGACAGGCAAATTCCCTAGATTGGAAGTGGAAAAGCCTTGGTCTTGTTATGGGTAACAGATATACCAACCTAGGAGTCTGATGTCGCACAACGACTATAGTTATGAATGATTTAAATCGAGACTATGCATCGAAACATTCATTGGAATGTATATCAACCAGTTGAAACTTATGCATTGAACTATTATGCACTCTATTGTTGTTCCACTGATTCCATGTTCTTTTTTTAATTTCGTGAAATCGACGAAACGCATGGTTAGAGCTTCGTGCAATTTTTTAAACTGAACATTACATGGATTACTATTATTATCCGATATAATTAATTCGCACTGATTCAATCGAAGCACCTTAATGAGTTTTCTTGGTGCGATTTTATGACTCTTCCATTCGCAACGATTTCAATTGTATCACGCGGACATTCAACAATATCAACACGTAACAAGTAAGTATGCCTTACACCGGGTCAACCGTATGAATATATATATATATATATATATATATATATATATATATATATATATGTATGTATACAGAAATATCTGTATGTACATCAAGAAAACCATACACGATGTATGTAATGATTTCTTGGAGCACGCGTAAACGCGATGGCAAGATTTTTTGCAGCAAATTTCTCGACATCGCTGCGTAAGGACATTTTTCTTTTACACTGTTGGTCAAAATTGTCCTCACTGTTTGTACAATGATTATTACGATTTGCGACATTATTTACTGGTCGATCCGGTGGAATTAATGGAATTGGCTGTGCCGTCCGCTTTCAATATGGCTGCCTATTGTTTTCGGACGTACAACTCCTTAGTTTATATTAAATTATATTATGTTGCTTCGTTTTGTCGTGTTTTTCTTGCTCGTTTCTTTTTTTTTTAGATTTCAGCAATCTCTTGGTACAGAGATTACTTTTATCATCTTCGCGGCGTATTTTATTTCATTAGTAGACCAGTTTAAACCTGAGCGGGTTTTGACTTGCCGACGACCAGCATTATCTTCTGGAGGAACTGCGTGGCGTTTACTGCAACAGTATTTATCGAATTAATTATTAATACTACAATTATGTGGTATAATCATAATTGTTTGATATTGCTCATATTATTTAAGACTGTGCACTTTTTGCGATATACTTGATGTGTGTGCTGTAGTGGTGCTCATGTATATGATTCATCATGCAAAATCAAAGTTTAAAGGTGAATTCAAGGTTTCTCATTGCTTTTTGAAATTAAATTAATATTATTCGTACTTTTTATGATTTCAATCTAACGTCAATATTATGTCGTTATATCTCAATCGAACTGATACGTTGAATCTAAACGAGGAATGAACGTATAATTAGAAGCAGAAATATTTTTTATAAAATAAATTATATTAATTGGATTCAATTTGAGATAAATATTGGAAATTCCATATTTTGCAGGTACGGCTATAAAGCAAGGAAACAGGGAAAATAAATGCTGATATCTTAATAAGCGTGTAAGGTGATTTGAAATGATTGCATATTAAGCATAATATTGTTATAATCGATATTTAAAAACATGCGTGACATGAGAGAGTAATATATGTATAGTGTGTTCTGAACCTTAGTCTTTGGTCGGACAACCACCATCAGCTTCTGCAAAGTTTGGGTAACGGCGCCTGTAGAAATAAAGAAATTGACAACGCAAAGAACCGAGAAAATCAATTAAATTCAAATAAACGGATGATATCCATTATAAAGTAAAATTTATCTAATTATAAATCGTATAGGTATTCTTGAAATCCGCCAGTGATTTTTTTAACATAAAAAAATAGACACTCGTCATACCTTATGTAAACTGAGACACGATATTTCTTGAATTTATCAGAAAAATGTCTTCTGTGTATACTTACCGACTGATTTTTGGAAGAATTTTGGTTTGTTCTTCCACGCGATGAAAGCGAAGTATACAGGTACCGAAGATAGGATCATTAGGCAACCGTAACCTGCATTAAAAAAGTTATTATAAAGAAAGTTGACTAATGTAATGAATTAAATAAATTCATTACATGACAAATAAATACCTGTTTCGATAGGGCTTGCGTACATAGGCACTATCGTGACGAAGAGCGTTGCTAAAATGTATACTATTGGAAAGGCTAGATTCACTCTAATGGGTCTAGGTAAATTCGGTTGTGCCCATCTTAACCAAGGTAGACACAGCACGGAAACTCCTATGCTTAACTGGAAAAATAAAAAACATATTTCAGATATAACATATCACGATTAATCGCACAAAGACCTTTAACCGGTCATGTCAGGTCTGTGACTACGCAGTATATGTATAATTTGTTCAATATTTCTGTATCTCTAAATGCGAGAAACAATTTTCGAACGAAATATTGTAAATACTGCACGCAGGAATAATCATGCGCGATAGTTTAACGTAGAACATTTTATAAATGAAAACTTACCCAGGTGGCAAAGCCCACATAATTAATCAGTGCGAAAATATCCGAAGAGCACAGATACAGCATAGACAGCAGTGCCTGAAAGAAATATCTTTTAGTCTTATATTCAAATATAAAATCTATTATAATAGATATGTTAAATTTTTAAAAGCAGCAGATAAACTAGTACCATGCAAAGAACAGCCGGTGTCGGCGTGAGCCTAGAGACTTGAATCATAGTAAGAATTTCGGGCATCTGTCCCTCGCAGGCTCCGGCATAAAACAGTCTGGAGGACGTCAAAAGAATTCCATTAACGGCGCCAAAGGTTGATAATGCGACGAAGACTGGTATCGTCCACGCCATTACGCCAAACAGTCGATTAGCGAATGTCTACAACGAGAAATAATATACATAAATCAATAATGGCATATTATTATATTTACGATTAATTTTACGATTACGATTGATGCCTCATTATTATATTTACCAATTTGCATGGATCATATGAAACTGAAAAAATATGTAAAATGGATTCTTACCACAGCGACGGCTTCGCTACCCTCAATTTCAACAGGACTGAGGGTCGTATAGAAGGCGACATTTGTTAATACATAAACAATGGTTACCAGCGTGCACGAGATGCCAATGGCCTTTGGTAAATTTCTGAAAAATAAAAGTATGAAAGATTTACAAATGAAATTCAAGCTGTTTCTATCCGGTTAAGGTTAGGGTAGTAGATGAGCCTAAACCACGGTGAAGTTGAAACTCTTATGTGGCTTCTTACTCGGGCAGAACTTCCGTTGACAAGTCAATATACTTTTGGTCAAGTTACTAATTGTTATTGACTAGTGAATGTTTTTGCTTTGTTTCGTTTAATCAAATTGTGGTATAATTTTATTATATCATTCTTTTCTTTCTTTTACCCACCTTACCGGATCCTTAAGTTCCTCGATTATAAAGTTCAAATAATTCCAACCGTTGTACGCGAATAGGCCTGAATAGAAGCTCAACGCTATCGACGTCACTTCCGTTTTCGTATCTTTGAATGTGAAGTGCTCGGTGTGACCTGAAACAAAGGAAAACGTGAGTTCTCTTAACGAGAGTAATTTCGTCAAAAAGACACAATGGGATGACTTCAAATAATTCGTCGCTTTTTCTGAAGGCGTATACACAGGGTGTCAAATAATTTTCGAATATCGGCGACCATAACGTGAACAAATAAAATCATAAAATTATAATCAAAAATTGACAGTAGCTATATTTATCTGTATCATGAACCATATGAGAAATTCCCATGATTGCGTATAGAAACTACAGAGAAAAAAAAAGTTACTGTCAGTAAAACTTACAAAAGGTCATTAAATGTATAAAGATTTAAATCGCACCGAGAATTCAGCAGGAATCGTTCCTCATGGTGAGAGTCTGATTAAGTTACTGGACTAAAGGACCATTTAGCCAGCTGATTGGTTCAATTTAACGATTCTTTACGCGCGAGTTTGTACCCTGTATTCTTCACGTATGTATTTTTAACCACCTTTCTGATTGGGCAAATTGTCTCGTCCGGCAAATGTCTCACAATCGAGCCAGAGAGACGCGGTCAACCTGAGAGCATTTTATGATTTCACGAGAAGCGTAGGACGTTCACAATGGGGCATCTTGCGACTGAAACATGCTCCCAATCGCTCAATGATATTGTATTACAGCGTTAAGCGTTGCTCACACGCACGATCATTGCGTGGGCGTTACACTTGACAACTTCACTTCCACTGATTGTGTACAATTTAAATCGAGTCTCCGGTGACACATTGAAAAAGGAAAGTTTACGTTACAGTCAAAAGAGAAAGATGCAATTAATCATACGTTGAATTATATCAAATAAAATTCAAAACGCGATTAGGAAATATGGCCGTCTATTTTTGCACGCGAATAATACGTATTTTGATATACAGAGTAATGACCGGTGAAAGGTACCCACGTATGACGCAAGACTATAGTATAGCTCCAATTACTTTTTCTTTCGAAATGATTTCTGCCAATTCTAAATGACTCAGCGATACAGAAGAATGTGACTGAATTTCAAACGTTGGAGGTCGGCTATTATTGGTGACCTATAAAATGGCGGATTTTTCAAATCATATTTCGACAAACGGTCGGCTGACTTGAAAAAAAAAATTCCGATCAAATATCAGTAGATAATAATGGTTTGAGCTAGTACATAAATTTTGCTTTGATACTTTTTGATAATCACACTAATATCAAAAACGCCTTGTATCCTGTGGTATAGATTCGAAAAGTAATTAGATAAGGTTATTTCATCAGACGATCAAAAATAAGATAAAATTAATAAGATAGTATCCTTCGGGCAAATTGTTATGATTATCAAATGACTTTTACTCTAATTAGGTCTTACTAATTTTAATAAGATATCCTTCCAGTACCAATGCATATATATACCTAAGGTTCTTCTCGATAACTTTTCTATACGTATATCAACGTACTCACACTGATATACTTCACAGGACACCTTGACACTTAAATCTATTAATTAGCAACAATGATTATAGACTCTTACCAGTACACAACTGATATACCCCGGTAATGATGATGATGAATAGTGCTAAAAGTTTTGCATAAGTGAAGACATCCTGTACCCTAGTAGCCCATTTCACGTCCCAGCAGTTGATGAACGCCAGAATGCCTGATAAAGACAAAAAAATCACCATATACATATACATATAAATAATGTAAAAGTCCTTAAGCGCTATTGCATAATTATTTTTTGTTAAAATAAATAGAAAAAAAATAAATAAATACACGGTGAGCGAACGAGCACTACGGAAAGCACCGAAGCCAATGGTTTTTGTCACATAGCTCACGTGACTGAATGTAAGGTCGATCCTGTTACTCAGCCCTGACAATTCTTCTCTTTCCCGTCGTACTCCCTTCAGTTCCATATAAACGCACAATTACGACTTTTAACGAGCATCTCCCGTAATTGCGTAACCGCACATAAAAATTGCGAGCGTGTGACAAAACCAAAAAGTATCCCGAGCAATTCTAAGAACGAGAGACAGTATACGCTAGGCAAAACCTTGAATATCGAGTGTCTCTCGCTGAGAAAGTTTTACTGGTAAATAATGCGTCCGTGGGGATTTCCTTAGGCACGTGTCACAGTGGAATTTGGTGCAGTAATTCTACAAAAAAAAAAAAAAAAAAAAACCCACAGAGACGCTAGGCTGAACTTTTTTTTAAGCATATGGATAATAATCCTAAACGAGCAAGCAAGTTCTACGAGCAATAAAGGAATGACAAAAAAAATATTATTTTTCCATTAGTCCCACTCCTATCATTTACTTTTATATGCACGATACTATACTCATACGAATAATCTTTTTTCCGTGATTTACTCGTACGTGCCTACAGTCCGTACAGAGTTTGCGTTTACGTACGGGAAAGCGGGTTTGCGATAGGATATGTCGATCAACCACCTGGCTGATATAAACGTTCGGAGGAGTCTGCTGGAATTGCGTAATATGCAGATCGGTAGACGCAAGTTCAGGGACGCGACACTGGGAGTCAGTATCGTTATTTCAATACTTTGTCAATGCATCGATCAGTCAATTGAAATTTTATGTGTCACATTTTTTTTTACACGACTTCACTACAACACACGATAAGCACTGTTAGCATGATGTGGTTCTTGAATTAATCACTTTTTGATTGGAATCCAGAAATAACCGTAGCAGCCTGATAGTATCTGGTGATAACTGGTATCTTCGTTTTATATATTATTAAAATATATTCAGACCATTTGCACTAATGACTTTTTATTATACTTTTAACGACACCCAGTATATTAACGGCTGATGACCTTTGTTTATCTGCTTTAAATTTTTCGGTCTGCATCTTCGATTCTGTTGGATCAGGTTAAGTTGGATTACGTAACAATAGCTTATCAATCCTTGTGTACAAATATTGTATCGTCGTACACATTACGGTGATTGAGGAATTCTTCGCGGGGGATTAATATCTAGAGAGAGAGATACAGAGAGAGTGAGAACGTGACAAATGATTAGAGAAACAGAGACGACACTTTAATCATCAACCAAACTGTATCCTTGGTGGATTTCCTCGTTTGATTCAAGGAAAAAGAAGGAGTTATTGCGAAGATACCACAGACGATGGTCTCTGCGGGATCCTCTGACAATATTCTCGTCCTTGTAAGAAGCCGTATTGTGTCATCGCAGCATCCCCGTAGATTAATTGATATTTAAGAACAGTACCAAGATTACTACCATTCCGCTAGCAAGTACCAATGTGGGCGCATTAGTCTCGAGAGAAATCTCTTAATCGATCAATTGCTTAACTAATTGAAATATCAACGTCACAATTTTTCAAGTTGGTCCTCACAGTAGGTGAAAGTCTTACGTGCCATGAAAAATCACACTTATTAGATACTCTCGAGTTCATTTAATCACAATTAATTAAGACACCCGTATTATTTCGAGCGATCCTAATTATGTCTGTTAATTAATTCTATGACCACGTATACACTGTAGATGATCCAGGAGCACGTGTTTGATATTCTAAATATATTGTCGTACATGACTTCATAGGTGCTTTTGTTCGTGGATCATTATAACCAGATAGCTAAACACGTGATTACACGCCAAAGACCCACCTAACGTGTCCTCGTGTACGGTAGCCAAAAATAAATCCAACATTGCCGCATCTTTTATACGCTGATTCCCTTCATCCATCACGAATCCTCATGAAACGTGTCCGCGTGCATGTCAAAGGCAGCAATCACGTCTCATTGTAATCTAATAGAATTTAATAACGTAACGACTGACGACCACAACAGCATAATTTGCCGAACATCCCGACGTTCGGACTCCGGGCGTCAATGTAACCGTAAGGGAGGGGACTGTAGGTTACCCCGAATACGTATAAAAAAAAATGTAGAAAAAAAGAAAATTCAAATGAACGTGTAAAAGAAAGAAAAATTATACAGTCAATCAAGAGAGAGAAGAATTAATAAAGGATAAAGAGAAGAAACAATGTATAATATACATATGTATGTGTATATATATACATATGTATACAGTGGGCTACATAATTGGTATCAGTCTCACGAGATTCTACGAGATGTTGCATCAGACCATACGTGATTTTTCGTGGAAGGGATTCCACTGTCTGTTACTGCACAGTCAGCCAAGGCCGGTAGACTGATTGTTTGTCAGCGATAAATTCCCACGTGATTGCTACGTCGTGTCAACGTACCGATCGTCCTGGTCATTAACGTCAATAGAAATCGGTCCGTCCAGCACGCGCGACCAACCCCCCGCGATTTAGTTCTTCGCGGGGGATCCCACGGACTTCTCACGCGTCAATTCTCCTATACGCTTTCCACGTGGGGAATGTCCAATAAACCCCTTAGACGCTTCTTGACTATGTAACCGACACTCCTTAGTGCCCAACCTAACCCTACTTGCGCCTAACCGTGGCGTGAATGAACTCGCCTCTCGTGCTCAGCGGTAGCTGCAGGTCGATAACCAACCAAGGAATCCACCCCCTGCGTAATTCGCGCGATATTGGATCGGTGCCAGTTTGTCTAGGGTGGACTCAGCCTAGGAAGCACCGAGACGGGATAATGACTCGGTCTTCTTGCATGGCTTTAACCTCTAATACTTTTCGAGCCTATTGATCCTGCGTATGAACGACGCTTTAAGAACCAATCGACGATCAAACTGCGTACCATTGAATGTTCTTGGATAAATTGTACAGTTTATTTCATGCCCACTGCAATCCTTGGGGATACAACTTCCACCCTTAGTTCGTATGGGGTACCTTGGACGTTTTGATAAAAGTGGACCTAGCTGACTGATAAGTATTTATGAGAGAGATTAGGTACGTATGGATGGAGTCAATTTTATTTAGTAGGGATAAATAGGGTAGCATATATATGTATATAGTATCACTAAGTTAATGTGGATTTTGAAACAACCCATATTTTACCACCGAACGCAATTCAATAGAGATTCTATCGGTTCTACTGTCGGTACTCCCTGATATATGAAATTGAATTGATTATCGGTAAGACCGTAGTATAAGATTTACTACGAGTAGTACAGTCGTGACATCACGTAAAGTGAACGGAAGTGGCTTTTATGGTGGACGACGTCTCGATAACGTGCTAGATGTAGTGTAAACAATTTTTGGCCTGATAGACAAAAATGACAGATGTGTCAGCTGTGTTGCGTTACATCGATTGTAACTAAAATAAAAAACTGAATAGCGTCACTCGCATTTTTTATTTATCTGAAAAAAACGTTAAACACACTTATTCCTTAGTGAGTTTAATTTTTTCACATATAATAGCTACTCGTATGAAAAAAAAATGTGCTAATTTTTACCAATCGAATTACAGCTGTATCGATGCAAAAATTTTTTACAATTCACAGCATTAATAAAATTGATAATCTTCACATTATCAAATTGGTATCCATGTCTCTTTGAATAATAATAATAGCTTGCAACCTTAAAGATCCATCACCGAAACGGGCTCACTGGGTAGTGTCATTAAGGGTAGAATCGATATAGAACACAGGTACACTATAGGTGAGTCAAAGTCAGAACCAATTTGATGGTAGAAGAAATTGACCTGGATAATGGTAACTGCCATGTGCTATTCAGCACGTTTGAATCCTGGACGCTCTTTCCTATTGAGGATAAAAATATTATCAATAACTTACATATACAGCAGGCTGCAAGCATCCGCACCGCGTCATCCGGTGGCGAGCAATCAGGAAATACTGGCTTCAAGACGTAAATACTGAAAGTTAAGGCTACTATGGCCTGACTGCAGGGTCGTACTATCATGCATTCGACCCAGAGCCTGATAAAGGCCATAAAAGGTCCGAAGGTCTCCATGATGTAGGCGTAGTCCGCTCCTGATTTCCTGATCATACATCCAAGTTCGGCATAACAGTAGGCGCCGACCTAATAAGGAATAAAATAATTAATATAATTAACGAAAAAAATAATTTTTCGAGTACCAATAAACAGGCATCTTGGATTGCTTAATTAAAATTATAATTATCAAATAAATTTTGAAATGAAATTATATTACATAATTAGGTCAATTTCTTTTGTGTTCATTATAACATACTCACCATAGAGAAGAGGCCGGATGCCGTCCACACCAGGAGACTCGCATTTACACTTCCGGTGTATTTGAGCACGCCCGTAGGGCTCACAAAGATTCCGGAACCTATGATGGAGCCGACGATCACTGTGACGCCATTGAGTAATGACATTTTGGCTTCCAATTTTATTTCGTCACCTCCGCCCTCGCCGTTTGTCGGCACCGCGTCGTAAGGACCCTTCTCGCCATCTTTTATACTGCCTGATTTCGACATTTCTTCTGAAAGAGAAAAAGCCAACTGGCGGTTTATATTCATGTTAATGGCATTGACAAGTTAATGGCAAATGTCATCGTTCTTTTAACGTCGATGCAAATTTTGACATTTCACAAAATATAAATACTAATCTAAAAGTAGTTTTCACGGGTGAGACTTATATCATAAATAATAACCAGTACGATAACATTTGTAACGTTAACCATTATAATATATTATCCATAATATCCATATTCGAAACTTGGACAATCATCTCTACACGCAATTCTGGCTTAAGAGTATCTCATTATAAATTATTACACATAAGATCATTTTCTTATATTCGAAGCTCGTCGAGCACGCGGAACTAATATGATTACAGCACGCAACATCGATTGGCATTGACGTATCATAAGATAATGATATATATGTTTGTAAATTTTATTACATCGTATAGTACAATAGATCCGCTTTTCTTCAATATCTTTTCAGGAGCCTTGTACCTATACTCATAAACCACATGGGTAACAGATACGACAGCATATGTTACACTTGTAGGATATGCATAAGAAATGAGATAAGAGTACGTGTCTTAAGAATCCCAATACTATTTTTCATTTCACCAAGAATTTTCACTCTTGAGAAAATTTCGAATAGCGAGAAAATTCATGAATTTCGGATCGCCGTCTTTTATACAGCTACGGGTTCTGCTTTGGTTTTCCTGAATAATACATATCCTTGATAAGATTAACACTCGGAGAAAGGTTTCGCGGTAACGAAACGGGATTTTATACGTGAGATAAAATACGGACCAACAACTTATTCTGTTGCCAACGAGGAAAGAATTCGTGTCTAAATTTAGCCGAATCAGTATTAAAGTTTTGGAGTTTTTACATTGAAAACTTCAGCAGTAAATTATCTGCTGATTTTTTAAAGGATCAAAAAATTATTAAAAAAAAAAATAAATCCCTATCTACTGCTGCTTTCTTTCATCTAGTCGTGGAGGCACGTCTCGTAGGTGCGTCGACGATTGTAAATGCGACTCCCTTCGTTCGTGAAAACCGGTTTCACGTCGAAAAAGTAATTATCGGAATCTCTATTCGAAGGACATTTAAAGGCAGGTGCGTGTCATGGGCTACTGGTCGACTCTTTTCGAGAATATTGTGAACCAATCACGTCGCCAGGATAACGTTCACGCCTCTTACACTGCCTATCTGCATCGATAGCACGCGTTCTCAAACAAGCAAGAAACCCGTTCCTGATGGCAATAACTCGTCTGAACATTTGTTATTTTGCAGAACACATTTACCGGATTCCAGAAATCGTTAATTAATTCGTTTAATACATGCTCAGGGAGTTTTGTAAAATGAAACGTCACTACACTCGTCAAAATTTATTTCATCTACGGATCACTATTTTAAAAAGAAAAAACTTTTATTTTTAAACCTGTACAATTTACTTATAAATAAGGTTGCAATACTTTTTTCTTCCGTTTTTTAATTTTTTTTTTTTCGTGAATCTTATAAAGTCCTGCTTGCCTCGCAATCATAAAATAATATACTATCTGGTAGAGCACAGGTATTCGTTTATAGTATACGTGAAAAAAAATATAAGTAATATATTATCGAGTTTGGATTCATAATTAACGTCATAAAGTGCACGATATATAATGAAATGAGAATCAGTAGTCAACCATTAAAATTTAATAGACTTCAACGTTTGAAATAACATAAAAATGCAGCTGGGAAAATTATAAATATAAGTAGACTGCAATAATATTGTAAAAAAAATGATTATATAACTGAAGATTATTTTTGCAGTATCTCTAAAACACAGCTCTTGTAATGAACCTACTGAAAGAAGCTTTTCTCTAGATGGAAGGGCTTAAATTAATTGGAAAGATGCTGTTTGTTGAAAATCAGGGAAAATCCTACTCCTCAATGTGTTGGTTCGAGGAATCCCATTTGCTCAAATTGACAACTTCTCAGAGGCACGTACCGAACTCACCCGGATAGCACAGTTTTCTGACTAAGCTACTGTAGCAAAAAAATATAATAGGATCCAACGAGATATTCTTGCGATAAAATGTCATATATTAATGACATATAAAAAATGTCAGTTATATGAAATTTTATTTTTAGTAAGTATCGTATATTTTTATTTAAATTAGTACAATTTGTTTCACAACCAGTTACGATCTTATTATATTAACAGACTCGCATTCCGTGCAACGTGATTCGATAAACGAGTTCTGCTAGATAACACTCGCAGCACTTTGAATGAGGAGTATCAATGATATGTGAAAAAGCTACACTTAGCAAACGTATTTACATCTGTTATCTTACCTGCGATTGTCGCAAAAAATACATTTTCCACTATAACCCAAAAGAATATTCTAAATATGAAATAGCAAGGGAGCAACAAAAATCATCGAAACAAATATTTATCACTAAGACTTTTCGTTCGTCCTATAACTTTGTAAGAAATAATTTACATAGTTACCAGATAGAATTTACGTTGTCCACCAACCACGATAACCCTTTAACGTTCCGTCCAGATCAATCACTGATAACCTTAACGCGGATGTAAACCGGACCCAAATCGACTGAATGCTTTTAAAAAGACGAATAAAATCATGCTTCTATTGTCAGGTTAAGAAACTTAAAAAAAAATTGAATAATAATTTTCAAAAAATCAGTCGAATAAAAATCCTCACAAATATTATAGTCGCTCACGCCTTATCGATCTCGATAGAGCAGACCATTCTACAAGGCTACATATTATATATATAGCAGTGTACAAAAAATCTACGAGAAATACCATTTGTAATAGAATTAATAGATATATTTATTTTCGAAATATATTCGACATCCTATGTATAAAACCTCAAATACATATCTCACACTATTAGTATCACATATGTTATTAAGAATTTCCTATGCTCCCGCTGTGCATTATGCATACGTTTCACCATTGAATAGAACAACATCTTTATAGGGCAGCTGCCGTTAGTACAGCCTGAATCTACAAAAATTCTCGAACTTTTCCATTATGTGAAACAGGGTATATATGTAGAAGCACGTGCGTGCAGGCATTTGAATATAAAAGCAAACTGAACCCCTAACTGACGAGCGCGTCAATTCATAGACGAGAGAATACGAGGGTTTCGCATTCTGCGTCCCTCAACGCAGTATACAGGGTGACCGTCAAACAGGGTGGTTGCAAGGCCATAAAGAGTACTTTGAATCAAGACTGTCCCACGAACTTTATATTCTATATAGACTGTCTACGAAAGTATGCTTAAACATTGCATCATCCCTTATTGATCTTAAGCTAACATCGACGCCCTCGCCATGTCAGAACGTGAACTGTGTTTAAAGTATTTGTCGTGGAAATAAAAAATCAGCTTTAATCAATTTGAATCTATTTGCGCTATACGAAGACCCTACGTGTAGTCTCCGATCGGATAGATCAATCTTCTTTTATATAATTGATTAAGTCAATATTTTGTTTTCTTTTTTTTCCTAAAAACGTTTATTACCGTTGTAGATTTTCTTACTGATCAAATTTGTAATGTTAAATTTCCCGCTACTGTTTCACGATACGATGTGTATACTATTTGTTTTCAAAGTAGTATCATATATGATTGATAAACTTTTTTTTTTTGACACAAGTTATTAGATACGTAATGACCTCTTATATAGGTAAAATATTGTTGTTTTTATGTTTACGTAAAGCATAGCCAATTTTTCAGGCCATGGTGAATAGTTTGAGAAATTTTTGATTATCGAGTATCGATATTCGAGTAGTATTACTACATAAATCAGTATCATGGACGGTATATTATTTCATGTAATATATCCCAGCTGACGAATGAATGTACATTGCTATCTAGGTACAGATAATACTTTTTTTCTCACTTTTGATATTTACGAACGCTTTCGTCGACCGGACTTTTTCATACAAGTTTCATTTGAAGTTATGATTACAATATTCATGCTGCGTAGACAAATAAGAGCTCGGAGTATCGAAAGAATCAGACGTCTATGGTCCGTTTCCATCGACAAGGCGTGGACGCGTTCCGGCGTGGCGCGTCCGAAAATCAATAGAACCACGTGGTTGGCTTTGCAACTTTTAAATCTTTGATACAATTCTCAAAAATCAACTATCTAGCTATTTTATAATCATATATTCAGTTTTTGTTAATAAATCAAGTAAAAAAAAAAAGGATTCTTATATGCAATAACACTTTGTGTTGTTTGAGGTTACTAAAGAGCATTCGCACAAGATAAATCAGGCAATATTCATTTTTCACAAATAGAAACAAAAACCATTAAATACGATTTGAATAAAATGTGGATCCCTCAATTACAAGATATTTAATACAATTATTTTACTCACCTGAACGCACAAGCTTTGCTGAACGTCGCGTCAACCTGTAAAAGCACTTTCGGCTTTTCGCTGGTAAAAACTTCGAGGGAATATGGGCGATACACCCCACTGATTTTAGGCCTCAAACAGTATGTAACATATCTGTGGTGTTATCAAGTCACGTATCACTTAGAATTTAAGAGTTTTCTCAATGGAAGCAAGTAGCGGTCCGCGTTAGCACACGACTCGACCTTCGTCTCGCCACTGTTCGACACTGAATGAGGGAGCCGAATCGTACGAACACGAGGCGCATGTCGATCCCTCCTTTTGCGTACCACTACCTATACATGTATAATATAGCTACAGTTCGCAACCCTCTATAATACAATACGACATAGCCACCCTCTAGGGTTTGGATATCGACCAGCCGTGTGGCATTCTCGTTCAGTCCTGTCATTTGTGAAGCAGCCCTAAATCATTTTTCTTTCAGTTTTAAATCTATTACTATTACTATTACGAATAATTTAAAAAGAATTTTAATCACGGCAGCATTATTTGCTTGTGAACACGGAGTAACAATTGAAACTGACATTGAGATTTGGATATAATTAATCGCAATGTTATTCGGTACATCTGTATTTAATGGGCATTCAGATATTGAGATATTTTTTGAACCTTTTGCAAGGTAACGTATATTTTTTCCATGCTGTATTTTTACAGCGCGTACATATTTCCTGAGTTGAAAATTAAAGAAAATGTGCGGTGTGCGAATCAGATAATTTTTTCTGCTTTATCTCCGTAGGTTCAATTATGTATGCCGCGAGATGAAGGCATAATACGATTTCATTATTTGTACAGCTTTTCCTTTACTACTCATACTATATATTGTTACTTGTACTATCATTGCATGAAGCATATTATTTTTTGAAAATTACTTGAAAGGGCGCCTAACGTACTTTCAAATTCCCGCTTTAAGTAACATATGATATACAGTGAATTAAATTATTTTACGACATATTACATTGATTGTTGATTAAAAATTCATTGTACGTAAGTACTTTATTTAATTATTAACATTATTATTTAATTTTGAGCGATTATTTTAATATTATTTATTGAAGACAATATATTCTTATGTGTGTGAAACATTTGACTTGTAACATTTATAGGAATCAATAAATCAATATATTCAAATCCGTACATGTGCCATAGACATGATGCAGGAATATATTCATTCCATCTCGATTCTGTATACATGTTGCTGAGTGTATGGGAAAATAGAACACCCAGACAAAAGATCACTTCCATTACCAGGCTCATGATTCTTAGAGAAGCGTCCTAGATGTTCAGCCATTTTTCCTCGTTTCGATGGATCGTACCAAATGAAAAATCGCCTTTCCAGGAATCCACGTTTTCTCAAATAATTAAATAAAGGACGCCTTTCGCACCGTATCCAAATCTGATATGGAAACTACGCGTACTCAAGTCGTACAATGTAAATGAAGAAAAATATACAAATATGGCTACTATTCGAAGGCTGGAATAATAGAAGAAAATTAAAAATTAAGTTGCCATAAACACACTGAGAATATCAGTAAAAATGGCATATATACAGATATACTGTGTAATAACGCAAAAGAAATATTCGCTTTCTTCATTAGTATCGCTTCGCGTGCCACGTTGGATAATGAGTCATTAGTCATTGAAAAAGACGAAAAAGTACATTAATTATAAACCATGAATTAACATTCAAGTTTTTCATATTAAACGGCATTACTGCAAAATTGCTTTATACAATATCTTGCCACGTCGATTTCGTATTACTGAAATATTGCTGAACTTGCAATTTAAAAGTGCTACCTTATATATGCCTAATGTTCCAAACAGATCCAATGACAGTAGGCATCAATGTTCCTAAATGGAGGATTCAAGAAATCTTTCATCCTGAATTGCATGCTCCAATGATTCTATTTATGCACGAGGTATGGTTTAAGATTTTGGAGAAACTCCTGTTAGACATTGGATAACCGGTTCAAAGACTTCCAAGTTAAATCATAGTATAGGATTCACTATAAAGAAGTCGGATCCTCTTGCAAAAATAAAAGATAGAAAGTTGTGGTCCGTTGTTCCGAACCCCGTTTTTGTTAGCCAGGTGCGCAACCGTACGTGCACGTGTTCCTTGTGCCTTGCAAACCTTATATACAAATTCACAGTAGCACGAATGGCTGATGAAACTTTCGACGAATATTTGTAATCTTAATGTGGCACATTTAGCCAACTCAAATTTGGTTATACAGCAATAAAGCTAGATACGATTACCAATGGAATATTTGGTGATAAAAAAATATTCAATAAACGCAAATTCATATCACAGCATATTCAATCACGATAAAATAAATATTTCACAAAATTAAAAAATAATGAAGCTTTGTACTAAAATTCGTTACACCACGAGAATCAAATTGAGTATTAAAATACACCTTTTAACGAATTTATATTAAATCTAAATTTTTATACTGAATGCTCGCGTCTTTGATCCTGCCTCGAGTGAATGTAAAAGCTGATAAAAAATGTGCCTACTTTATCAAACCAACCGAATTGCCGAAAATATGCGTGAATAAAGTATCTCATATATCTTCTTCATTCACAATACGTAACTGAATCTGTCTATGTAGAAGTGAACCCAGTACCTTCTTAAGAAGTCCTTGTATTCCCACGAATATCTGCTTTAAGTGAGATCTAGGTATAAGTCTGAAGGAGCGTTTACTCCTCCATCAACTGTTGCTCCGTGGTGAATGCGGACACCGCGAACACCACGTAAACCACTAAGGACTATCAATGAGAGCAGAATTTCCACTGGTGGTATTACTCTGTGACGTGATGAGTATCCGCCCTGTTGTTAAATCACATAACTTTAATTACAAATTTCAGCAGACGTTAAATCGATGTCAATTTCAAGAACTAGGAAACGTGCTGCTCTGCCGTGAGACGTTCTAGTATGACGTCAGAAAATCAATACTGGACCACAGGAGACTGGGTAACCACGTCACTGGTGACGTCCATGAAAATTCTGGGTTCTCCCCATTAACACTTTCCTGGAGACTGTATAGAGGATATATGAACTATGTTGAGAGTCTTGTCATTCCTTGACACTTTATCAATTTACACTACCATGGTCCTGAGACACAACAATCATGACCTGGTAACAAAAGGTAACGATGAATATGCAAATCCTTAATACGTGAAACTGTCAATGTTTACTTTTGCATTAGCCATAATATACAGCACAAAAAATGTATTCGTTTCACCATGCAACTAGAATGCAAATGAGACCGTTAACGCTAGACTAAAGTAAATATCCCCAGGTCTAGTTACACGTCTAAATTACTAGTTTACTATCGTGAAGGCAACAAGGTAAATATTGATCAATGTGGTTAGTAGTAATTTTCTAATTTGCCATAAAACCTGCGCAACTGGCAACTAATTCATAATTACATATATTGTATCCGTTGGTATCGTAAACATTATAGGTTACCTTCCTTGCGTTATAGGTTCCCTTCACTGCGCTTTGATATACATTTAGTGTCCAGACGCAGTTATTATATACATGTATAGCGAGCATTATCCATTGGACGGCTGGTGTAATTGTTTCCGAAAGAAACTAGAGCGAAAAAACAATCTGTGCGCTTTGCTATGGAAAAGGAATAGTTGCGCAATGTAATTTGGCATTCGAAAAGAGCGTGAAAGCGAGAAGGTCGCGCTTAGTCTGTCACCTGGTGGCCATTTAGGTAATTAAAGTTACCCGCCTACACTCGCGTTTTCGCCTACGAATATCGAATGATTATTGTAGTGACATAATATAAATTATTCTATTTTGTTTAACGTACTGACTGCATTTGGGAGATTTATAAAATTTCTTACAGAACTTTACAACTATTTCACAATAAAAGGAATGTATTTATCGTGAAAATAATATTTATCAATAAAAATAAAGATAGCGATTCAAGGATGAAGCGATTAATTTATGCAGACAGGGATTTGCTGCTTGATTTATATAGTGAAGTACAGATTTTCTCTGTGCATCAAGTTAATTCAAGGTATGGAGATCGATTTAAATTGACTGTGAATTATAGTGTACAGCAAAGAACGACCCTGTGTACTTTCCATTATATGCGTTATACGATGGATAATATTAGCATACGAGAATTGCCACGAATCATATCCTCTGTACTGTGGTACAGTAATTGTATTCTGTGAATTTTCCTCGTGCAAAAAAGGTACCTAGCGTACAAATTGACTGTGTATTATTTCTTTTTATATATTTATACGCGGAAGGCTCTGTCCAGTGAAAGTTAATTTTTTCATATAAAATTTTAATCAGTTCCCTGAAAAATCTGTTTCCTTACTCCGTAGTAATGCGGTCGATCTAAACAGCTTCCACGTGATTGCTCAAGTGATGATGCATGCACAAAATGAGGAAGTTGATCAAAATGCTAATTAGTAAAATATTTTATCATATGCAAATACCTGTATTCATTCTGCTTGAAAAATTATGTAGTCTTACTTCGTAGAATTTAACAAGACGCCTGAGCGACTGGATTTTTTATACTGCAGATGAAAAATTCCTCGATTCAATTCTGCGAATTGTCTGAATTTTAAAAGATCAGGACGTACAGCTTATCAGGATTTTTTTCTTGTGCTGTTTATGGAATTGTGATCATGGAATATGTTATAATTGACAACTTGGACACCTTGTGTTGCAATGGACCAGTAATAAATGATACGTTTGAACTATTGAAATACAGAAAGCATAGAAAGTTATTTGTTAGAACGAATTTAAAAAAATATTTTTTACAACGTCTCGCGAATTGTTTCGGTCGTACAAAATCGTACGGAACTAAGTAATCTAGTAAAACTGACAATTGGTAGGTGTACACGTTTCTCAGAAAAACATAACTAGGCGGAGGACATACTTGAAGAAAGTAATATATAAAATTGATATTGTTAGACACGATCAGGGAAATAAGGAGATTGTTATCGCTCCCGGAAGCCTTGTTTGGATGAAATAGATATTTTCAATTATTTATAGGTTTGTTTATTGCAAATTAAATTTTTAATTTATAGACTTTAATCGTGACGTGAAATGATTTGTTACTTGACAAGGTTTCACAGTAAAAATTGTTAAACGTATTAAATGTCGTATGATCTCATGAAACACTACACCACATTATATGCAAATACATTGCGAAAACGAAATGAAATAAAAATAAGATATTTGCGCTAATACAGATGGTCATAAATATGACTTTTATATCCGTACTATACCTGTTGCTTATGACGTTCACAAGAAAATACTGAATAAACACTACAAAAATGTATATCTTAGAGTGGCAGAGTCTTAGCACAGACTAGAACCCAGCAGCAATATCGGTCTCATTCTACCTACAGTCGTTAAGTATTCTCTACGTTATTAACCGGATGTGGTTTTCCAAGACATCTTTTAGAATGAAGTACAATTAGGGGACGAAGAAGACTTTTCTATATTACCTACGAAATTGAATGCTTTGGTTGTAGCACGTGCGCGTTGAAAAGCCTTTAACCTTAATAATATTTTTACTGGTTACTACTGACGAAATAGTTTTAAAGCGTAAAAAAATAGTTCTTAAAGTGCTTTGAAATTAAAATGGGAAAATTTGGACCACGTTTAGCAAGTCGGAAAAAAGCTAAACGCTGGGTAAAAGGACAAAGTTCGAGTTCGAACCCTGAAACCAAGAAACATCGTGAACAGGCTCGAAGTCGATTTTTTCAAGAAAATCTTGGTACGTATATTAATTACGTATTTATCTTTACTTATTCTAATTATTTATATTGATAATTATTATTTATAAAGTATTTATGTCAGGTGAACCTACTATACAGTACCATATGATATATTATTCTTTTCGAAACATGGATAAATATACTTTAAAAATGAGTTTTATTAATAAATTCATTATTAACAGGGTCTACTGGTTTAACTACTAATGTACTAAAGAAACATGATGCTATACAAGGGGTTCAACATGTTGAAAGGATTGAAGTTGATGACGAAGAAAGCACTGTGGCAGGAAGCTTTAATACGTTTGACACATTTGCTAGTGATTGGAGTGATTGTTCGAATGTTTCATTCAGCCGGTAAGAATAATATCCATCAATGTGTTTTATTTAGAAGGTATTATTATTTGAAACAATTATTACGCTGCATGTACACAGGTTCTTAACTCGTTTTCAATCGAGCTCCTTGGTTCACAAGGAAATGCTGGCTGTTTTAGCAGCAATTACAGAAGTTATCAAACAAAATGGTGGTACTGAATCGTCAACAGAATATTATGCTGCTTTGGTAAAAACAATTGTTTTTAATATACAATTATTACCATGTTAGTGATGACAGTAATTATTATTTTATTATTTTTTGATTGCAACAGATGACTGCATTAGAAGCAGCAGAAACTGACGAGTCGGTTGCTGCTATACTATCATTGTTAGCCATGGGTTTGAAGACTGTACCAAAAAATGTTATCAGAGTACAATTCAGTCAAGCCAGTCAAATCCTTCTTCAAATACTTACTAAGTATGCTACCAGTGAAAGTTTCCTGATTCTACGCACGGTATATAATTTTATTTAACTCAACCACCGTGATATTCTATACATCAACATTTTCTTACCATATTTTCGTATTCTCAGTGTATCGGTTGTTTGTCGCTATTGCTGAGGGCCCAAGAAGCAGCTGTATGGTCAAACTCATCAACAATACAAGTGCTAGATGCCGTCTTAGCATTTACAGTTCACGCTAAACCGAAAGTTCGCAAAGCTGCGCAGCATGCAGTTTGCGCAATTCTGAAAGGTAACGAAAAAATAAATATAGCTTTTTTTCTGGCACTTGACTCTTTAGAGCATGAAGCCAAAAAAGGATTAAAAAGAAGAAGAATATGGCTTTTTAATATTCGCCGTATATTTCGTTTTGCATTTTTCTCAGGAAGCGACATAATGAGAACCGATGATCCACCAACATATCATCCTGGCGCTTCTCAAACAGCAAAGCATTGCCTTGCGCAATTAGAAGCTGCAGGTCAACCTGGTGGAATAACAAGTACTCTGCATACGTTAACTTTACTCAAAGATATTTGTCATCAACTTCCTAAGTCCTACGTTAAGGTATACGACATGACCTACGATCTTTAATTACATACTCAACTTATTATTTCAATTGATTATAGTCAGTTTGTGAAGGACTACTAAGAATTATGACATTGAATAATGTCTTGGTGACATCTTGTTGCCTACAAACTTTTCATGGACTTTTTATATCAAGACCCTCGGAGTCAATATTGCCAGCACAATTAAATGCTCAAATTATAAATGCACTTTATGATTATCAACCTGCACCTGGAGATACACAACCAACTTTGGCATGGCTTGCTGTGATGCAGGAAGCTTATTGTAATCTGGTTCTGTAAGTAACTCTACTTTTTAAAAAGTCCTTATACTAACGATGATTACAAACTGTAATGTATTCATATTTTTATCGATATTTTAGGTTATCCTTGCCCCTTTGCGCAGCGAATATCACACGAATATTAGAAAAGTGCACTGAACTTTGGTTGTCAGATAAAAGTGAAGTATTGTCCGGTGCATCACATACTATCAAAACCCTTTTGCAAGTATGCATTACTCCTTTGTGTGCGACACAGGAAGATGCTAATAAGTAAGTCAATATAACTTTACCAATTTAGACATCGATTACCAATTGGTATTGATGAATTGTTTTTTTTTTTTTGAAGATACAAAACCACATTGATTAAAACCATTCAGTTGATACAACAAGGAATGAAATATCAATACAATTCTGCATGGCATCATGTGCTACATCTTTTAGCTGTGATCTTCCAGGTAGGCTTTTACTATAATTTGACTTGATTTATATTTTCTACTATACCAATATTAATTTGAAACAGATCACAGGACATTTTTGTAAAGACGAGCTGCTAGACATTCTCACTGCATTAGCCGAACTCCGGGATTCTTATAAATTTATATATAATGCCGAGGTGGAATATGCTGTTGGTGCTGCAGTTAGAACTATGGGTCCCGAAATTGTTCTACGGACAATCCCTCTGCAGGTATATTTCTTAAATATACTACAGTTACATTATTGAGATTCTAATAAATTATTGTTTTCTATAGACTGGATCAGACATAATAGATTTAAATAGAAGTTGGCTATTGCCTGTGCTTAAAGATTGTATTAGCAATGCTTCACTTTCTTATTTCATACAGTCACTGTTACCATTAGCCACCATGTGCGAGTACGTATAATCGTTTAATTGTAAAAGCTGATATTAATAAATTGGAGAATACCTACGATTTTATAATTCCAGGAGAAAATCAGCAGCACTCAAAGCTAATAACGATGGTATAGGTGCGCACAGTTATGAATTACTTACATCTCAGATTTGGGCCTTGTTACCAAGTTTTTGCAATAATCCAACAGATATTAAGGACAGTTTTAAGGTATTTAAACTTTTATATTTCTTATGCATCTGAATAAACATTCCATATATATTTCTCTCATACTCAACCATACAGAGTATTGCCAGGATTCTTGGAATGGCTATAGCTGAAAGAAAGGCTTTGAGATTATCAGTGATGGCTTCTTTACGAAAATTAGTCGCAAAGGCAACAGAAAATAATAATGCCGAAGATATAGCAGAGCTCGCACGATTTGCTAAAAATTATTTGCCACTTCTCTTCAATCTATATACAACTAAACCCAATGGATCGGACGAAGAAGGTCAACGTTTAGCAGCTCTAGACACTATTAGGGTTTGTAACTATATACTGCAAATACAAACAGCACCATATCAACCAAACTTTTATAGAAACATATAATTTTTATCCATGACTATAGGTTTATTTATCAATCACGAGTAACGATATAGTAGGCGAATTGTTTGATCGCGCTATGGGCAGATTGAATGATCCGCAAATCGATAGTTTCCTCAAAGAAAGTGTCTATGATTTGATAAGAATTTTAACACCGCATACTGAGAAGGAAAGATTAAAGGCACTCTATGAAAAATGTATCCCTGTACTGATGGATACTAAGAATCAGAAAGAGCAAAAGAAATCTTACAGGTTTGTATCTCCAGATTCTCCAGTTTTTGAATATCATATCAATATTTTACATCATATTCATTATAGATCGTAGCCTAGCATTTATTTGCTCAAGAGGGTAAACCAGTCAGGGAAAGTAAAATAAAGATTTTAATAATATTCTTTCAGATTGTTGGAAGAAATTTGCGGTAGTGAGAGTGATGTATGCAAACAGTTCAGGCTAGAAAATCGTAAAGCTATACAAAAAGCATTAGTTAAAGCTCAAAATACAACAGTTACAACTAGTAAAAATGTAAGTATTATTTTTACTAAATAATGCATAGAATTTTAAATGATTCTGATAGGCATAATAGCTTTAATTAATAACCTTTCTGTATTGAAGGCACGTCTTCGATGTTTGAGTCATATCGTGAAAAATCATCCGCAATTAGAGAAGACAAAATTATTGCGAGCTATAGTTCCAGAAGCAGTTATGTGCATAAAGGAACTTAACGACAAGTGTAGAACCTCAGCATATCAATTGCTGAATATTATAGCAGATAAGCTTTTGAGTAATACGGAACACTTTAAGGAATATATTGATATACTTGTTAGTGGTCTTGCTGGAGCTCCCATATTTTGTAGTGCTACTTTATTGGCTCTTGCTTCCATCACGTATAATTATAACGGTAAGGCATTCGATTGACATTATACTGCTGATTATTGTATTAAATTTTAATCAGGCTCTATATATTATTTTCATCATTGTAGGATCATTGGGTGTGAAAACTGTTCATGAAATATTGGAACATGCTTGTGTTCTTCTTTCTGCACCAACCAGAGAAATAGTAATATCAGCTCTTTCTTTCATCAAAGTTTATATCACTGTGATGCCATCGCCTACGGTAGCGCCTACTTTACCAGCAATTGTATGTCATCCTGTTTCTGACTTGCATAGTGATATAATATTTCATTGTTATTGGACAATGTAATTATTCAGAATTTTTATTGGCAATACCAATTTTTTATTATTCCAGATGAAAGCCTCGAGTAAAATGACTGAGGACTGTAAGCGTCACTTTAGACTGAAAATTCGAGATATTTTAGTGAAACTAGTGAGAAAGTATGGAATTGATACAATCACGGCAATGGTACCTGTATCGGATGAAGTGATGCATAAGAGGCTGAAAAATATTCGCAAAATTCAAACAAGAAAACAAAAGGCTAAGGAACAGAAGAAGGCCCAACAGGGAGAGGAAGATAGTGATGAAGAATTCAATGTTAAAAGTAAACCAAAAAGGTAAGTTTATACCTACATACTATTATTTAAAATATAACAACGTGCTAATGTGGAACATAATAATTTGTATTATTATATTTTATGTTATTATAGTATAGAAGAGATTTTGGCGGACAGTGATGAAGAGGAGTTTGATGAAGATATGGAGACTGATCAGCCTGATAAGGGTAAGAAGCGAAAATCACAGAAGAAGACTTGGATTCAGGAAGATGAAGACAATATAGTGAACTTCGTGGACCCTGCGGCTGCTAAGAGCATAACAGGTCAGCAATATGCTAGTTCCACTTAATTTTTTAAATCTAATTTTACGTAAATTAATTTACGACATAACGTAATTAAAAAATATTAACAATTTTTTTTTCGTCTGTAGCTACTCTACCAAAACCTGTTATGCCTGGCCCATCTAAACAGAAGGTCAAAAATCATGGTTTTAAGACAGCTCCTGATGGACGTCTCATTATTAAAGATAATGATAGTGATAGTGACAATAATGACTCTAAGAAAAGTAAAAAGAAACTACCATTCCTTGGTAGTGACTCAGATGATGATTTTGGTAAGTCATATATAACTTTGGCGCAAACGAATTTAGATAGTTTAAATATTTAATCAATACGTTATAAATATATTTGTGTCGCGTAGAAGACGAGGAGACAAAATCTATAATTTCTGCTGCGACAGCTGAACGGAAACGAAGGCATAGCGGAAGTACCGATGCTGCAAGTACGAGTACTCGACCACCATTGAAATATCAAGGTAAACAGTTCAATACAATGTCTAATAAAAATAATTATTGTAGAAATTAATTATATTATACTCTTTGCAATGCTTCCAGCTGGGGGATCAGGAATTCATCGACCAATACAAAATATCAAGAAAGATAATACATTTGGTAGTGAGTATCGTGCCAAGAAAGCAAAGGGAGATATAAAGAAGAAAGGCAAACCAGAACCATATGCTTATGTACCTTTAACTAGAGCAGCTTTAAATAAAAGGTTTACAATTATTTATGTTTCATTGTTTGAAGTTATCTACGATATTATGATTCTATATTCATGATGGTATTACAGGAAGAAAATGAAGAATGCTGGAAGATTTAAGAATATTATCTCTGGAGCAAAGAAAGGCGCACGGGCTGGTATAAAAATTAATGGAAAACACAAGTAGGTTCAATTCTTGTAAATGTTGATTGTAAAATAATTTTAAGCTCTCATTAAATAAATTAATAAAAATTTCTATATGTATATATAACACTTTGAATTCTCTTCATTCCATTTCCTTTGCAAAGTATAATTTTTTTTCAGTATGAATGGTAGTAAAAAGGATAAAGTATTAAGGTAATCAATTTATTTATAAAATAATTCTTGTATTTGTAGAAATGCAGTTTCAGTGTTTGGCTCTTGCCAAAAATACAGCATTAGATAATTTTATCTTTCCATTGTTGAACATAAATGTAGTACTTATTTCTCTTTGCATAATAAAAAATAGTTCACAATGTACACTGCACTGTAGATACTGTTATTTCTTATACCTATAATGGAGTAGCAAGAGTTGCCATTGATGTTTTAATTTGATCATAAATATCTTTATAATCAGGATGCTCTTTAATGAGTACCATTAGACTGCCACGCTTAACTCCCATTGCTGCACCAATATCTTGTCTCGATGGGGTAAAGCAATAAGGAAGCTCTTTATCTTCACATACAATTGGTAAGTGGCACATTATTTCTATTGGAAATACATCTCCAGCAAAAACTACTATTCTGTAAATATGTAAATGGTTTGACTAGATAAAACAGTAAGGTATTTCATAAACAATTAAGGATATACTCCAAAATTTACTGCAAGTACAGTTGTGTTCTACTCAATTCCATGCAGGTAAACAGAGATACAACAATACTTGTATTGGCAGTGAAATATGGAACATGCCCTAAGTTAAAGAAATGTACGAAATTTACCCTCGTTCACCCTTGCGAATATGTTTTTGAACATCTTTTAGACCATTCCTAAGGTAGGTTTTGTGCTTTGATGCTGAAAAAAGTAAATACTTTATAAAAAAAATCAAGCAATATCACGTTATATATTTCTTACCTAACTGTACAATGTAATAGATATATTTAATTTACAAGAATTTACCTTTCTTTATACACTTGTATATCTTTTTGGTTAACTTCTTGGGTGCCATCGGCTTGGCTATGGTATTGACATTTTGTAGTTTTTCTTCATAACTAGACTCTTGAATCCCAGATGCATCTAAAGACTCCTCAGGCTCTGACTTGGAAGATTTTTCTTTCTCCATTTTTATTAATAAATTTTAGTTTTAAACAAAACGAACACTGACACGCACGTGTATGATCGTACTTTGATTCAACCTAAATGCGCTTTCCATGAAGATCGACAAGCAGTGAAATAATTGAAACTAAGGATGCTATTGGTTGTTGGTCAGAAGTAACTTTTCTTCTACCAATAACATGCTAGCTGTCACTATATACAGAAATTGCTATTGCTGCTGAAAGTTTTCTTTTTATTATACGAAAAAATATGGTTATATCAAGAACCTGATCATTCTTTCTCCGTCATGAAAATATCAAGAAACACAATAAGAGTATAAAAGAAAAATTAAAAGTGACATGCAAAAGTATAAATTTAATATTAAAAACAAGTATTGTGAGAAAAATATATAAGGAAGAATAATATTTTATTGTATTACAAAATTTGTTGAAAATTAGTAGATACAGAAAATCATTTGATGTGTTCTTAGATCTTGTGTTAATTTTTAATGGTACATAAGATTGGAATTGAATAGATTGATAGAAAAAAATATTATGTGTAATGATATTCTGATAAATAAATATGTCAGCTGTGGCAATACTAAGTAAGCAACAAAATGCTTTTAAACTTTTGTGATCCATGTCTGAGGACAGAAGTAAGCTGCAGTACAGTCAGTACAGAAGGATATGAAGTAACTAATCTTACAAAAGATAATTCTAAAGGTTTTTTAGCCTACTCTTGCATAAAACCACCTATACATATTGACTTAAAGTTCATATGCAACATACAAATAAGTCATGTTATAATTTGGCCTAGTGTTGGGGCTCAGAAATCATCAGGATTTCAACTATCATCAAAAGCAATTGATGACCAAGCTATACAACATACAGTTCTTGCAGCAGGGTATCTAAATTCAAACGACGTAGGAGTGTTATTCTATAGGAGAGATATAGATGAATCTGTGTCCAATACTCCTTACCATTTCTTACGAAGATATATAAAGATTTCTAACCAACGATCTGTGAACCAAGCCAGCAATCTTCGTATATGTATATTAAAGACAGAAAATTCTGTGCCAGCACTAGGTCGAATAGAAGTCTGGGGACGAGTATCACGTTGTTGTGGAAGAGATGTAATAGCAAGTATTCACTCCATGTGGATAAGAAAACATATTCCACAGGATTCACAATCAAATAAAACAACAGCTATTGATCCTATTTCTACTAGGAAACCTCAGTAAGTTATGTCTATTTATTATTATATGAATAATTACTTAATATATTTATAATGGTTAAGAACATTATCTTATCTTGTGTAATATATAGAAACAGAAGTGAGATATTGGTAAATGTACCTGAAGAATTTTTGGACCCAATAACATGTGAGATTATGATCCAACCAGTAACACTGCCTAGTGGAAAGATTATTGATCAAAATACTTTAGAAAAACATGAAGCAAATGAAGCTTTATGGGGTAGAACATTAACTGATCCATTTACTGGAATGCCCTTCAATGAATTTCGAAGACCAATAGCTGCTTCTGCACTCAAATCAAGAATAGATAAATATCTTTTGGAGAACAGTGACTTGGATGAAATAAAAAAACTACCAAGAGTCTTAGGTTCAAAATTCAAACCAACAGCACCACGTGGTAGACTATTAAAACTACCAGCAACTATTACTAAAAATGATACAACAAAGGATAATGTTGAGATTATGACAAAAACGCAACACAGTCTCTCCACAATTCAGAGTAGTTGTCATAAGAGGAAAGCTCATCACCATACATTACCAGTTGTTGCAGTGTGTTCTAAGCAAGCAGCAGGTCCATCAAAAATCATGAAAAGGGCCAAAGTTATAACATCAAAAAATAATGAATGTATTAAAACAATAAAAAAGGAACCTACAATTATAAAAATTGATAGCAAATTGGAAGAGAATATTCAGGACGTGTTATCGAGTCTGAAACGTTTTAGTTCGCCACAACATTCAATTTGTGAATTTGAAAGTTGTAGCTGTTGCTCGAATAGTATTCTATATAGATTGCCATGCAAGCATATAGTCTGCAGGAAGGTGTTAACATCTATCACCAGCTTACAATGTAAATGTTGTGGTACGCCGTATAAAACATGCGATCCAAAGAGGATCTACCAATAAAATAAAATGTATGCATTTTGTACAGAAATCAAGTTATTTATTCACTGATCCCCAAATAATTTATTGAGCATTTATATAGATAAATAACGTTATATGAAATTAGATGAATTGTAAAAATATGGTGAGAACGTCATCAAGATAGATAAAACACTGTCAAATATAATTTTAATTAGCCAAGTAAATTCTAATTTACAATAGTACTTCTACATTTTCATAAGATAATGTCAGCTGCCATGGACGTCGTCTAGGTGCTTTATAATATTCTCCGATTCTCACAGAAATCGGAGATGTATAAATGGTTAGATGTAAGTTTAGAAGTGTGAAAATGAAATGTTAAATCTTTATTTCTGGTTGACTTGGAGAAACGACAGATTATAATAAGTACTTGTTTCCGCGCCCAAAATTTATCTCAATCGGTAGTAGTAGATTTCGTTGTACAAAAGTTCAATGAATCATTTAAGTTACTTATATTCGATATTAATACATCTCAAATTCAAAGAACAAATTCATATCTTCTTGATAATTTATAGAAGTAGCATAAAAATCTCCAAAGTTTAATTGAATGTTAAATTCACAGTAAAAGAAAGTAACGGAATTTAGTTTGAACAGCGGATAAGAATCATCACGTGCCAGTGTCATATGACAGTAAACTGGTCAGGCGCCCAGAGTGCCTTCTGCTCGAGCCGAACTAATCACTCTGAACGGTGCATCGTGACAGAAATCATGTTGGGGTCTCGTTTTATTGTGGCCCTTGGGCTTCTGATTTCATTGCAAATTGTAACAACACTTGCTGGCGACACAGTACCTGTACTTTTGTGGGGAGGTGAAGCCACTAGCTCACCGTTATCTGCCGCGAATCCGCTCCTCAAGACATCTCCGGTTGAATTCGAAGGAATCTTGGCTGAGAAGGTGGGCGGATCCCAACCACCCGTACTTCTCTTTGTCAGGGATAATCTCTGTGTCGAGGATTTGAGCCATCACAAGAACGTATGTATTAAAAATTTTAGATTCGCTATATATAGTTATGTCATTACCGGAGAGAGAGAACTTTTGACCTAAAAAGTATTTAGGTTCATCGCTGAGAAAGTTTTCCTGGCGTCCTTTTTCCAATCTTATTTTTTATCTAAACGTTAAAATTATTTGATAATGATTATATGGCCAGTTGATACTTGGATATTTGCTACTAACGAATTATAGATGATTATATATATTATCCACTTCTTTTTTAGGCCTTCTTGGACTTGAATAATGGTGGTTCCCTGACATACTTGCCTGCAGTTGATAGACCTCTATCTGTGTTTGAGAATATACCAGCTTATAATCAAACTAGTGATGATACTCCTGAATTTATTTCTGATGGACAACTTGTAACTGTCTCAATTACCAACCTGGATACTATTCCTGAAATTTACAAGACAGTGCAAGAATCTAGTCCTAACTTGCTCATAGGCCTAACAGGCCGCTCTTGCAGTTACAGCCGTTCCGAACGTACTAGAAGAGAAGTGATGGCCCAAAATGATACTTATTTCTTGGTCACATCAGATCGAGTCCTTTTATATTCATCTGTTGCACCTCAACTCAAGGTAAGAATATGTGTTAGATTTGTTTCCTTTGCAATTGTATACATATGCTGTTAGAATAAAATCAGTTGAATGCAAATATATTTAATTAACAATATGAATTTAGGTTTCAGGAGTTGAAACGTATGTCAGTCTTCCAACTCCAACGAGTGTCTCAAATGATGGAAATAGTACCACAAATTCTGTGCAATTAAATATGGTCTTTGATATTACCATCGGTAACATCACAGAAGTTACACTTCGCTTCCTGTTCACAGTTGAAACAGCAGGCTACTACACGCTGAAAACAGTCGAGTACGAACCTACAGGCATGAGCGCTACTCTCCTTTATTCCAATACGGAAATTGTTTTCCCTTTTAACTTTTCATACCACTGCTCACAAAAAACTGAATTCAACAGTACCTCAGTACGTTTAAACATAACTAATATTCAAGTGCAAGTTGATGCGACATCATTTAATGATGCGTATGATTGTGTCGGTTTTACAACAATTCCCATTTGGATGGGACTATTTGTTACTGCCATCATGGCTATGATCTTGATCTGGGGACTAACAATGGTGATGGATATTCGTACAATGGACCGGTTTGACGATCCTAAGGGTAAGACCATTACCATTTCTGCGTCAGAGTAAAGGTCGGTACTATAGTAAATATACCATTTTATGTAAATATACACTCAAATATTTAAGTGCTGTATACTTTGAAGCTACAAAATATGAAAAGTAAAAAGACGTGTTCTGTTGATATTAGTAACGTTCTGCACTCTATTGCATACACCTTTCGAAGGATACTGTATAAGACCGATGCAACATCTATATAGTATTCATAACTTTGTTATTCGATACATCAATATAAATCAGCAACATAGTATAATGCAAGTCAGGTGGTGGTTTTCAGCGTCTATATAATTATTTTATTTTCATTGATACTTGATATAGCTGAAACATCTTTGCTTCATTCCATTCTCGTGTATGATACCACTATTTTCTATATTCATATCGTTAATATGAGTTACATACGTGATCTTGATCATAGTTTTATCATGTTTTTTCATAACTATAATATAATCTATTACGTGATGAACTAGTTGGCATACAAGTTCTTATTGGTAGAATGCATCGATACACATGTGGAAAGCGTATAGGAACCAGTCATAATACAAGATGAAGCGCGAGTGTCAGATTGCACGAACCAAGAATCATAGAAATTTCATTCTTTCATTTTATTTACATCATTATTACTTGAGTAGGTTTAACACATTGTTGTCTAAACAACTTTAGTATACAGTCTTTGAAAAATGTGGAAACTGTGCATTCGTTGTCAAATATTGTACCGATTGCGAGTACATGTCGTGGATGCAATGTATTACAATATACTCCTTGTATAAAGTATAGTTTTAAAGGTGTATAATAAATTAATAAATGAAAACTTAATTGCAGGGCCGAATCAAAGTACGATGTATTGCAAATAATCTTTTATTTACTCGGTTTAAAACTCGTCAAGTAACCGATATAATTGTTATTGCTAATATATCGAGAAGTAATGTATTTTAAATTACTCAAATAAGAAGGTTGCTTTACGTTTATAGTATTACAATTGCATATGCTCCCTAGTATACTTGATACGGCCTTGCCACAAATTAGTGTAAATGCCGTTCTTTTTATCAAAATACACACAGACCTTTATTACGGTATACGAAATAAGTGTATGCAATAAATTATATGTTGCGCTTCATTAATATAACTCGTTGACTAACGCGAGCATGCTGGAAAATCTACGCCATGGAGCACTAAGAAATTCATCGAGTACGGTGCAAGAGGAATATTCTGATTTGCATTAAATATTATCGGTCTGAAGGGTGGTAAGTCTCCATTAGATTGCAGCATCAATATTTCTTCATTAAGTTGTATTTTCCTATGCAAATATTAATGTATATAATTTCCTGAACTAAGAATCACACCTGTGATATATTAAGTCAAGTTGGACAATCGTGATTATATTAAAATTTTACATACCTGGATGTTAGTTGTTCAGAGGTCAAAGCATACAAGAATATTTTGACATTTCGATCGAGGCCTTGAAACCAAATATTGGTTTGAACCTTGTTTAAATTTATTCCATATACAGTAATTGCTGGAACTCTGTTGAGCAAGGCTTTCTGAGGAGTGCAATGTACGTATAGTCTTAACAGTTCTGGGTCCGGTGATACTATCTCCAAAACTATCTCAGAGACGAAATGTTGGAACATCACGGTAACCCACCAATCAGGATTCGGATCGAGATCCGGTCCTACCATAGAATAATTTCCACCAAATAATGATTGTCTTGTTACGCTATACACACCAGATTTAGCGCTATATCCTAGCTTATCCAGCCAAAGGAAACCGGCCACAAATCTGTCTGATAACCCTGGTGCACCACCACCATATGCTGTGCTGGTTTCCGCTGTGAATATTATAATAAATTTACAAGCCTTCTGTATAAAGTATTATAAGTCAGATTGAATGTTAGATTACAAAATTCATACATAGCCACATGTTAATTTTTTGTCCTGATGCATTAATCGCTTGTCTCATTGATTTGATTTGTCCTGGCAGATAATTAAATGTGGCAGGGTTTATGAAATCTTCGACTTTTGCTTCACGACCATTTAAATAGTATTGGTGCCAAGTAACATGATCCACACTGTTATTGTTGTTTTCCAAAAAAATTCTAGCGTAATCCTCTCCTTTGTGGTTTTCATCACCAACATGATTTACTTCCGGCCCTATGAGAATGCTGCTTGCATATCCTAACGAATCTAACAATCCTCGTAATACAATGTAATCCATTGCCAACTGTTGTGGTAAGATTTGTACATCGAATACGTGGTGGAAGGAATTAGGTTCTGCAATTTAAAATTATTTTTAATTAGCGAGTTGAAAATAATGGTAAAGTTTTTTACTCACCATTTCCTAATTGCCAATCCATTGACATTTCATGACCTTTAGCAAAGAGGATAATTTCTTTAGCATTAGTATAATTCCATGAACCATCAGGATTTCTAATCAAAGCGTTCAAATCAAAGATCATTCTTAATCCAGTATTATTTGCAAATTCGTAAACCGACATAAAATCTTTATTAGTGATCGTAAAATTACTAATGTCATTTCCATCTACGGGACTCGTTGGTTTCACAGAATGCATCGGTAAGATCTATTAAAATTATACACAGTATTAGGATCAATCAATTACTTTCGCTTTGATATGGTTAACGATTATTCACAAAGCGACCTTGTTAAAGAAGAGACAATCAGCAGAGGTTCCTCCAACCCTGACATAAGCAGGACTTAAGTGTCGAGCAAGATTAATAAATCGGTCATCTTTTATAGGCATTTTATTCATATTTCGAAGCAAAGAAGTATCCAATCCAAAGGATACAAATTTGTGGGAAGTTCTGCGCAATGGAGTCTTACTTGATCTCAAGATTATAATACGCGTATTAGGCAATTGCTCTTGGCTCAAATTCCACAAAGACATGAGCAAAAGAACAATACACAATCCAACCACAGTTGAATTAAGAACGGACCGCAACTTCCCATCTATAAAATTTATATAAGAAATAGAACTAATTTAGAGAACACAATAAAAAAGGTTTAATTTATCTGGAATTTAGCGCTTTTTTTAAACTATACTCTGTAGATGTCACTATCAACAGTATATCATATAATTTCCATGTGCATATAATCGGGCCATGAAAAATATCTAATCAATGAATGTATTATACGTATAATTTTATTATCTAATCCATTACTTATCATGTGATATTTATAGAAATCGAGAAAAATGGTGAACATAAGAATTTTCATGTATGCGTTGTACGTACTGTGGTAGGAATGAGTGTCACTCAGATTTTGGTATTGGTTTTTTTCTCCGTTATGTAGCACAAAGTAACTCATATTTTTTCTTTCTTGCAATACTTTTATAATGGCAGACTCGTCCCAGTTAATTCGCTATAGCCTCCGTGCTTATAATTCTGGCATACATCAAAACAAATGATTACTCTTATTCAACTGGCACAGCATCCGTTGATAGTCAACTGCATTCGATAAAATGTATTAGGAAGTGAGTCAGGAGCGGCTGATTCTGTGCAGGCACCTTTTGATGAATTTGAAAATTTTAACCTCACCGTAGTCCATCAGGTTTGCCATGTTCTTTAAATTACGGTATACAAACAAAAATAAATTTCCGATATATGTTCTTAGAATTCTACTATATCATAATGAATTATTGATATATTGTAGTTCACTTATTTTGTCTGGATTTAGACAATGATGACTTGGACGATAGATTTTTATCAATATTCTACAAGTCATGTAAAACATAAGTTTCCTTACTTAGTAAAAACTACCCTAACTTTTATCTTACCGTAGGCGTATTTGAATTCATTCTGTGTTTAGAGAGTACAGGATTTTGGTTGTCTATTAAAAAATTACTGTCAATCGTTGACTTTCTTAGACGTGATGACGAACAAGATGTTTTTTCTTGCTTAGAAGTTACGTTTCTATCTCCTTTTGTCATTTTTCCAGTAGTTAAACCTTTACGAAGAAGATATCGTCTTCGTCTCTTTAAAACTTTGTTCAAAATACAGCTATTAATTTCAGGTTGCTCATTCTCATGAATGATTATATTTTAATTTAATCTTAAGATACCTGATGGTGGTATATTTTGGTCAATGGGATCAGAACTTGAACTCGAGGAATAATAACGAACTGAACGACTCCGGTATACTGAAGTACGATTCCTGTAGGTTAAATTACGTCTTCGTTTTCTTCTGATTAACATATGCTGTTTTGATTCAGTACTGCTCAATTCATCTTCAGCCCAAAATTGTCGGTCAGTATCGTCCGATATTGGTGGTATAGGTACCGGAGGCTTGAAAATATGATTGTTATGCATTTATGAATAATGACATATTTTTTAATCACCAAATAACCGCAGTCACTTCGCATGTCATATTTGAAAAATTTTCAATCTTCCATATGCACAAAAACCTACAGCTTCTCCGGATGTACTAGGTAGATTAAATCGTTTGTGGTGCAGATGTAATCTTGACATCATTCTAATTGTATTAGTAGTAACAGTTGTATAGTTTTGGTAAGAATCTTCTTCCTCTGAAGTATAAATCAATTTTTTGCAATCGCCTCGTGCATGGTGACCCATTTTTTTCTAAACTTTATACGTTTTTATAGATTTTTTAAAATTTTCTTTCAAAGTATGTACATTGACTTGGAGAGACTAACAAATTTTGTTCATCTGACAGCTGTCTACATTTTTTATTGAAAATGAATGACTTCATTCAGTATCTTTTGTTGTCAAATGTCAAAATTAAAAATATTATTACATTCACTATATATATTATATACGTATATAAACATAGAAAACATACATATAGACAATAAAAGATACCGAATAGTGTGTATATATATGTACATATACTTTTGAACTCGTTTCAGCAAAAATTTAAAATATTTATTGATACAAACTCATAATTTGTAAATATATAAGAAAGTTATATTACAAAATTGCATTTAAATGAAAAAACATGTGTCGCAAAAACTCATAATAACATTGTTGAAAGGTCTTGATAATTTTATAAAATAAATTTTCTAATAAACATGGACATATTCTATTACGTTTTTAATCCGTGCAACGTTTGTATTGCAAACTAATGTTAAAGCTTAGATATAAATAAATTAACGTACATTTATACTATTGTCTTATGACTTTATCAAAAAGAACTTTTTTACGTTATCGCTCACAGTGATCACGTTATACTGAAACAAAGCTTTTACTGATTTACGTGGATTGAAAATAGTTGATATAATCGATAAGCGGAACGTATCAGATACAATCAATTATAAGCGATAAACGCATTACTTGTGGTACCAAAAGTACACAATATGTATCAGAAAATTGTTCATACTCAGTATTACTTTATACAATATAAAAATCACCACTCGGATAATTCACAGAGTCTCGACAATGCTTAATATTTCAGGAACATTATTTGAAAAGATAAAATAATTCGCAACAATTAATTAATCATTTTCAGACTTTCTGCGCTTTTTCGTACGTGGACTGTCAGTATCATGTGGACTCGGTGTAATGTGACTCCGTTTTCTCTTTACACTAGATTCACTAGCTTCACTACTACTGCTAGCAGCAGTTCTAGTTTCTCTGCGAAATGGCCCCTCGCCGGTGACTTGCACAAGAATCTAGAACAAAGAAACATAAAAAACAATATAAATTTAAAAATTGCTACCATAATAAACCTAAGATCCTTTAAATGTACCTGCATATGTTGAAGACATTCCTCCTGCATGGACACCGCCATTTTGTAGACAAACGTGTCGTGTTTATTATAGATTATGGCATTTTGAAACATGAGCATAACGTCTCGCTGAAAATGCATTGTTGATCGGATTGTACCATTGTCTATGTTCTTCTTAATAGTTGATAAATCCATTGGACGGAATATAACCGAATGATAACCAGGAGCCTGATCTTCTGTAATTGGTCTAAGAAATACTGAAGCATATTTGTGCGTAGCTAGGCGATTGTAAACCAGCATAACTGCTTTCTTCCAAGCACGATAATCAGCACCCTCTCCACTTCCTTCATTTTCTGGTTCACTGTCCACAGCCAAGGTTTGCTTCTTTGAGTAAGTCTTCATAGCCCGGCCACCACTAAGTTTACTGAGTCCTGATTCCTCTTCATCAAGATCACCTACGTCATCGCCGGCACTACCTGCAGATTCTGTTACTTCCTTTTTAATGATTGATTCCACTTTTTCTACTTCCTTAGGCTCTGCTTTCTCTTTCTTGATCTCCTTGTCCGCCTTCTTTGGCTCCTCTTTCACTGGAGGTGTTATAATCTCTGGAATTGCTTTTGACTCTTCCTCCATCTTTTGTGCGTTAGATTTTTCTGGTAATGTCGCTGGTAATTGTTCATTTTCTTTACTAATTGTATCTTCTATTTCTGCTTCTACTTTTAATTCTTCTTCAGGTTCTTCCTTTGTGTTTTCTATCTCCTCAAGTATTGTCGTTGCACTCGTATCCTGAGTTATACTTGATTGTTTCTGATCTTCTTCCTTTGGAGGTATTTTCTCAGAAGCTGATGCTTCTGTATCTTCAGTGGTATCTTTTGTATCCTCTTTCATTACTTCATCAATAATAGTCTCAGTAACAGTTTCAACTGATTCTTCCTGCTTCACTGTTGAAGCATCGTCTGTGACTTCTACATTAGGTTCTACCTTTGGCGTAGTAGATACTTCCGCTTTGATTGGTTCTAAATCATCTGGACTTTCCATTGTGTTCTCTATTATAGAAGATTCGATTGCTATTTTCTTCTTTTCACGATCTTCAGAACTGTGTGAACTCTCGTCATCCTCCAATATAAAACTAATGTCTTGTGATTTCTCCGTATCTTCTGCACTAGGTGCATCATTCGTCGTTTCCGATGAAACGCTTGCGACTTCCGCGCCGACAGGAGCATCCTCATCTCCCGTGATCTTTGCCAGATGTAATTCCAGTTGATCTATTTCCATGTCTTCTTTCTCTTCAATTTCCTCACAGGATTCTTGTATATCTATGTTGTCGTTAGTAATTTCCTTTACAGGGACTACTGTTTCTGTTTCTGTTTCTGCTTCTACTTCTACTTCTTCTTCCTCTTCTTCTTCTTCCTCCTCGTCTTCTTCTTCTTCTTCCGATTGTACTTCTTCAACGATGTCCACTGTGGATTCTTTTATGACACTTGGAACTTCAGTATCTTGTTTTGAATCTACATGTACCGTTTCTGGTGATTTTTCTTTTTCTTCATCATTTTCTTGCTCTACTATAGCTTCCTTCTCTTTGACGGGAGAATTATCCTTATCATTTTCATCCTTATCTTCTGTAATCGGTTCCAATTTCTCGTCTGACGTTACTGTCTCGTTCGAGACACTTTCCTCCACTTTTGAATTATCTTTGACAATCAAAGTATTAGGCCGCGTTTCAGTAACGATTATCTTTGCCTCTGCAGGTTCAATAGCTACAGTACCAATGATTTCAGCGATATTAGAAGTACTGGAGTCAATATCTTCAATAGCTATATCGCTTTGAGGAGAATTTGATAGTGACACAGGTTCGTCGACATCTCTAGGCTGTTGACGTTCTGTAACAATCTCTGGTGCTAGAGGCAAACTTAAACTTGAAACTACTGAGGCTGTAGTTGATGTATCCAGAGTTTGCGGACTTGCTGTGATTTCTTCTTTTATGAGTTCTTCGATGTCCCCAATAATCTCATTTATTTCATCCTTATCTATAACATCAGCCATAATATCTTTCCGTATAACATCGTCAATATGATCTATTATTTGCACCATGCTCTCTTGGTTAGAAATATTCGACGATGTATTAATTGCTGGCGTTTGGGTTACCTGTACTTCATTGATTGTTGTGATTTGATTAGTAGAACGGGATTGGATTTCAATATCTGTAACTATATTTTGCTGTGGTATATTTGCTATTGTAGTTTGCAAGTTTGGTAGAGGACCTCTCTGTGCATTTGCTGGGAGTTCTAGAAGTCTAGATAGGGTCGGTGCACTGACTGATGGTCTTTCGATTGTTGTATCTGCAATTGATATTGAAACCAACTGATGCAATTGGGGTGATACTCTTTGTGTCAATTGCGGAGTTGGTACTTTGGGACTTGATCCTAGGAGACTTGCAATAGTCGGGGAACTGACTTGCGCGGAGGTTGTTGGTGTTTGAATCTGTGTTGTCGGACTAGGAGATTTTAATAAACTTGTTAATAGTGGTGATCTACCACCTCTATTTTTCTTATCTTCTTCTTCAGTAGCAGTACTATCATTTAGTTCCTGACTCTCTGCCACAGCTTCTCCTGGTTTCCGTTGATTCGCAGGACTTATCGCTAGTGGAGCTGGTGCATCCTGTTTTTGTTGACGTTTTGCTAGCCATGCTGAATGAGCCCGTGATTTTTGTTCTTGTTCACGTTCTTCTTGTTCAATAGCCAGCCACATTTTCTGCATTTTCTCTTCTGATACAGAGCCTGATTTTAATAAATTGACTTCAGCCTTTAACTGCTGGTATTCATCTCTTTGAAATGCAAGGATTTGACCCAATTCTGCTATTCTTTCTTGAGTTAAGCGCTTCACAATAGATTCTCCAGTTGTTTCACCACTTTCTCGCTTTTTTCTTTTTGGTGTATCTGCATTTTCTAGTAAGTGCGCGTATTGTATGGCACATGATTTTTGAGAAAACCAATCTGGTGGTCTCAAAGCTTCTTTTTCGGCAAAGGGCTTTAATGATCTTGAGACACTTATCCAATTCTGATCCCCAGACTTCAGTACACTGGAAGCCAGACATAGTTGCTCTCGTGTGCTCCATGTATCATAGGATATACGTTTAAGTTTCAATCCTACAAATATATATCAATTTATACATGTAGTTTAGTTTAACAATATGCAGTATATGTGGTCAAATGAAATATAAATTATACAACGCAAAGTTTATTTGAATAATGTTAACGTGGTTTATAATATATAGGTGTAGTTTATGTTCCAAAATATTAAATGAAACTGTTTAATAATGCAACACAAAAATGATTTATACACAACATAATCACTAACCTTAAACAACAATATTAAATAATAAATTATGCATAGTGTAGTAAATATTGTTATATAATTACTTACTATCTTGAACGGATGCCATAATTTTAGTAAATCAAGTATCTCGATTCTTACAATCCACAGTCAACCAGTAATTATAAATATTTCTGATGTAGTTTATGCTGAAACAAACTCCATGTAGGCAGCCATGTTGGAAAATCATGACTTTCAGTCTATTTATCTATTGGCTCCCGGCAGATCGCGGTTTTACTACACAAGGGATGAAGCACGTGGAGTGTGATAGAAATAAAGTTGTTAGTAAATTATATTAGTTTCCAGTCGGTATTACGGTGAGTTATTAAAAACTTAATATCTTTAACATATTATATAATAAAGAGAAATATAACTGAGCATTAATTATTCTGTGACATAATTTGAGGTTAACACCAATATTTTATACTGTCGGAAAACAATAAATAACAATACTATTACCTGTGTAATTGATTATTATAAACAGTTATATTCTTCAATTATTTCAAATATATTAAAGCATAATGTATTTAGCGATTTATATTCTTTTTATCCTATCATTATTTAACGTATTTTTGAAGTTGGAGTTTTGGAAAATTTTATAATCTGTCGAATATTTTGTTCTGTAAAATACCTGTTTTAAATAAAGAATTGCAATATTATATCTTATATTAGAATTGTTGTTTCTGCAAACTGGTAATAATCAGTATAATTTTTATAATACAATGTGCAATAATTGAAAACTCCAACAATATAAGTGAATTTTCAATATTCATCTAAATTATTATACTTATAAGTATTGACCCAATTGTAATTCATTAAACTAATACAATTGAATGTTCCTGTAGCACATAACAATCTACAATGGTCAAAGTAAAGAATAAAAAGAAGAATTTAGCTGAATCTACTGCGAGCAAAAGAGATCAACAAAAGAAGATTTTAAATCCATTTGAGGTACATATAAATAAAGAAAAGCAAAAAGTGCTTGGACGAAAAAACAAGGCAGACCATGGTTTACCAGGTACTTCACGAGCAAAAGCAATAAATAAACGTAAGCGAACATTATTACATGAGTACAAAGTTAAAGACAAGGACAATGCATTCCTTGACAGACGTATTGGCGAGAAAAATGCAGCACTGTCGCAAGAGGATAAAATAATGGCCAGATTTGCGGCAGAACGAATGAAAGCTCATAAAAAGCAAGATATTTTTAATTTAAATGATGATGAAGTATTGACACATAGAGGTCAAACCTTGGCTGAAATTGAGAAATTTGATGATCCAAAAAGCGATGATGATGAGTTCAGCGATGACGAAAATAAAACTGGGAAACTGGATAAAAAGTTTGTTAGCGAAGCTCACTTTGGTGGTGGAGTGTTGTCTAAGCCAGATAGTCAAATGTCCAGAAGAGATCTAATAGATCAACTGATTGCCGAATCAAAGAAACGTAAAGCTGAGAAGCAAAAAATTCGTGAACAAACCATAGATCTGACAGAAAAACTTGATTCAGAATGGAAAGATCTTTTGCCTCTAGTAGCAGCTTCAAAGAAAACTGCTCAGGATTCAGAGGAAAAGTCGAAAGCTGATGATTATGATATTGCCATGAGAGAGTTGAAATTTGAGGCCAGAGGTAATCCAACTGACAGATTAAAATCAGAGGAAGAAATTGCGAAAGAAGAAAAAGAAAAATTAGAAGCGTTGGAAGCTAACAGATTAGCAAGAATGAAAGGATTTACTGATGACTCAGATGGGCAACCAAAACACAAATCAGCCGACGATTTAGATGATGGTTTTTACATGGAAAGTATTGAAGAGGAACCATTAGCTTATGGAGAAGATGGTATGCTAAAAGTTGAAAAGAAAAAATCAAACGAATCTGAAGACCATGACGGTTCAGAAGATAACAAAAGTTCTGATGAAGATAGCGGCGTAGATGATGAAGGTAACGCCTTAAAACAACAGAACAAACATATTGGTGAACATTTATCTAAAAATGAAAGCACAAAGATTGAACTTGAAGATGAGGAAAAAGAAGAACAAGAACAGAGAATACAGAAGTTGGAAAATAGAAGTAATGAAGATGTTGAAAAAATGGCAAAATTAATGGGATGGGATGTTATTAGTATCACATCAAAGTTACAAGAAAACGATCCTTATGACAATATTCCTGTATTAAAAATATCAGATGATAATGATAATAATAATGACAAGGTGAAAGTTCAGTCTGACAGTACACCCAGCAGAACAATAAAATTAAAAGAAAAGAATCTATCAAAAATAATAGAAGAAGAAGAAAACGATTCTCTAAATGAAACTGGTTCGGAAAAAGAATCATCGGAAGAGGAAGATAATTTATCCGACTTGAAAGAGTCTGAATCATCAAGTGAAGATGACTCCAGCAATAAAAAGAATGTTAGATTTTCCAATAGTGTATCGGAAAAGAAATCAGTTTCGGACAACGTAGATTCAACTCAAAAACCAAAATCAATTCTCAAAGTGAAGAATAATGAAGATTCTGGATCTTGTAAATTAACTGACGAAACAAGAAAATTAGAAATTAAAGCAGATCTTATGAAAAGAAAAGAAATAATGGAGAAAGCACGTCAAGAATTGCCATATACATACAAAGCACCAGACACCTTTGAAGAACTACAAGAATTACTGGAAGATCGGCTACCAGATTATCAATCAGTAATCGTGGAAAGAATCATTAAATGTAATCATCCTTCATTAGGTGAAGGCAATAATGAAAAGTTGGCTAATTTATTTGCATATTTGCTGCAGCACTTAAATGATTGTGCTTTAGGAGAGACTATCGAAGATTTAGTCAAATGTTTCCAAATTTTTGACAGGTATGATTCCAGATTATACTAATAATACTTTACTAGGATTCAATAATAAATTGCTTGTTAAATAGAAACATAAATCTTTTTAGATTATGTCCTCACCTTTATGATCTTGCACACATGAATCCTCTAAACACGAAAATTTGTATTCAAGAAGTAATAAAAGAGAAGCATGAAGAATTTGAGCGAAATAAGAAGAGGTATCCTGGTTTGGATACGGTAAGAAAAGAATATTTGTTATTGATATTTTATGAGTTCTTTTCTATATTATTTTTTATAACGATTTTTTCTTGCAGCTAATCTTTTTGAAATTGGTATCACTACTGTTTCCCACATCTGACTTTAGACATCCTGTTGTTACACCGTGTTTAGTATTTATGTCTCAAATTTTAACGAGATGCCGTGTTAAAAGCAGGAGTGCAATTTCCAAAGGGTTGTTTATTTCAACCCTTGTTTTAGAGGTAAATACAATTAGCAACCTGAAATAGATTAGCATAATATGACACAGTATACTTAATGTATATTTTTGACAGTATGTTTTCATTTACAGTATACTCTATTGAGCAAACGCTTTGCTCCATCAGTCATTAATTTCTTACGTGGAGTAATATGCATGGCTACAGCGAAACCACCTGTTCAAATTATTAAAACAATCCCACCTTTCAAATCGACTGGTGAATTCATTAACTTATTGATCCCAGAGAAAGAACAAACGAGTTTGAATATAAATCCAAAGGAGACTCGTTTGAATATAAATGATTTATTACAAGATGAATTAAATGATGAATTCAGAGTAAAAGCTTTGTTAGTCGCTGTGAATTTGCTCTCTGAATTTAGGAACCAACTAGAAGAATTAGAAGCAGTCTATTCGATATTTGAACCAATTGTAAAATTATTGAAGATGAACACCTGGAAGAGATATCCAACGAATATAAAAGAACATATACAAAAGATTCATAAAGATTTGGAAGAATTAAAAAATAAAAGACTGGAATACATGGTTCTTGCGAAAAAGAAACCGAAAGCATTAAGATTGTATGAACCTCGAATAGAAAAAGTGTAAGTAATGTATTCTATAAGACATACATTAATTGAATTTTAAGCTTTTTCGTCTGACTTTTTGATTATATAAAATGTATCTATGCAGGTATGATGGCAAGAGGCACAAACCGATGTCTAAGGAAAAGGCTGAAAGAGAAAAATTATTGCACAAATATAAGAGGGAAATGAAAGGTGCTATTCGAGAAGTCCGAAAAGACAGGGCATTCTTGGCTAAAGTACAAATTAAGCAACAGATTAAAAGTGATGCCGAACGTAAACGGAAAGTCCTGGAAATCTTTGGTGAAGCATCAGTCCAGCAGGGAGAACTTAATAAGATAAAACGAAAAAAAGCTAAATAATTTTAATCATTTGACAATTATTACATTACTTTGAATAATTGTTTATTATTGTTCGAGCATGTTACATGTCTTTTACATGAAATGCGTTGTGTCATGTGAAATGCAGCTTTGTAATTATTGTAGAATAAAATGTAATTTTTGTAATCACTTATTTTGGTATGTATAGAATTATACTAATTAGTACAATTTTGAGCAATTACTGCTCGTAACGTAAAATGCCGATGGTGGTAATAATGTTTGACTGATACCTTTAGGTTTTGCTAATGTGCATATATCCTTCTTAAACTGGATGGGTGACTTTTGAAAAAATGGGGAACTATCAATATTGGGTTGGGTCGAATTTAAAGTGGATTCCAAACTGTAGGCTGAGAAACTTTCAGAAGATAAAGTTTTTTCGTTTATGTCATTCCTACATACATTTGGATTTTTACGGTCTGTTTGGTCAAATCTTAAAGATTCATATTCTTCATCTAACATATATGATTTATAATTGTCTTCATAATTAAATTTTTCAGCCGTCTTCATTATATTTGGGAAAGAAGCTGAGTTTTTTATAAAATTTGGTATAATGAGACGCGGCCTTTTCTCTTTGGATATATTTTTTCTTACAATATTATCCGTGCTAGATTTTTTATCACGACTTAAAGTACTAACTATTCTTAGCCATTTATTAAAAAACTTTTTCAAAATATCAAAATCTTGCAATGCATTTCTAACAATTTCTTTTTCTCGACTTTCATATCGCTCATCAATTTTGTGTAAGCAAATTCTAAAAATATGTCTAAGACCTTCCTGAAGAACTAATTTTTTATGAAATTCTTTAGCAGCTTGAAATTCCAGCTTTCTTTCTATCCTTACTTTAACATACTTTTTCCAAATGTTAAAGAACTTCTTTTTTAGTTTTATCTCGTAAATCACATTTGCCCAATTTTCCTTATCATGATCATTTAAGGCTCTTTGGTATTTTGCATACCAGATAGAGATGAATCTTTTTAGGAAAACGAATTGCGCTCTGTTAAATAACTTTTTCTTCCGCAATTTTTTGACTCTATGCTCCTGAAAAAATATCATCCAATGATGTATGTATTTTCGAGTTAAAAGTTTAACCTGAAATTCTTCGGCCTTCAGAAGCTTATGTCTCTCTCGTGCAACATTAAACAGAGCATTTCGCCATTTTACAAGATACATTTTTTGAAAATTCATTTTTATTTTTTCAAGTGCATTCTTCATATAGCTCAGCTGAAGTTTCTTTATTTTTTTGTATTTTCGATAAGCTTTTAATTTTTTCAGTCCCTTTGACATTAGTGTTTTTCTATAATGATTGCACGATACGAACATTCTTCGACGGTTACATTTTTTATGCACGACGTAAGATTTCCAGTGATATAAAATCTTTGTTTTTAGTCTGATTTCAATTGCTGAACAAATTGTTTTTATTTTCATTGAATATTCAATCAATTGAATATGATAGGCTTTCCACTTAGAAATTATTCTGCGCAAGATTTTTGTTTTATAAAAGTTATTAGCCATTTGTATATTTGTTTTGTTGTTCCTTGATTCAGAGACATTCTGAAATTGTTAATAAAAATATTTTGCAATGTCATTAGGAAGAATTGTATATGCAATCAAAAAGTTAGCATAGTGTAACTCAGCGCTCTCTAGTAGGACATTTCCCCTCAACTCTCTCTCAAAGCAAAACCCTAGTGGGGAAGATGTTATCTTCACTTTCCTCTATAAAATAGCGTACACGCTGTCATTCATAACATAACATAAGAATTTTCTGCGATACTAATGACGTATAGTAAAACGTGATGGGAGACACTCTAGTGTCGCGGAAGTCCAATTCTGAAAGCGTTGAGTTAGAGAGAGTTTATTGTACTACCAATGATAATTTTTTAAAACATTTATGCAATAATTGTTCTCGATGATAGTTTTGAGCATCTCGTTCTAAATTATGCATTTGTATATTTATATTACAAAATGTAATCCAAGCAACAACGATTTTGCTTAACAATTTTTTCTCGTAATACGCCACTGTTTGTTTCCACAAGATTTTGAAATTTATTATACGATTATGAGCTCCAATCCACTGTTTAATAGTACATTCTATCAATAAATCATGATAAAATGTAGTCGCCTGTATGTGAAGTTGAAAATACATATGAATATCAATATATTAGAAATCTAAACTGTATTTGACAATAAATCAAATTCAGAAAAAACCTTTTCTTCCAATAATGTATTTTGTTTTCTTCGTTGATGAATTATTTTCCAAATTCTAATATATTTATTGAAATATAATCTCTGGGAGAAATGAGCACTTACTCGCTTCAACCTCATTTTTTCATGTCTATTGGATATATTCTTAATCCAACAACGAAAGTATCTCCTAAGAATTGTTTGCTTATGAAAACATTTAGCCGTATGAACGTACCTTTTTGGTACTGAATCATAAAGATTCTGAACCATAAGTCTCCACTTTTTCCATGCATTAGATATCAACATTCTCTTATACATAAGAGTCAACTTTAGAGAAGCTAAATTAAGATTCCTCTGATAAGTAACATTTTGAGATAAAATCTCCAACACCCTTTGCTTTAGTTTCATCTTATAGTAGTATTCAGCTTTATACTTTGCTCTTGCTTTTTGTATTTTTCGTATTGTATACCGTTTCCAGTATTTAAAAGATTTTCTTTTAAGTAGTTTAGCGTAGAATAAATCTGTTGCTCCAATTCCTCCACTTTTAATTATATTTTTCGATCTGTAAACAAAGTTGAGTCACAATGACTCTACTATAACAGTCCAAGTAATTATTATACCTGTTAACAGTCAATATAATGTTTCCCAACATTATTCATCACAATTCCTTAACTATTTCATCATAAAATAATATTACCGCCACGATGAACTTCGATATATCGTACATGACCGAACGGTTACTCTTCACATCAATGATTCTATCGTTGAAGATCGACAACTTCAGGCGTTTCGTATCTGCTGCCAACATTAGCGAATAGAACAAATTGTTCGTATAAAGGAAACCTTTGACACTACGAATCTTCGAAAATACAAATTATCATTGAAATTCGTTGTAAGTGGGGCGATATAAACGAACAACAAATAGGAGTTTGCATTTCTTGTGATAAGTTCACCTGAGCGAGAAGCCGTGACATACGCGAATGCCGTCAGGTGAGGAATGCATTTTTTGTTCTTACTCTTACGTTCAATCCCACAGTGTACCTGATACATTTTTGTAATCTACAATTGCTGTACGCGTGCATTTTTATTGTGAAACGAAACATACCGTAAACACATGTCATGTTGTATCAGTTCATTTTACCAGTAGGTTTGATATAACCTTGTATGATTTACATACTAATTTAACTTGAAAACTTTGAAAAATCAATGGTAAAATCAAATCATTATCTTGACCTTTCGTTGGCATCTTAAAAATGATATGAATAATTGTGCTCTGCTTAATTGTGTCATCAACGATACTGTGTTTCTTATTAAAATTAATTAATTATTTTCATTTTATGATTTCAATTTTCTTAAGTAATTTACATTTAAGAGTGATAGCAATTTTTCATCAAAAATAGCATGCTAACTTTAATGTACACACCTAGAAATATATGTTAAACACATCTATATTGGTGTAGTTAAACTGCGACTAATATTAAAAAAATTATGGTTAAACTTTGAACCAAGATTATTCTTAAAAATTTCATATTAAGGGCATTTTCTTAAATTTCCTATCAGTATGTTGAATACTATAATGTTTCTATCTGCATGCCATTGAATGAAACCCAATTATACTTATAGCATTGGCAGTGAATTTTGGAATATACCCATTGTATCGGATTTGGAAACAGCTATATATATTCTTTGAAAACCTATGTACAATTTTAATATTAGTAATTAACTTCTAAAAGTACATGTATATAAATGAAATATAATAAATAAACTTAAACGCATTAAACTTTAATTCTGTCTTTGGAGTTGAGACTAATGAGAAACAAAATACAATATTATATATTTTTTCTATATCATATATCCCAATATATTGTTACTTTTGTCCTGAAGCTACTTTTTAATATATATATTATTTAATATCTTGTTTCAGATAAATGATGGTAATACAGTAGTGAAATTATTATTTTGTTTAATCACAATGTCTGACAATAGTCCACCACCAGTTGAAGTTGCATTTGGATTAGATAATCATGGTAGGGTAGTACGTATTGAATCAGGTGCAAACAGACCAAACATAGGACGTCTCGCAAGCATAGAAGAAACATTAAGACTATTGAGCAATAATTTAATATCAGACCATCCAAGCACTGAATCTAATAATGGTATGACCTTAAATACATGTGACTAAATACATAAATACATATGACTTAAATATACCTAATTGCTTATGATCAATAAGATATAGATAATAATTATCAACAAAAAATTTTGTCACATACCAGATACACAAGCTGCAACAATATCTTCCGAAGAAGAAACAACGTCGGATATAACAGGACACGAGTTATCAACTGATGTGACGGATGGAATATCGTCACCGAGTCATACTACTGGAAGTGTACCAACGATAAGTTCAGAAGAAGAGTAAGATCTTTCTGTATATATGAAATTAACTCTGTGCTTTGCATTAATAACGCATTTATCTTTAGTAAAAGGTACTGTTGGGTCTGTTTTGCAACGGATGAGGATGACGCAACAGCCTCTTGGGTAAAACCCTGTCACTGTCGTGGAACAACTAAGTGGGTACATCAGGGTTGCATACAACGTTGGGTAGATGAAAAACAAAAAGGACGTTCCGGAGCGGACGTGGCGTGTCCGCAGTGTAACACAGAATACATCATTGTTTATCCAAACATGGGTAAGTTACTTTTGTGAAAGAATAGCGTGCAAGAGCACGAAAATTTAATTCACTTTTATAGCTTAATTGTAAAAATGATGACATAAGTGCTATTGATATAATCTTATTTCGATAAGACCTATAATCGTAGAACATTAATAACAAGATTGATAAGATTGTTGCGGATCGAAAGAAAACATTATATGGTTATAATGCCGCCCATGCGTAATGGATTGTTTCATATTAATATAAGCTGCATGTAAATTCGATAATCGTAACGTGACTGATTGTGTTTCAGGACCTTTAGTCGTAATTCTAGATACGATTGATGGGGTTATATTCCGTGTATGTCCATTCATTGCAGCCGGAATAGTTGTTGGCTCAATTTACTGGACAGCTGTTACGTATGGAGCAGTAACAGTAATGCAAGTGGTTGGCCACAAAGATGGTCTGACCATGATGGAGCAAGCTGATCCTTTGGTATTGCTGGTTGGTTTACCAACTATCCCCATAATGCTTGTTTTAGGGAAAATGCTTCGATGGGAAGACCAAGCACTAAGTTTGCTCCGAAGACATGCTTGCAAATTGCCAATTTTAAGGCACTTCTTACCTAGCAGGTAAATATTCCATTATCTACATGGGCATATGTACTTACATTAACCATCACATGATTTCATATTCTCCTTTGTTATTATACAGTTACTCTGACGAAGATAGAGCACAGTCACAAGAAGTTCCACCGATGAATGATCCAGTGTCAGCAACAAGAATTCTTTGTGGTGCTCTCCTATTGCCCACTATTGCTAGCATCTGTGGCAAGCTTTTGTTTGAAAGCATGAGCTCCAATTTCCAGAGGACGTTACTTGTACGTATTGGCTGATTACTTTGCTCTTTATTTTTTCAATTAGAGTAATTTCAATGTTATTCAAGTTGGATACAGCTTAAACAATTATAAGTACTTGAAAAGTGCCGTCTCTTGGATATGTTCAGGGTGGCGTAGCGTTCATAACAATAAAGGGGGCTTTCAAGATCTACTACAAACAGCAGCAATACGTTAGACAGTGCCAAAGGCGTATAATGGATTATACGGAAAACAACGTGGCTAAATATAGGAGGCAACAAAATGCAGAGAGCAATCAAACGAGCTAAGCCGAATGTTATGATAATTACGTGACATACGTTATGCGGGTATGTGAGAGATGCGTGAATACTTGATTCGTAAAATTATCGTCTTTCATTTATTATTCACGGTATTTTTCCGTCAAAGGCGCAATGTTCGTTCTTGCACAGCAGACGCGGATTTAACTACTGCAGAAGCAATGACAATGCATGCAACTATACAATGAAAAGACAGTAAGGATTTGTAAATAAACATATATATCAGAGAAGAGCATGAAATGGATAAAACGCCGGTTAATTAACTAGGATAGGATATGGTGGTTAGAAGTGAGATAATCGAATTAAGAAAACAACTTAGGTTTCTTTGGACTCACTGATAAAACATAAAATAACTTCACAGTGATCTAATATCATGGCTGTTTGTATTACATTTATTGATTATCGCATGTGAATAGATTTTTGTTTTCATTAGGTTCAGTCAATTATTAGAAAAAATAACTTTGGCGGAAAGAAGTCTTTAAATAATTAGTTGTATTCAATAGAGTTAAGAATTAATTGATTAAATCAATAGCTGTGTGAAATTACTAAGGTAAAATTGTTCACACTACAAACAGCCGTAACAGCAGACTATGAAGTCCAAAGTACTTAAAATGAAAATGAAAAAGCGGCGCATTACAACTTGTTAAATTAAATTATTAAATAATCCAAGTTAGTCCGAGGACGATTAACAGCTTTTTATGTTTTTAATGATCGATAAAGATTGGCGCAAAGAACTAGCGTGATTGTAGACATTTGGGCGAGGTTTAGGAACTATTGAATATATTTTGTAAACGGACTTTATTTTATGTAAATGCTTCATTTAATGACCACTGTAGATAAGACAGGAAGTAAATATCTGATCAGATTAATTTGTGTTTCTATTTATCTGGCCAAGAGTGTGCCAATTATTTCCACCTTAACAATCCCATCCTCTGACGGTGCAGGGTTTCCTGATTATTTTTTATTAACATTCAAATTTACATTAGATTGATAATAACAATTAGATTTTTTTAATACTCTCTTCAGAGAAACAAGGATATAATTTCATCTATATAAAATAGGATTTTATAAAATGCTAATACAGGGGATGCTTTATATAACACGGTAGTCCTCGTGGAGCTGAGCAAATACGAATGCCGTAAGCGTTGCGCGAATAAATGTGATCAAGTAATATCAATAGATTTTCAATATTTTAAATGATACAGACTAATTAAGTACATTGAGTCTTTGTAATAGATCTCATGTCAATTTTAAATCTCAACTGATTTGTTCTTAAGTACTTTTGATCACAATCCTGGATCATATCGTTGGTTAGTAAAATTAAATCAGGTTATTATCAAAATTCACACCTTATTGAAGTATTATAATACATGTTTACAGCTTATAAAGTGATTTTACAATTGTTACATAAAGTTGCATAATGCTTTTCCTATAAGGAATATTCTATTTCTAACTTCACATACACACCAGTATTTTCTTTTTACATTTTGGATTGACTTCTTGTGATGCTTCAAGAATTAAAGAATTATGTAGCACCTACCATTTCCATCATTCTGTTTGGTACTACATAACAAGAAAATATCGTACTTAACAGTTTAGATAATTATATCTTAGGTCTATCTATGCAGTAATAAGATGTTCAATATTTACGTTGAGGCTCACCGGAAATTGAATGATATTAAAATACTGGTAGAATGGAAAAATGTACACGACTATATATTAAAATGAAGAACAATCAAGCACACTTTTCATCCATACTGGTTACTAGGATAGCATATTCATACTAGTTACAAAGACAGCATAGAAATATGTTTGTAGTCTCGAAAAGAAAAATATTTAGTGATGTATATAACATTGAAAAAAATAGTTTGCAGCAGAAATTCTTAGAACAGAATTTGGAAATTGCTATGGTTAATAAAATTCACAATTATAAAAGTGTATCAATGCAATCGCTCATTTAGATATAAAAAGTCTAATGAGGAAAGTTGTGTCCTGATCATAGTCTTAAGGTCCTATAAACAATTAAAAATGCTGGAAAGTGAAAATCACCTCAAAGGGGGTCCTAGGTACTTTAAGCTTCTTGAGTAAAAGTCTGGTGGACTATCTATAACCATTAATTGGACATTTTCCGTTTTCTCATCAGAATTTGTGGCTCTCTGGGACGAAATTATTCTGAAGAATGTACAAAGTCGAGACCCCTTACCATATTCATCCACGTTATATGGGGGACTTAGTATGTCCAAAAAGGCTGCAGGTCCTTCAACACATGATATTTCATGTAAATTTCTTTCACTTGGTGTAAGGACACATGCATCATCATTATCTTTGACAATTATTCCTGGATGCTTGACTGCTGTTATTTCTTCATTAGGCTTAATAATGTGATCACCATCTGCATACTGCATACTGTAGCTGTCTATTTTTATGACACCAGCGATTACCTATAACATTATATATTTGTTGTTTCAACATTTATCTCAGTTGCAAAACAGTCTAATGTAATGATGAACAGCCTATATATTATATATCTTTATACATATTATCATCAAATCATTGTATTGAGAATAAAAATATAAAGGTTAAAATAAGTTAAAAAGGTTATATAAAAATATAAATGTTATGTAAACTGAGCAGTAAAACTTATCAGATTATTAGCGATTCCACGTCATTAGTAAAATGAATCTGTATAAATAATCGAAATTGATAAAAATGTTTTCATAGCATCAAAATTACGGCTTAATCTCTCTAATCTGATATTATCTAAGATATTGAGACCGTTTATCTATCACATCTTTATTGCACGTTTTTTTCTACAGGAAAATTTTCTTGAATGGACGCAACAGCATATTACTCGTACCTTTAACAATCCATGCATTCCTGGATGATCATGCATTGGCATGGTGACACCGTGCTTCAATATAAAAACAGCAATGGTTATGTCCTGGTTTTCAAATATGTCAATGACGCACATAGGGGCTGATTGCATTTGCACGAAGTCCAGAACCTGTTTTTCTAATTTCACATCCTCAGCAGATATGTTATTTATGAGAGCACGTAATTTTTCAAAATTCTTCTGACAAAGCTTGAAATTCGCGCTGTTGCGACCGGAAAATGTTTTTAAAGCTTGCTTCCATAAGACTTCCATAGCTGAAGTCATCTTACGAGTTAGATAGCTGCGTGAGCTTGTTTAAAAAATTAAACCAGTGGATGTATAATGAAATATATATAAAAATTGTTAAAATTAACTCGGTACTTTGAAATTGACACACATTAAAACATCTTATTAACACTTTAAGGACGACAAACGATGTCTTCAATAACACGCGAACAATTGATTCTATTTGAATTGCCAGGTTATTGTGACATTACTTAACTGATGAGCTCAGAAGTTTAACTCTTATTACGGTTCTACCTAACGTAACAGTTTTCTGATTATTACTGATTACTACTGATTCTACTTCACCAAGGTCGCGTGTACGTCAAAATTGCGTTCTTTTATTGGCAGAACACGAATCGCGATTCCGAATCAACCATAACATTCTGTAGGCTGTGAAGTTGGTAACACTAGAAAAGGTAGTATCTCCGTTTTGTGGCTCCGTGTAATGCCGTGTACCTAGCACGCCACCTACAGTACAGGCTTTATTTATTTACTACCAAAAATAAACCTGGCCGTGGTAAAATCTTGTAGGATTATCGTAACATTTGTATCCACGAAAAGCGATTTTTGCTGATCGTAGCAGCTCATTTTACAAGAGGTAACACGTTTCCAAAAAACTTTTTCAAGTAATAGCACATTACTCTTCTTATAAAGATAAAAAATTAATGTGTTTTCGTCGATTGCTCTGTCAAGATTGAAGACTAACTTCAAAAATTTATTTCCTTTCCATGGGAAGTGTAGGTCGTATTTTTTATGTACTAAAATTGATCAAGCAGTGTCTGTATTATAAGTATGTTTGTATAAACATTAATATTTTACTGTTCTCTTCATTGAAAAAATATCCTTCCCAATTAGTTTTTTTTTGTAATGTATCATGTGAATGACAATTTTACATTAGTATTTTTAAAAAATTATTCTCTATTGAATTAAATTTTAATAATAGTTGACATGGATGGTAACTGTCAGCATCAATATTTTCTCTTTTACTATAGTAAACTATATATATCTGCAGAAATTAAGTTATATTTTTAAATAATTGTGAAGCCATGTTCAATAGATCCTTCATAAGATTTTTTTTATATAGTGTAGTAATCATTGATTGATAAAACTTAGGTATCAATATAAATATTTTTTCAAAACAGGAGCAATGTCAAATGAGGAGCGTCTACGCACGCTTCTTTCAGATTTAGGCAAAGCAACTCTTCGTGGGGTACGAAAATGTCCCAAGTGTGGAACTTATAATGGATCTCGTGGATTGTGCTGTAAAAATAAATATTGTGATGCAGTGTTCAAAGAGCCTGGAGAGAAACGAAAATTATCTACAGAAGCATGTAAACTAATAACTGGGTCAATAGCACAAGTGTTTTCTGTAAGAGTCAGGGATAAGGGACCTGATTTCAGAGGTTTTGTACAGTTACCTCTTATTAATGCCACAATTTCTAATGATATTACTACCCTGATATCACAAACGACTACACTGTGCTTTGTGGATAGCTGCGAGAGAAGTTTTGATGCAAGTGTTTTAAAATGCCATGTAAGTTAATAATAACATTGTAGTTATGTAAAATATTCATATCTATTGTTATCGTATGCCATTAAAATACATCTAGGGTAATTCATAGAAATAAATTGCAATATTATTTTAGGAAAAAGATACAGCAGATATGTCAATCTCAACATGTCAGCATATACAAGCAGCTCTGCGTTGCTATGCAGAAGCACAACCATTAACATTACGAAACTCTATTTTATCTTCTTTAAATGTAAACAATGAAACGAAACAAGAAATTTGGTTACTTGCTACTGAAACGTCCGGACCATTGGTACAAAGAGTATCAAAAAATATAATGGTAGTGAAATGCAAAGCTTCGCCAAAGCACCCATTAGGGTATCTTCACTTTTCATTCTTCATCACAAAACTAAAAGACAGGGTCGAGCATCGCTATTTCTGTAGTTGTACAGCATTTAAGGTTTGTACAAAATATAAATTTATGGCTATATTATTATATACTCTCCATACATTCCATTAAATTATAAAGATATTTATTGAAATTTAGACAACTTCAAAAATGCTGGGAGATAAAATTGAAACGACCTCAGCCGCTCAAGTTAAACGATGTGTACATTTTTATGCATGTATTTGTGCGTTCGCCAGTGATCCTAAGTTATCCGAAGAATTTGAATATTATATAAACTTAGACCAAGCAGATTTCAGTATACAAAAACCCTTAAGTACGTCATTTCAAACGAATGAAACTGATAAAATTGTTGGAATGGGTAAGGTGAACATGACACAATAATACACATGTACAATTATTATGAAAAGATCATTTTAAAAACAGATGCATTTGTGTTTCAGATTTAGAAAGTTTAACTACAGACGATACTGATACCCATCTTCTGATATTTCGCGATGATACCCTAACTGTACAAAATTTGGATGGTAGCAAATTGGATATGGATTCAATGAATTTAGACTCAGCAATGCTACCACATGGTATTGTGGAGAACATAGAAGTAGAGTGCGACCGCACCTTACTTGACGATACAAATATAATATCCCAGGTATATTGCATAGTATATGAAAAGTGAACTGAATATACCAACTTGTGTCCAATTATTAATATGAATACTCAATTCAGGTACATAACTTGGAAGTAATCGATCAGAATGTAGTACTTGATGCAAATGCAGTAAAAATTCTAGATAATCAATCTACAATCGATACCAAATATAATGTAATAAATGATAGTCAGTATCTCCTAGATGATAGTAACATAAAGATACTGAATAGTAGTGGTACTGTAAAGATACTCGATGCAAACACAGTACTAGATGCGAATAATGTCAAGTTACTTGAAAGTAGTACCTTAATAGATGGTAATACCGTGAAAATAATTGACGGAAATACAATAATACAATGTGACTGTGGTATAGCACCAAATGTCAATAGTATAGCAACAACTTTACCTACGAGTTCGGCAAAAAGAAAAAGGGATGAGAAATTAGGACGCGCGCCAAACACAACCAGTCTGAATAATCTGAATTCGATTGAACCTAGAAAAGCCAAAACGAAACCTACTATAATAAAAAAATATCAAAACACGTGTGAAAATTTAGATGAGGCTAATACTAGCCTATCGTTTATCAAATGGTTGGCTTCCATTACCGAGAGGATAAATCAGACAATGCATTTTCAATTTGACGGTAAACCTGATCCACTTGTCTTTCATGTACCGCAAATATTTTTTGATTGTCTACGCGAGCGAATATCCTGTGGTGGTAAAAAGAAACGATTACCAAACTCGACAACTGCTTTCGTTAGAAAAGATGGTGTACCGCTGGGTACTTTTACAAAGTACACTTGGCACATTACGAATATTTTACATGTGAAAAGCATCTTTGAGACGCCCATTATACCTCTGGAAATTACCAGAAGTTTTGTTCAAAATGCTGATGGGACATATGAGTTGTATAAAAGGGAGGAGACTGATATAGATCGGTTTAAAAAAACTAGTAATAATGCTCTTATTAAGCCACTGGAATTAAAAACATATTTAAAAGTTGGTGAGTAGATTGTTTGTTTGTAGTTATAACGAATATGAGGGATTGGCATTATCTTTTTTATTTCTTTAGGAAATACTTCACCAAACCAAGTGGAGCCCACGCCATTTTTGATAGAGTGGATACCGGACATTTTACCGATATCAAAAATAGGTGAACTTAGAATTCGATTTGAATTCGGTCACGTAAAGAATGAAACGCCACAACGTTGGCGAAAAGTCGCGGTAACCAAAAGTTATTATTAAATTTTTTTAAATATAAGATTCTCACTGATATTTATTTTTTTTTTTGTATTGATTTTGTATATAAAATACGCAAGATGTATATATTCTGTAAAGTTATTGAAAAGATACTGTGGCGGTTCTAATATCAAAAATCAATCGTTAACATGGAAAGAATTCCATTTTTAATTTTTTTTTTCAAATAACTTATAATCAGGTGTTACAAGAATTTTATATGATCTGTAAGCGTCGTAGTTAAGTTATCAGTAGGATAATTAGCATAGAGATAGCTATTAGTGTGAATTAACTAAGCAAAATTTATATTACAATGTGAATAATGATCTCCATTATATTGTATTCTATTCATACTCTGCACAAGACTAATGATAAACTAGATAGAGGTTTTAATTGAATTATGACAACTTTTATGTTTTATGTTGATAGAATTAATCAGTTATTTGACGATTATCTTTTAAATAATTCATGTCTTTTATTGGAAAAATTGATTTTTGTTTAATTTATCAATGATTTCTGCTTTTATCATCATGCACAATGAGAATTTCATTTGCCTAATTCACATAAGTGACGGAGGACTGAATCTACATTGTTTTATCGATATATGAGTATATGGTTCATTTAATATAATGAGACCATTGAAAAATCTACATAATGTAGAAATAGTGGATGTAACTTTAAGATAGGGCAATGATATATTTTAAATACATGTAATTTGACAAATTTTGTTATCTAAAATAACAAAAAGAAACATCTTTGTCTATGATATTTAATGTCATTTCTTCATCCAAGTGTGAATGGTTGGCACGACTCAAATTAACATTTCAGATTCTGATACAATTACATAGCATATTATAAATATATATCCCTCCGCCCCTCTGTGCACCTCTGTGATCATTGCTGCTTAATAATAAAAGAAAAACGAATAGACCTTGACAGATAATAGAGCTATTTAATGTTAATACATAATGTCTTCATTTAATGAACAATGAATTACGTTATAAAAATTCTAAATTATCCTACCAATCTAAAATACACATGAATCCTCACTGGTAAATTCATCAAAAGTACGTAATTTTATTGAAATCTTGGGATTTTTTGCTTGAGTATTATGTCTAATGTAGGATTGTCGCATGACAACATAAATCAAACTCGGACCTATTATTGAGCATTATAATTACCAATAGATTAAGTTTTGACACTCAATTTAGATACATAGCATCATTGCGAATTATTTTGAGGTGTTATACGTAACAACGTATTAGAATCCTAATGTTTCTTTAAAGTAAGAGAGTATATTGAGCCATCATCAAAAACGGAAATGGCGCCTGGAAGCGGAAATTGCCGTTAGTGTAGTGGTATAGAAGCATACTTCCATTTTCTCGACCCTTTCGGCCAACAGCGAGCACGTGTTTAGTTGCCGGCCGCTTCGAGCGCATTTTTTCCCGTGAATTTCCGCGTTACGGTAAACCACGGGACACTATTGATTGCTGCTCCAGACTGAATTAATCAAGAAGGACAGCATGAATCCTGAAAAATTGAAGAAGTTGCAGGCCCAAGTGCGAATCGGTGGCAAGGGTACTCCCCGACGCAAGAAGAAGGTACAACGATTATTCGATAATAATCATTCATCGTTTTTCATGATTTTTCTTAATGAAACTCATTGTTATTTAATTTTATGTCACTAGTAACGGTCAAAGAAAACGGCGTCATGTTGATCAGTATGTAGATGATTCCGCGCGTATCTTATTTTGGAGTGACAATTACTTTGCAAAAGATATGCGTGGTAAAATAATAGATTCGTTATTATATTTACGTCCCAAGATGTCGACGAACTTTACTTAGAATGGTCACTTTTATAGATTACTCAGTAATCTCTAATGATATTAAATGCGTGATCCTATTTCATGGTTTATGGTCATAAAATTCCATGAGTAATGGAGAACTAACATTTGATGTAATTATTGGGAAATCATTTAAACTACATGATTTGCATAATTATAGTTCAAGTCTTAACTAAATAAGGCTAGGTTTCAATAGTACAATTTTTTATGAGTCATTACTCATTATGATTATATTTTGTGCTTTACTTTGTATACCATATAAGGAAGGTAAGTAAGTAGTTTCTCATTTGCAACATTATCTATTCTTATTTTTGATAGTAAGTTTTTACTTTATGATATATAACAAGACATGAGACTCTAAAGCATTTTTATATTTATGTAATATGCACATAGTCTAATCATATATTCATTTAAGAATTGAAATTTGAAGTAGACCATAACTATATCTATATTTATAACTTTAATAGGCTGCAACGGAAAGATGTCAATTATTCATATTGCCTAATATTGAACCATGCAACTAATATGTTTTAGGTTGTACATGCAACAGCAGCCACAGATGACAAAAAATTGCAGAGCTGTCTGAAGAAATTATCTGTAAATACCATCCCTGGCATCGAAGAAGTTAACATGATCAAGGATGATGGCACTGTTATTCACTTCAACAATCCTAAGGCTCAAGCTAGTCTATCTGCTAATACTTTTGCCATTACTGGTCATGGCGAAAACAAACAAATCACAGAAATGTTGCCTGGAATTTTGAGTCAACTTGGACCTGAGGGTTTGACTCAATTGAAACGGTTGGCCAATACTGTTGCTGGTAGTGCAGTTGGCAAAGCTGCTTTGGATGATGACGATGAAGTGCCAGACCTAGTCGAGAACTTTGACGAAGCCAGCAAAGAAGAGGTGAGACATAATTAGTAATCGTATACCACATTATTATCTCTTATTTTTTATCACCATTAAACAGGAAGGACAAACATATTATTCTAATACAAAAATCCATTTCAGAATTTCCTATACCTTTAGTATAATCTTTAGTTTAAGGATCCTTGAACACAAATATGAATGTTAAGAAATTGTTTCAGTACATAATTTTTTTAATTCTTTGAACGCATCTTTTTTATCAGGTTGCGCCAAAAAAAGAAGTGGAAGAAAAACCCGTTGAAAAACCTGTTGAAAAACCCGTTGAAAAACCCGTTGAGAAACCCGTGGAAAAACCCGTAGAGAAACCCGTAGAAAAACCCGTAGAGAAAGCAGCCGAAGAAAAAAAAGAACCGGCCCCAGTAGCTGAAGAAAAGAAAGATGCGCCCTTAGCTAAGCCCGAAGCTTAAAAATGGATGAAGATGGTGAGTTAGAAAACTTATATAAAAAACATTGACGTATCGAATAAAAAATGACGACCATGTCCTTATTAATTATAAAACAATGTACTTTATTTTTACAGGTGCTCGACAAGGAGACGCAGTTCCGATTGACGAGTCACGAGTCTCATAAGCGCAGGTATATACACGCGCATAATCACAAAGACACAACATACACACGTTATAAACAATTGACACACCCTACGATACAATTATATGAGTAACATTGAGAACAAAAATAAAACTATTGGAAAGCTCGAAGATTTGAAGTGACATTGTATTTTACTTTCAGTGTTTCCGTCAATAAATACTGCTTCAAATCAGTCAAATTTTCCTCAATTACTCCGTTTTTGAAATTATGCAATTAGAATCAGAATAAAATGTAAAGAATTATAAGATATATAGGAGCACTCTATACAGCATGACTGCGGATTTTAAATATTAAAGACAGAGCGTAAAAGTAAAAATATAGTTATTATAACATAAGAGTTCGATCATTACTTCAACTCAATAACGAGCAAGCAATTTGTGTATTGACGAGCCACTTAATATTTACTTTCGTCCTTTTACTTCATGGCGCCTTCATGAAAAGTATGTTAGACATTTCATATAGTCATGTAGAATACACAGTATGGTAAACAAACAAGGAAAATTGTTTATCCAACTGTCTAATAATGTTACTTCACAGGAGAAAGTCTATGTAGAATATAGTGCGAATCAAAATTGCCAAAAAAATAAAACGTCAGAGAATAATTACTGTAGCGAATTAAGTTAGTGTGACTACATTTAAATGACTATAGTTTTTACAATTAGCAGCTTCTCTGTGTAGAGTATCTGATACAATGTTTTGTAATTTTATGGAATAAACTTTTCTTTTCTCAAGTAGTTCTACCCTGTGCACTACCTGTGCACACCCTGCGTCCCGCGGAAATATTATTATAAAAAGCTAGCGTTATAGGACTTTGTAACTGACGGCTAGCGGACACGGTGGGTAAGGGAGATATGCTGAAACCAGCATAGAAGTTCTAAGGGGAGTAATTTAATTGCCATACAGTTTATTTAAGACAGAATATATGAGTCCTAGCCCTCTTTACCAATCTCTTCTCCGTGCCCTGTGTCTACAAAATATCATATATGGTATTAACTATGCATGACACAACAGATTCATGAAAACTTTATAATTGAAACGTTTTATATGAACGGAACGAATACCTTGTTAGTATTTTATTAGTATTTATCAATAACTTTCAGAACTTTTTATTCTTAAATCAAAATGAAAATACGGTAAAATCGTTCAAATTCATCCTGTAACGATTAAGACTTTGTAAATATGTCTGCGTTTATCTAATAGAGCTATATATATAATATGGCAATATATAAAATGGCAAGTTAATCAATGCACCGTATATATTAATAAAATCTTCAAAGGACATAGTATACAAAGTTTGATTTGTCATATGCATATACATAGATTACGAATAAAAAGTTTTGCAATACGCAGTCTCTAATGGACGGCGTGGGAAGAGATTTGTGTTGATGGAAAGAGCGTCCAAGAGTTCGAAGGGATGGCAACGTGCCGTGATCTTTGTGTATTTTACAGTAGAAACGGCGCAAAGGGAATAAGAGTATATGACTGGTCATTTGATTGTAAATCTTGCAATAATTATAAAATTTAATCAATCAAGTGTATATGCTCCCCAGCTCTGTTTCCATTGAATACAGCCCTGGCCTGCAATGTTACAAGCGCGCAGGTAGGAAAAAGTGAAAATATCGTGCGATTCTTCGCTGCAACTTAACACGTGGTAAAAGTATCGACGTGGGCCTTGCGAAGATTTATCCGCAATAAAAAAATCTTTAAAATATTTTTCGTGTCTTACCTTAGCTACAAAGATACCTATATAAGGTACAAAATTAAATAGAGATGTGACGGCAGTTTTGACAAGTGGAATGTATGATTTGTCTTGACGATAAACTTTTTCTAAAAAGTTTACTAACAATGTATCTAATAAGTAGACTTAACAATGTTGATATTATTGAAAGTACTTAAATTAATTGATTCTCTTGATCGCTTAAACTAACAGAGAATCGATACCACAGCGTGCTGGGTTTGCTGAGTTTGCTATGTTCGGGTTAACCGTTAACGAGCAGTAGAAAGTTTGTCTATGAAAACAAACACAGGCACAGAATATATTTCTGACAATTATTTATAGCGGGGCAGCAGAGTAAACGAAGGATATTGTAATTTAAATTGAAAATTCAAAGACAATACATGTCTTCTGAATGATAAATGTGAACTGCATTGCCACATTCCAAGATCAAGCAGCCTCAAGATGAGCATCTTATTGGTACTTGACAATTTTCTCATAAGATCAAAAGTCAGGATTCAACTTGGCACATTTATATCCTCACAGTTATGAGTTTCTGAGATAAAAAAATTACAATTGCTCTGCTGTGCGCGTAAAAGGATGAATAAACCCATGTGTCCTGAAACAGAAAATAAATTAACTGTCACAGTAGAAAAGTCTCTGACATCGGCATCCAAATATGAAGACATTAATTTAAGCAGAATATTTCTAAGAAATAAAAATTATTGAAATTGAAATATTATTTGATGAAATAATTTTTGAAAGTTCTGCCGTCATTTATTGTTTCATAAAAACACAAAATGAACCTTAGACAAAATATTTTTGTTTGTTTTACGGCTACATGCACTGGAATAATATGATAATGCACACCTGTATTTCCTTTAGGTCTTCGCGTTATAATTATATACAGGGTTATTCAGTAGAAATGCACCACATGAAGTTAGTGCTCGCATTTCAGTCTTATGGTAAAACCATGTCCAGGTGGTGCCTTTCAGCTGTATAACCTGGTATATAACTGGGTGTGAGGTTCTTGTTTATTCTTGGATTTTCTTTATCAAGATACACAAGCTGTATGACTCTAATGTATATGAATATATAGAATTTAGCTTGATACACGGGATTTACATTTAGCCTTCATATAATGGAAATAGCTACTCGGTCTTTAGTAATGGCTACAACGTGCATTCTTGACTTAATAATCCGAAAGAAGGTCAATATCACATATTTTAGATGATATTTTATTATTATCGTCGGTTATGTATGAGCTCTTACGTAGACTTTTACTTTGGATATTCCTAGAGTTTCCTTGGACTGTTTTTAAGACAGCCGCTCCAGACTTACAAACAGTAGTAAATGTGGCTGTGCGTGATAAAAATGAATAATTAGAAATGTATATTGGTGGATATAAAAAAAATGATCCGAAGCTCCTACTTGATAATATAAAGGCATTACGACAGGTTGAGTATAAGCTTCTATATGTACATATATCTGTATTAAATGTTAAAAAAATATATTTCAATACGTTTTATGCACGGAGATTCAAATCGAGTTATTGGATTTATATTTTATTAAAGGGAATAAATGCCATTCAATATATTTCTATCTCGTATTCGAATTTTGGGAGGGTATAATTACATATACTATATACCTATACTATAGTAAATTTAGAGTCCTGAAGTACGATGTAAACATAGATAGTACATATATTGTAAACGATCAAAGCACTATGTTCATTGTTCACTTTTAAAAGCACACCTAGACGATTTATAGTAGCGCTTTAAAAGTTTTTAGTCTTTTTTCTGGTTTCTCTACATATCTTCACGCTCTTGGCTTTCTACTTCGTTATCCAGCTTTCCTAGTGTTTTAATATATACACACAGTCATTTAATCATAATGATTTTGTGGAACAAATAGAATCAATGATTTCGTATGACTAATACGATTTACCAAATTACCATTCATGCTTTATGCAATGGACTATATTAATTCAGCTTTGTACATATCAAGTTTGCAACGAATCAGTTGGCAGTTTACGGGAGAGCGAGAGTGCTGCTTCTGGTTTGATAAACTATATAGAGAATGTCATAAACGTTTCCCTAGTTTATATAATAGCTTCGTTGGCACGAACTTGGACGTAAGTTCCTTCGTCTGTTATTCCGATATGTTTATTTTATAGAACGCGTCGATAGTACAACGCGCCTCGTTAAGCTGCCAAAGGATGTACAAGATTGATTACATACTAGAATTTGTAATCCATATATTTCTCTAGTCACAATCATTAACTTATTTTCCAAGCAATGTTCCATCAGATGCATCAATTTTATACCATTGTTTCATACTGTCAACGACATTTTTAATTCATTTTTAAATATCGCGGTATATTTTAACGTCATCTAGTTTTTATATACTGCTGCGTATAAGCATTGCGGGAAGTACGGTCTGGTATAATAATCCTGTGTCTCAAGTTACTCATCCATGTAGACCTAGCAAAAGGTGTGTTAGAGGTGAATGTCATTTGCAGAAGTAGCTTTGCTCTTTCTCGAGAAACGAGGGGCAAACTTTTAGTCGGATTAAAATGGTCAAAGCTGTGTCTAGTATGTATGTAGAGATATATACAAGTACGCAATGATATTTTATGTGTCCCTTCCGAGGATTCGGATGCTTTCTGCTAGTAACGAGGAACAATATGGCGGCGTAGAGAAGACGTTTGCTGTCGGAAGTATTTGTGTCATTATTAATCGGATTATGAGCGTGCTTTGTGACAGTGGGGACATTTCGTCAGGAAGTCAATACGTACAATCTAAATTTGAGCTTGAATGCATTTGCTAATTACCGGCTATATCAGTTTGTGTTACGTAAATTATTGTATCGCAATGTATCATGGGGTGCGTTCCGAAATGTACTGACAGTACTGTAAAAGTAGAGACATCTCTCTAAGCTGCGTATGGAGGAATAAGGACGCAGCGTTGGTTACAGTACTGGCAGTACTGTCAGCACATTTCGAAACGCACCCACGGTAATTCGAGCATCATAGCTACTTACTGTGGTGGAGTTTACCGGTTACGATGAGACTGCTGGAACTTATTGTCCTTGGAAGAATAGTGGATAGGTTAGTTGTAAATATCGTGCATATCATCTTACGTAGCAGCAACGTAACAATTCAATTGGAATACAAGGTAAGGTATGTCAAACTGAAATATTATTGAATATTCGTGTATTTATCACGAGAGCAGTTGCTTGGTATGTCAAAGATTGTGTCGGATGAGTAAATGAATGTACAGAAAGGTTATGATCAGGATAAAGAATGAATTTATTAAACGCATGCATTTTATCATATTTATATGTCAGATTACACATTACATATGATGGTTCTATTGCCTTAGAGTAGAATACATATAATTAACCTAACAGGATCCTTCTTACTTGACTGCTCGATCAGATGCTGTGGTTTTAAGTAGAACGTGAACGAACTTTGGTAATCGAATTCGGTGTTTCTCTTGGCAAGTTATTATTTGAACCTCTCTTTTTTGAAGAAGAATTCAAAGCATATCGTTTATCCCCTGTTATGCTGTATGTACACACAGCCATTAGGGGCGTTTAGTTACGTTACTTCCGTATCCAGAAATTGTGAGTCAATATACTTCCCAGTACGTACTTTTCGTGTTTTTACCAGAACAACAAAGTTTTGTTGATGTCGTTTTTGTCGACTAAAAAATTTCTTCTATCGCGATATGCGTTAAATGTCTGTATCCTTCTTATTTAAAATAATCGACTAGACGTAGAGAAGCTTCCTCACGAAAAAGTATCTTATTAATATGCATTACTAAGCTCAGCAGTTTGCTATCGTAATTACTGAATTTCACGAGCGCCTGCTACGCAATTTTGGGCTTATCCTTTGAAATTCCTTTATGCCAGCAGCCTTTTTCATTATGGTTACACAAATTTCATTTCTATATCGTAGCTGGGAACTTTAAGTCACTAGCCAAACCGTGTAATTTGCATCGTCCTAGCTTAAAGGCAGTTTTATCGTCGTTAGAGGAAACCGTAAAGATCCTAAGCCTGAGATTATTCACCGTAACAGTTTCAAGGTTTGCATGAAATTAGAATTTCCTTAAATTCTTCGTGATGTATTAGGCTTGGGATAATAATGCGGGCACAGCCTTTCTATTATTAACGTACTATGTATATAGATATTTTTATTTCTTTCAGAATACTACCCCACAAGGCGTCCCAATGCCGAGAAGTATTAGTCGTCAAAAGTTAGTGCTGATAAGTGATAACCTTTTACCAAGAATATCGTAAACTTTTGTTTCTTTAATCTTTTATGTATTTTGACTGAACGACAATATATATTTATTTTGTTTGTAAGTTCATGTTTAAGGGTCCTCGCGTCGCATCCCCAGAAACTGAGTGACCGACATGTTTCGTTTATAATTTAATTCGACCAGCACCCAGCAGAGGTTGTATTCATAATTTTAGTTGGTAGTTCTTACAGCGATTTTTCGCTATAAAATTCGTTGTGAACGTAATTGGAGTAGTAGAAGAAGAAGAAGAGTAATTGATGCCCAAGAAGATTATTAAGGGTGAACGAAGGACAAGCCATAAAATTTGTTTGTCCGTTTTTTTTTCTTTTTCTCTGGCCGTTTGCTGTGAGAGAAACGGTTTAATTGCCTGATACATAATTCTCTTTCTTCATTCAGAAGGGTCGACCCACTGTGCTAATTTGTTTACGCACGTGTATTTTTAAACGCGTGCTACAGCAAACAATGGAGCTGCTTTTATCGTTGAGGTATAAATCTTGGAATCCTCTTGATCTTTCTTTCTGTACACTTGACGTATGGTAGACAGTATTATAATGCGTCACTAGGCGCTTTTTAGAAGATGGACTGTATACCAACCTAAAGAGAGAGAAAAAAAAAGGAATCTTCCTCTTCGATGGTCTCCGAGAGGCAAATTCTTAGTCGCTCTTTTAATATTGAAATTTAAAGGGGAGCTTTCTCTATTCCTTTTCCGGAAGGGATCTGTGGATTTTACTTTTTACTCATATTATATTTGACATTCCAGAATACGATGCTTTTCTCTTAGTCAAGATTTCCGGGCTGTTTGATGTTTTAGAGTGATACCCCTTATTGAATAGAGACATGGAAGTTACAAAGTACGACTTTCTATGGATCTTTATAGCTCAACGGACTATAGTCAAGTCGTAATATTAATTGCAAGGGACTTTTTTGCATTGTATGCTGTCAGAAGATGGCCCCTGAAAGTGGAATTGATCTTGAAAATAATAACGGGTAGAGATATTACGTGTCGAAATAGTCAGGTATTCATTTCCCTGTGAAATTACATTTCTTTCTGTTCAGGTCATTCTCATTTCGAATCTTTTCAATTCGATGAATTTCTTTTTTTTTTTTTGAAAGACTGGCCTAAAAATCTCATATCTATGCATTTTGATTTCAATCCTGTTGTTTGATATTCATTTTTTTCACCCGATATTGGATCATGTGACTCTCTTGACTCCTATCTCTCTTTAAGGGTCGATTCTAATTTCTTTTGATTTGCACCCAAAGTCCCATTTTCGTTCCTCAACATTATTCTTCCTTTAAGCTTGAAGGGTAAGAAAACTCGCAGTATTCTTATTCCTTTCAAGGACGTTATACGTATGTTTGATAATCTTGAAATAATGTTGCAATCGATTAAGGGGTTGTCTGTTTCTTCTTTTAAATTGGGCTCATTACACTTAAAAGGACTGTTAAAAGGATCATTATTTTTTAAAGCTGTACAAGTTTAATGATTCATAAAAGAAATGTGTTCAATTTCGTTTGAATGTAAATACTAGACATTTGCTTTGCTTGTTAAGTGGATGTTTCAGTTTATACATTTTTATTACACATTTTTTCCCCAAAATCCCGCGCATGATGCACAAGCTTGCAATGATGGTATTTTATCAGATTATTACTCGATTTGTCGAAATGGCCAAATTAATTCTCAGCATGATTTCTGTCGAATTTGTTATCAATGTAAACTCGTTACCGTCCCTCTTGTATCGCATCAATCTTCTCGTCCTGTGTTTCGTGTGATTTTCATTTTATGGAAAAACGTAGAAGTATCACGAAGCAGGAGAAAGTATCACGAAGAAATAAATCATCGTCATACCGAATTACCGAAAGCGCTATAATGGTGGCTGGAGACAAAAGAAAATGAACCTGAGTTGTTATCGACATTTTCACGTAGATATAGGTATATTACATCTCATTGTTTTATACGGGGCTGCTCAAGTCAGATGAACTGCCTAATGTTAGTCTGCCCGTTTGATTTCTTTGGCATAATCCAAATGGTTATGCGTTCGTGCTGAATAACTCGGTATACAAATATTATGAATATTTTATCGCATTAAAAATTAATATAGACGTAGACGATCGATACCGCAAAACAAAGAGGTAACAGTTAATTTTTATCGTTTGTAGAATGAAGCAAACTCTAGGTATAGTTGTCAATTTATTTCGATTACTCTACAAGCTCAAACTGAAGGTTAACCGATTCTGGAAAATAAAAAAAAGTTGCTTATTACAAAATCATTTTTTAAGTTTATACGAACAATTCTTTTTCAACAGCTGTTCAGTCAGGTCTAAACATTTGATATTGAGGTAGGCCCAGTTGCAAAAGTTTTTGGGGTACTGCTTGCACCACGAGGCGGGTGCTGATTATTGCTACAATAATTATCCCAACTTCGAAAGTCATTTTTTTCGTATACATTTTAAATTGGAAAATGATATTAAATTTATAGTTTGATATTTCAAACAACCCTCGATAAAAGTCAAAAACTCTCGATACCCCATTGAGCTTTACAATACCTCTAGCGAGACCCGTTTGGACGTTAATGGGTTAAAAGCGTCTCCGCCGTTAATGGGAAATTTTCATCGAATGGAAAGACTCGGAATAATAAGAAAAATAAATTCAACAAAAGTGCTTAAAGTCAGGGTTGCCTGTATGTAGCAGCACCTATTCAACGAGCTGTAATACCTGACGGCAAATCGACACCTTCAAAGACTCCAAAGGTATTATTGAACGGTTAAAGAAAGCGCCAACCCTCGTCCACCATTTTAATTTTAGCGTCCTTTCTTTAAAAATGCCTAGAGCACACTGGGGGAAAAATAAAAAAACTTACAAACTAAACGCGAGAACGTGATATTGGAAAGAGCATCTGGATACTTATCTGCGATCGATATCTTTTTATTCGTGGCAATTCGTTTAATTATTTGCACAAGGTACATCGTTGTTAATTATGTTATCTTGAGCTTTTTAAGCTCCTATTTATTCCGTTACTCGAAAGCTTTCCCACCAAGTCATGGTTCTTCGTTGCATTCTGACGTAGAAAAAGCTGCCTCGCGAAGGATCAAACAGATGAGAGGACGGTGGCTAAAGTGAGAAAAGCTCTTGGAGCTTTCGTGCTTCTAGTGGAATCCATAAAACAGTAATGGAGGTGCGCGACCTGACTTACCGTTTGACTCTGGTACATCCCAGCCTTACTCACGAACCTACCTGATATATATTGCCCTGGTATGACAGTCGGTGATGCAAAAGCGCAATACTAGAATTTCTTGTTATATTATTACGAGATACATAACCTTTTATATACGTGCAATCTATGCGTTTGAAAGGGACCCCTGCGAAGTGGAATTCAACAAATTTATACGTAATTTGTTACAATTTTCTTTGGCATTGTGAACCCGGGTTATTTCAATAGCAACTACCTTTTTTTTTTCTTTTACGTACAATCCCGTTGGTTATATTTTTCGTCTATCGGAATACAGGTAATCAATAATGTTTTGCCAACGTACGGTTCTCCCTTGGTATTTCATATATAAAAGCTCAGTATTTTCGTTACGAAGTTTGCATACGTTAATACGAGAAACGTGTTAACCCATCCGTACCATGTTAGAACATATTGGAAAATACCTGGAATAACTGAAAATAATTAAAATTACCTATGTAGGATTTTCGCTTGGTCGTAATAAAATTTACAATGCGTGATCTTTATTTATTAAAAAAATTTTGTTCAACAGTCATGCAGGATATGTAGCACTTGACAATATATGGACAGTTTATTTAGAAAGTGATGTAAGTCCATTTAAAAAAAAATGAGATATCACGTAATTTATACTTAATTATTGACAGATATACTAACCTTTAATTTTCTCGAAACAAGAGAAAATGGACTTACACCACTTTCAAAATAAATAATCCATATATTATACGACAATATCCTTTATTCAGTTGGATAAGTGAAATTACGTATAAGCCATAAGATCGACCTCAGTTAGATTTCATTCACGTACTCGGGATTGAATTGAGTAGGCCTATACCCATCGTAAAGGTGAGTTCACAGGAGTCCGTGTTACTCTTATTATAGGCGCAATCGATTTTTCGATTAACGTTCGGCCAAGGAAAAGCTGTAGTTAACCCGAAATCGCTGTTGGAAAAAGGGATAGAAAAAGGAAGAAATAAGAAAAAGAAGAAAGAAAATGACCCATAAACAGTTGGGAAGAAAATATAAAAGATCCGGAGGAGAATCCTTGGAATACAAGTTTGCAAGAAGTCACGATTCTTCGACTTAATCGACGATGACATTGAGTCACCCGTCTCAATAGAAATTCAATGACCTTGAATCATCTACAGGGAAAAATTCAATCGCGCGCAAAACGTGCTGAAAATAATGTCTGATCAATCAGCGGTGAACCATGGGTCAAAGCACAGCGTGTTGAACTTGAAAACCTTTTTGTCAAACTTTTAGCTACCCGAAAGAAATCAAATCTAGGGGGTGCGATTCTGCTTAAGACTCTGGGGTAGCTATCTTTCGATATCGCCCAGCACCCTTCGAACTTTTATTTAGGAGAATGAGAAAGCACGAGTCTCTCTCTCTCTCTTCTCATAGCTCTGCTCCTGTTCGTGTGCCCGTATACCGTTCGATTGTTTACGCATCAGAACCTCACGGAGAATTCTCACAGCTTCAAATCCCCAGAAATTGCATTTTCACTCTCGTCCTAGTGTTTCGGTCGCTCTCTAGCCTTTGCCACGAGAACGAGCAAAGGGTTGGATGAAACAAAGCTCGAACAAACACGATGAACGAAAATTGGAAAATACTCTCTCAGTAAAAGTAAAGGGCCTTCCATGCTCTCTTCCTGTTGTACGTATCAGACCTTTCAACTACGTGCTCGTAAATCTTCATAATTTAACGTAATGATATTTTCGATCGAGTCGAGAATGCCGGCATGCACAGTAATGAAAGATACCTTCTTTGCTGTCCAGGCTGAAATTCTTTAGGCCGAAGCTCTCGCTTATCCGTTTATCGCCAGGTTAATTTTTCTATACGCCGTCTTATTTACATTGGGTTAACGGGAGTGTCTTTCATTGTGCGCTAAAGCTGCGAAGCTCTTCCGTGCTTTTTTCATAAGAAAACGTAGGCATTCCGTATACCTGCATTTGAATATAATTTTTTTTATGCTTCCGCCTCTTTTAAATTCATCAGACCAACGGATATATAGATACAGAAAGTAAATTGTATTACAGAGCTCTTATGCAGGGAATTCCCACGTATGGACTGACCATACCCAAGGCTAATTGGTATGGTGGAAAAACGACATTTCGTTGTTGGAAACTATTTAATGTTATTCGCAAAATATTTTTTTACTTCTTGCCATTATATTTTATACGATTTTTTTTTCCAAAGGAATTACTCGTCTCGAAGGTTACTCGTAATTTTGCTTTGATTTATGGGGCCGTTCAACATCTGGCTCTAACACAGGCGTATACGAAAGCACCAAGATGGGTACGTTCCTTTCAGCAAGGGATGACTTTTATCCTGTGTTGGTATAATGAACGGTATTTGCGTGACGCTTTTACAAATGGAATTTCCATGATGTCTGTTTTATCGATTTTTGCCTTTTTTTTTTGCTTTACAGCTACATATCGACTGTTTGTATGTACTATCAGAATGAGGGCGTATTAGTTAAGCACGAGTACTTGTTCGCAGGGAGAATTATTTGAGGGCGAAAAAATGTTGGTCACGACCCAGCCTGATCGTCCTCGACTTAGGAAAACTGTCTTACCGCAGTTCGTGATCTCTTCAGGAACCATCGCGCGTCAATTACCTGAGAAAATGGCTGTAATACAGCTGTAATCTCGTGTCCGTGCCGTGAGGTCTGGATAAAGTCAGGAGCGTCATCAAGCTTCATGACGGTGAAGTGATAATCTTATCTTTCCTCTCAAGGAATCAGGTTCGACTTTTCTCGAGCGTATATGAGATTTCGAAATTCTATCCTATCGCCCTCTTACACTCCTTTGGATTATATGGGTACGAATGTTATGCGCGTGCGTGTTTACTTGGAAAATTGAATTTTTCATATAGATTTCGCAACCTGAGATCTCAGAGCTTCGCGCTACGCCTGTATATCTTTGCCTTGATATAGTACAGCCTTTATTTGCGATATAAGGTCTCTGGAAACGAAAACGTTTTTTACTCGTGGTGAAAATATGAATTTCTAGGTAAAAACAATTTTTATAAATTGATTCTCCCTCTTCTCGAAATAAGGTATGCTTCAGATACATTCGAGGGTGTACGTGTATAAGCGTATTTCTGTATTTATTTTTTTCGACTGATCTTGTTTCACGTACTTGTATTGTTGTTTGTAATAAATTTTTATGGTAAATATTGTATATTAAAATTTAGAGGGAAGATCGAAATACTGTAGGATTTAACTGGTAGATCTCTCGTGTACCGCGTGGTCTGGTTATAATTCAAGTGTGCGAACGTAGCGGGTTCTTTGGTCGTTTCAGGCCATTAAAACAGTCATTTTTTATTGGCCACTTTATGTAAGCACGCCTGGTAGGATTTATTTGAGTTTTTTTTTATAACCTCACATTTGTTTATAACCAGTGCCGACTATCTTGTCAAGGATGTGTCAAGTTCTGCGTGGAATAAAATCCTGACTGAAGTATTTCTTTTTTTTATGGAAACTTCAGTTTTTTAGTGACTATATTTTACAGGTCTGTGACGTAAGCATGGATTTATGGAAGGGTAGGAAAGTCGCAGAATGCGTTTTGGATGCTTTCGCATGAGACTGAGAAAATACGTTATGCTAGGTAAGGAACGATATGACGGAGAAATCTAGTGAAATTTCATATAAAATTTGGAATTTAACGAGAAAAATTCGCACAAGCGAAAATATTCGCACTACCCTTGCTTTTTTATTCAACGTTACATTTTTCGCCGTAAAGTTTTACCCTCGTTTCTGTATTGTTAACGGCTGAGTATTGAGCAACGAAAATTTCTTTTATTTCCTTCTTTTATCTACTGACCCCTAAAATTTCAGCCTTAATTCCTGTCGCGTCATTTGAGAACGCGGGAGACATTCCACAGGGACGCAGATAAACATTTTACAAGGAATGATTGTGGCAGTGGGGAGTAAGAGAAAAAAATTAAATATGTATAACCAGAAGTAACCCTTTAACCCCCCTGTTAACCCTTTCCCGTTTAGTCTGCTATCCTTAATGAGTGACGCAAATCGCGATTACGTTTGTAAACGCCCCAAGTGCCGAATCGATAAGGGGATGCGATAAGATGCTGGTACCCGTGAAAAACGTTACCTTTAGGTAGCTAAGGAGCCTCACCAATTTGAAATCCAAATGTAAAAAGATATCTTTATCATAGTCACAGGCTTGATTAGCTCCCCTGTGCTATTGGGTGATTCATATATCAGGTGCGACCCGAAGATGGTTCCATTGTAGGAATTGAAACGGCCAACTTCAGATGGCGCTACAGTCCTGAATAATCTCATATGCATATACTATTTCCATACATCGAAGGCAACACAATGCTTCCCTGAATTATTTGCATCAAGTACTTCGATACGTGTTTGAATAGTTCACTGAAGCGAACAAGTGGACAAGTTCAGTTAACATTTAATTAAGGACGAGATGAAGGGAGCATAATTCAAGGGCGACCTAGCAAGGGTCGTTGGGATGAAAAAGTTTTGTGAAGACGTTGAGTAATTTCATCACTGAGCGTATTAGGTTTTAATTGAATTGCCAGTAACGTTTACGAAATATCATACGTTTCGTAGATACTTCCAGCATCGAGTCCATATCAAGCCAATTATAGTGGTTCCGTAGGTAGAAATTAATTTATATAAAATAGACGGCTACCGAAATTGTTTTCTTAATTTTATTTATATTTTTTAGGCTTTCATGGCGACCAACGTCTGATCTTTATTCTGCGGTCGCATCCTCATAGTTATAGATCTAAAAGATCCGCCACTGGACAACGTGCACGTATGTATCGTGGGGTTGCAATATTTAAATGCACCTCACGAGGCTGGGGAACGATCTGTGTGAAGTGCGGGTTCCTTTTTGGTGACCTTTTATTTCTGTACTACCTTACCTACTATTCTTTGCTTGCGTAGGCTGGTGAACGTCAAAGTACATAACTACGTGATAAAGCTTCATGGTTTTTACACAGCAAACCTACCGAGACAGCTCCCTAAATTAACGTTTAATCTTTTTAAATTAAGTTGACTGGGTTTTGCTCCTTTTACAGTGTTTCTGCATTAGCCACACGAAAAAGAGGGATAACTGAGGAAAATGGTAAAAAAAAATTTCTCTTTGGTTTAACGTATCTCGATATGGATCACGTGTATTTATACGGTTGTACAGTAGTAAGCTTGTGTGGAAATGTACGTACTTTCCACCATATGCGTTAGCTGGCAACAAATGTTTGCGGTCCTTTCCCTCCGTATGCACATTTCCACGCATGATCATCAATGTATATAATTGCACTGATATGTGCAGTTCGCCATTTAATTTTGAGTGTAGTGTATGCTTTCTTTTTTACAGCTTAAGAAAAGCTTACAGTATACGTCACTGTACGACGATAACTCTCGTTCTTAAACTGATCAGTGTCATTCCTGTAATCCCGTCGAAAAGGGAAATTCAGCATTCCCTGGGGAAAGCGTCTTTAAGACTTTCCCTAAAGACGCCGTAACCGGAAGAAAGATTAATCACGATTAAGGCTGAGGTGCGTAACGAAGCCAAGGTATGATGGATGCTGCAGCAGCTAGACGAGGTATGTTTGATGAATCTTTTTAAGTGTCAGAATTTTCATGTAAAACCTGTGAACTTCATATCCGTGTTTCTTTGTATTGGCAGATACAGCTTATCAAAATTTAACCGTTGCACGCTTGCCGAATCACAATCCAGTGAATTCGATCAGCCAGAAGCGAAGCTACCTTCCTCTTTCAAGGTACACTCTTCCCAGACTCATTCTGTCCTGATGTATCTTCTTCGACCCGTAGATCAGCGTCAAACGATGAATAAATAACCAGCAGACGGGACCAGAGATCCCCCGTATATCTCAGGTATCATGCGGATTACAGGAAGACGTTATAAAACCACCGTTCTTTCCTCTCCTGGTTTTACGAGCTTCCGAAGTCGGCAGGAGAAGATAACGAGGTTGAATAGACGGGGGATGCAAGAGGGAACGAAAGAGATAACGAGATCGAGTTTAATAATTTGTGAGATAAATGTTTACTTATTACTCATTAGTATATTTTTGCATCTATCTTGGTTTTTGATAACACTTCATTTTTTTTTTGGTTTTTCATGGAAATTAATGGGTGTTAAGTTTCTCATGTTTATAAGGGTTGGATCGTGTGAATTATAGGGATGCTCTCGTATTCTGTTGTATATTGTAAATTATATTTGTTACCTCACTTGACGTATGTAATCACGGTTGCCATAGGTCACGTACATAATTTAACGTGCTTCTAGGCTGACCCCGTGTCCTGGCTGCTCGGACCGTCGTTTATCATTGGCAAGATCGTGTTACGTCTGCTGTACAGGCCGCTTCAAATTATTGTGTCACTCAAAACTTTGTGTTTAATAGGGTCGAAAACCCATGGGTTTGACCATATACGCTTGTGGAAGAAAGGGCTGTCCCGAGTAGGCGATGGACCCTTTAATTGAACAACCATCTGAATTGGGGTGTTGGCACGTGTAAATTCAATGTTTACCGACCATCCGATGAATCGATCAATAATTCACAGCGGTCTTTATTCGACTGTAGTATTTTATTTGTGTTTGGGGAAAACAAAAGTGAATATACAGTGGTTAGGGGTAGCCGGCCTCCTGAGTAGCTTGCAGAAACATCCCCACGCTTGACAGCTATTAATATTTGTTTTCTCGCATGAATAAATAAATCTCTGCCAATATTTCAAGTCAGTAAATATATACCAGTCGTGGTCACTGTTGGTATTACGAAAAGGATATACGTTTATGGAAATTTAGTTAAAAAGCAGAGAAGGTACAAAGTGTTACCAAATACGTAATAGCTAGACGTATATAGAGCGGTAAATATTATATTTTTTTTAGATATTAACGGCTCTTTGTAATGCTAATGAATGGTTTCGATACGTAAAAGTAACTTATTGTTCACGAAAGTAACAGTTACAATTTGAAAACAGTCAGTCAACAGAAAACGATGGTCGCACTCGATACAGTTGCTACTCGCTTTAGAACATATTGAGCTTTTATTATATAAATATTGCGCGAGTGATCTTGAAGTAGAAAACCAAGGGAAAAACTAATCTAAAGAAACAGCCTCACTCGGTGATAATATATTGAGAAGGGACGAGTCGTGGCTCTTGGAGCTTGTTCCTATCGTTGGAAATTTCAAACGTGGAAAGTTGAGAGCCAGTCGCTGTTTTCTTCCGAATAGAAATATTTTCCCAAGGCGAATGCATAGCATTACACGACTATACGATTCACGCTGCCGTGCTTAAAGGAAAAGCTGTTTGGTTTAATATCAAGAGACTCGGGGGAGTCTCTAAGTAGACGTCAGATACTCCGACCAAGCTTCGCTTTCATCTTCCAGTTAGGATAAAGAGGCAAAGGCGACAGCGGCAAAAGCTTCAAAGGGTTATGATACGTCGGTAGTAACTTTTCTACCAAATAAGTAAAAATATACGAAAGACAGTAGCGATACATGGGAAACTCTTACCAGGAATAGATATAAATATATAAGTAGTCTTGGAATTCTGTAATTTGCTGCGTATAGCTACTACCTTAAGAGTTCAATCTTATTGGGTTGGCAAATTGATTCTAAATCTTGCAGCAGTTGTGAAAATTCTATCAACCACGTGTGTTTGCTTCCACTGAACTGCGTCTGCTGAACGCAGTCATTGATTTCCCAGGTTTCCTGTTTCTCAGGTTGGTTGGGATCCTCGCGAAATAAACAATGGGATAAAGCGCAGGTACCCGGTTATACCATATAGAACGGAAATGCTTTGAAATTTACATTGGACGGATGCATTTTCTCATAGTGGAAATTGCAGTGCCGTAAATGGCAACTCGTTTACAGTTACACGTTAAATTAGCCAGCGGAGTCTTGCGCGCTTCTATACGTAACAGGCGGAATTCAGTATCTGGACCAGTAGGTAAAAGCACCTTCTTTTACAGGATTACGTAGATATAATTCACTCGAGAGTTCTCTGCTCCGTGAGAGCATTAAGCGCTAGTCGGGTGGTATGGAAATTCGATACTCCCCTTATTAAAGCAGAGAGTGGGTAGCTACTTGAAAATAAAAGTATAATGCGTCGTGTTCAAGGCTGACAGGGTTTTACAGTCTAGTATTAAAAGTAGCCAAGGGCGCAGTCGAGGTTGAAGCTTAGTCGAGGATGTAAATTTCTTCAGGATTTGCAGAAAGAATTTCGGATGTGAACATTTGCACCTCTTGACGAAGGCTTTGGATTTATCTTCCAAGTGCGAATGCTGGTAGAAATATTAGTCTGGTATGGCCGTTGCACTTTAGATTTCTATTCGGCAATTTATTCGGGAAATATTTTATTGTGGGCTGCGACCACCCATTGGTATTACTTGTCGTGCGACGTCGTGGGGCAGAAATGAAATATCGTTGGGTGGAGAATAAATTAAAATCTGAAAATGAAAATTCCTCTTCATACAAACTTTAAACTCGTTATACCTTTGGATATGTTGATTGATGCTGTTATGGGTGTCATTTTCTGTAGGATGTTATTTCATTGTAATACATCCTAGGTATGGCGTACACTTATGGTACGATTTTTTAGGGTGATACGTGACACGTCAAATGTACCTAATTACTGTTTCTGTTGTATTATAAGACGTTTATTAATGTCACGTCAATAATGAGGTTCATTAATTTTTATCAATTACTCATATATTGCCTTGATACGATCATTTCAGTGTTGTCTGACTGGACCCTGCGTTGGGTCATCTTACGTAAATATTCGTTTGACATTTTCATTATTAGATATTATGTATATCATTTTAATTGTATAGTGGGAATTGGATAATTCATCGAACTTTGTTTATTAACCTAGTATGTAATGTTATAGAATGGGGGGTAAATCAAATCCAGTTTATCAAAATGGATCCATGGCTTGTACTCAAGAGGCAAAATTGCTTAAATTTTTTCTTTTCAATACGTACCGAATCTCATAGGTACCTTTCATTTTGGTATCCATTATGATCCACGGTTACGGAGAGCATTTCTTTTATGTTTGAATCCTGCCATATTGCAATCTCGTGTATCAAGATCGGAAAGCGTGAAGAGGACGTAATTCAGAGCCTCATGACGGCTGGCAATTTTATACGTGTTAAATTCATCGTTTCGCACGGCATTGTCGAACTGATTCACAGTACGATATAGCTATCAGAAATGGCCTCTATTGTACATTGATAATTCCATTTAGTTATACAAGTTTTCAATATCCGGAATCATGTCGGACTATAATTTGACATGAAACTGTCTCAGTCACGATTAGTCGTAAGAAGAAAAATCAGACCCTTCGTCGAATTAGTAAATCTGAGCTGCTGGAGTGAAAGTGATATTTTTAGATCTCATTAACATAATTTAATGGCGACCATGATACCTTGTTAAAGAGTGATATTTTTATTGAGGTTAATTATAAAAGTTTTTAAATGTTTTTGATACCTTATCGGTAAGTCATTAAGTCTCAGTGAGTATAATATGCATGGAGGGCGAATTATTTAGCTTTTTGGGGACGGGTGGATTTTTTAATGACTTCTACAGTTTTGCTCTTGGAAATTTAATACGTATGGTAAAGTGATAATGTAGGTAAAATATCGGACTGACCTAGAGTCGAAATAATCGGCTTTCCGTTTTCTAGGGGGTTAAGGATAGGCTCGTTGGGCTGATCGGGTGAAAAGAAATGGGTTTAGATGGCTTGTGCGTGATGAATTTCTAACAATGAAATTCTCCTTGGTGGCATTTCGATCGTTATAAAGCAAACCCGCCTTTAGGGGCTTTACAAACCATATATTCCATTACATATACATTTTCTCATAGCGCCAGAGCGTTATATTATCAAGGGTTGACACCTTGTTTTTCGTTTATATTTCCACTTGGTGGCGAAGGCTGCCATGAATTCTGGCGATATATCTTCTCCTGGGTCAGACCACACGATACACATGGTATTATACATGTTCTCATATACATATAACGTCATATAGTGCATATTCTATATTTCAAGGTATTTTGAACCAACGCGGATGATCCATCATTCATATGGGAATGTTATAGCGTGCGAATAGTTGTTGCATGTTTTTTTTTTTTTTTTTTTTTTTTTTTTTAAAAA